GTGGCCTCCGAGCTGTTGTCTGAGATGGCTTCTCGCTCTGCACGCTCGCTGCCGAGCGTGGTGTCTCTTGTTGATACGCCAGTGGCTTGATGTCGTGAGTGTCGCCGATGTCGCCGCTGTCTCCGCCGTTCCAGCCGTCTTCTCCAATGTTCTTCATCAGTGCTTATGTTGCGTAAGTGCAACTTTAAGAGGGGGGGGTAATGTAATGGGCCCCTCCATTACATAAGTAGGTAGATTTCCTTACATAAGTAGGTGCATCAGCACACGACTAGCGTGTGCTGAAATGCTGTCATGCCATTGGCTGATATATGGGGAGCCAGACCCATTATTAGCCAATTGGACTATGACGTGTATTTGAGTGACCAGGGCTGTGGCCTTGGTCCGTAGTAAATAAAGTCAGAGTTAATTTTTACTTAAACCTAAGACTCAGTCGTTCTATTGCGAGCTTCCTCAACACTATAGTGTAAGCAAGTAACGGAGTAAATACCTGGCCCGTTACACATGTCGTACAAGGACGTCACCAATAAAAGAGCCACTGATAATTTTGAGCGTCTGACATCCGACGTTTGTGGCATGGGCAAGTACCTACCTGGAGCTGGTGCGGTACGCTACTTCCAGCTCATACACGACGAAAGATCAAGATATAAGTGGTGTTTTCCTATAAAATGAAAACAACGAAGCTGCGTCTAGCACTAAGCGACTGATATCAGAGCTTTTAGCTCAGGACAAATGATTCAGAAATTTACGAGCGATGGTGGAGAAGAATACATCAACTATGAGTTGAAGTTGTTTCTCGAGATGAACGGAATCAAGTTCATCCCCAAACATCCGTACACGCCCGAAGAGAACGCTTTGGTGGAAACGTTGAGCAGCGTGCTCGTGAATAAGATGCGTGCGGTTATGCACGCTGCTTGCCTGATGTGTTACGACCGGAAGTACTTCAGTATGTGGTGGAGGCTGACAATCTAAGTCCTACAAAAGCTCTTAATGGGGTGACACCTACGGAGAAACTTTCAGGCAAAAGCCCGATGTCACACCGCTGAAAGAATGCGGCTGCGTAGGATATGTGTTCGTTATGAAGGCGATTCGGATGGACAAGCCTGCGGCAAAGGCCGAACCGGTACTGTTTCTCGGATTTCCAAAACGTGGTCACGGTTATCGACTACTGCATCTGCGAACGGGGAAAATGGTAGAAGCCCGTGATGTTCGATTCCGCTAGGACGTGACAGTCGAGCGTACGTACGTCAACGCGTTATTGAAGGATTGGCAGTACTATTATCCGCAAATTACCTACGTTCCACTGCCTGTGGAGTATGTGACAGCGTAGTCGGTGAGAGAGCAAGCTGGGAATGCTGTACGAGATGCAGTAAATCGTGTAGCCAGTGATAGGCAAATGCAGAGTGAACAAAGCACGACTGAGCAGAGCGAGCCTAGAAGTGGCGCGGCGGATTCGGTGGGAGAAGAGGACAATGTACACCAAGAGAGGCTTACTTCGGTGGGAGCTGCAGATTTGTCGAGCACGTAAGAGTCTGGAAGGGATGATGCTGACGAAGACGCAATGCCAATACCAACTGCAGATCAGCTCCGAGTGGGTGCCGGGCTGGTGACGGCCGATACTTCTCCTACAGGGCCGCAACCGAGACGTAACTCAAAGCGTCCACGTGGACTGCGTCGATCAAAACGGAAGCGTGAATCAAATCGACGCCTGCGCGACTACATTATGGCTACTATGACTTCTTTACATGAACTTTCGGCCATCCGGAATATACAGCAGTTGCATTGGCTTCTCCACAGCGAGACAAATTGTGGACAGCCATGAAGCTGAAAATTGAAGCGCATACAATCAATGTCACATGGAGATTGGTGGACAGACCTAAGTACCCATGCAATTTTTTTTTATTTTTTATTTACTGACTTGTGTATGGGTACTGAGAACAAAGCTTGATGAGAAGGGCGAGTGGATCGATACAAAGCTTGTTTAGCTGTAAAAGGATGCTGACAGAAGTATGGAGTGGATTATCTCAAAACGTACTCTCCTGTCGTGCGCAGCGAGACTGTGCGCCCCCTGCTCATTCTATCTCACTTGTTGAAGTTGGATTGCTATCATGTGGACTTCATCACAGCATTCTTGAACGGTGTGTTAGTTGGTGTCCGTATTATTTTCATGGAGCAGCCGGACTACCAGCGGATGAAGAGATACACCAAGAAAAGTCGCAAAATCGCAGAATTTGTGAAGAAGTAGAAGCTACAAGTCCAATATATGTCGACCGAATGCAACATCGCTGACATCTTCACAAAAGCGTTGGGGCCCAACCCGGTTCCAGAGTCTCCGGAAAGCGCTGAACGTTGAAGACGTCACAGCAATTCATGTCAATACTGAGTGCGGTGGGAGTAACAGAAGCTGTAACACGCAGCACTGTGCTGCAAGATGCGCTGTAGATTTAGTCGAAGCCTGGAGACATGAGAGAAGACGAGCTACATGCCATGCATTGGGATACGTATGCTCAAAGGTTTTTTTGCTGTTGAAGGTGCTCTGCATGTCCAACGGTCTCCCTCCTCGTGTATGACACGTACTGTCGAATGATAGGTGAGATAAGAGAAATAATCCATTCTTGTATTTGCTCAGTATTGGAAACTACTGCTTTGCTGTTACTTGTATTCTTTGGTGTCCTCGAGGCAACTACGCTGTAACTGCGCTGCGGAAACTACAGAGCGAGCTTATCCTAGGGTCCACTTTACAGCGGTATTTCGAGATCTTACATCTACATGTATAAATACTTTTTAAAGTACCGGTAGTGGGACTTTCATGTGAATCTCAATCTCCGTTTAAAAAAAGATTGTGGATGTGCAAGTAAAACGACCTAAGCACAAGAGCTCGCTGAAGTGTCCTACCAAACCACGCGTAAAAACATTTTTTGCAAAAGAAAAAGTTTTTAGAAAATCGCGTTTTGAAATATCATAGTCAAACCGCACTTTTTAAAAAATGCATATTTTTTTACTGTTTCAAACCTTTTTGTAAGCTACATATTTAGTCGGCAGGACTTTTTTCCAGCCCACCTACATTTTGTCACAAGTCGCAGACGGCGATTAACTGCTGGTGCGCATGCCGTGAGCATGTCTACACCGCCCAGTTCCGATGACCATGCGGCAGATATCGTAAATCTCATGGACATCCCTGTAGCGTCGCCCGCCCCGATTTTACGCCTTAAAACACTCGCGCATATCCGTCGCGCTGCTACGGAACGCAAGCGCTCCAAAAAGACCAGAGCGCTCGAGGAACGTTTGTCGTATGGCAAGGACGAGCTGAAGCGACTGCAGAAGCTGAAGCGACGACGGTCAAACAACGGACTGCCGGTCTCCACGACGTCGTTTCCCGATCTGATGGATAATTTGCCGCAGCTACAGGAGATGGATGAAGAATTCCACGTAAACAAAAATCTCCGCGTACCGTGCGAATGCCGGTCCTGCAAGCATCTGAAACGCTGGAGCTTCACTCTGCAGCCCTATCGCTGCACAAGTAGCTTATGTAAGATAGCATTTGAGTCGTTCACGGACATGTACGAGCACCAGCTGGAGGTGCACGGAGGCCTCGACCCGAGATCGAATCGTGTAGTGAACGACACATTTCGTCAGCAGCGAGGTATTTTGGCCTACCCACCCCCTACAGTATATGCGGCGCAGCAATTAATGATTCCTAGTCGTCCGCCTACCCCGTGGAAGTCGATGGAGGAGCTGGATAAAGAGGCCAAGGTCGTGCGTAAGAAGCTGATGGACTACAATCAGAATTTTTACGAAACCCCCTTCAAGCTGTTCGACATGGGGTACAAGCTGGTAAAGAGGAACGGGTGGAAGGAGGTGCAATGGCAGTATCAAATTGCGATGGAGCACTTTTACTCCGCGTTCAAGTTCCCGGCTTCGAGTCGCCGATTCCGTGACTGTTGTCCATCGGTTGAACGAGGCAGAAATTGGCTGGTAAGCGGCATGGAGAGGGGTTGTTAATTTTGCGATAGAATGGTGTTTTATCTCACTTTATTCCGGTTTCTGTTGCGAATGTAGACAGCGACAGAACGGGAAGACGCTCGAGTGCTTTACCCGTTTAGTCTTGGGGACAAGATCGACGTCGAGCCTGAATTTGTGCTGATCGACACGAAACGTGACCAGGAATTGCAAGAAAAGCTCATCGAGATAAGTGGTGACTCTGGTGACGAAGATTTGCCCACTAGAGGCAAACGTGGCCGGAAAAAGAAGCTCACCAAAACGAGTAATAGTATCAAGATGAAGGCACCCGAAGATGATGACGACGGCCACAAACTGACAGCTTCTGGAGGCTGTGAAGTCACTTCTACCAGTGACAGTAAAAACTTTGATTTTGACTGCGATAGCGACGTAACTGTCAAGTCGGAAACCGATAGCGAGCACGAGTTGAAGGGCTCTCTACCTGCCGACGCAAGTGATAGTGACAGCAGCAGTGACAGCAATAGTGAAGAGGAGCTCCAAGTCAAAACCTCTAGAAATGGCATCGACGAAACTGTCAGTGACAGTGACTGTAGTAGTGACGACGAGGTCGACCCGAGAGCTTCTAAGAGTGGCAACGACAGCCTTGTCAGCGACAGCAGCAGTGGTGATGAAGTCGAGTTAAAAGCCAGCCCTAGTGCTGTCACTGTTAGCGACAGCGAGAGCAACAGTGATAGTGACAAGGATGAGGATTTAATTCCCTACAAGACCAAGTCTGTTCCGGAAGTGATCTTATCTTCGGAAGACAGCAGCGATAGCGACAGCGATGTGGACGCTAAACTCCCCAAAGACGAATCCAGCCAATTCGTCAGCGACACGGAAAGCGACAGCGACGAAGAACGGAAAGCTCCCACCTCGCAAGACGACATATTTAACCAGCTAGAATAGAGTGCATCCAGAGTGGACACTGAAGTCCTCTTCTACATTTATAAATCATGTACGCCACATCAACTTTCATCACACGTCGCAGTTTGTTTAAGCCGGCAATGACCACCGATCCAGTAGCGCTGCTGCCGACGGATGTCGAGTCCCGCGAGCGAATCCCCGGCAGTCCATTAGTCCCTGGCGGTGTATCGTGGTCCGAAGATGGACGTCTCGCTGTCGTGTCCGACTCAAGCGTTCTTGTCGCCACGTTCCGCAGTCGTGAACTCGAGATGTTCCAGCCTGGGGGCCCGGCTGTATCCAAAGACTTTGTGTTCCTACCAGAACACCCAGTTAACGAGCACGTTCCAGTTGCAATCCCGCCAGTCATCGAGTCTCTTGACTCTGGACTTCCGCGAGCCAGCACCACGTACTTTTTACTCAACGAGGGCGATCGTCACCAGCACAACCCCAAGGAGCTGTCACTGTCCAAGAACACGGGCGCAGCGTTCATCGCTGCTGTGTGGGGACCGCGGGGCTCCGGTCCAAGTAGTTCTTGCGCCTTATTAGCGATCACAGCGTCCTCCAGACTGAGTCTACACTTCCCACCGAGTTTCCACATGAACTGGAATGAGGTCGCTGTGTTTTCCGAGGATCTCTTCAAGTTCTTCGAGAGCAAGAGCTTCCGGTTGGGACCCTCACATGATGAACGACTTAATACACCGCCTCCAAGTACAGCAATGGCTGCACCGCGCGGAGATAAATCCGGCAAGAAGAACAAGAAGAGGAAGATGGACCCAGCAGACGGATATCTCGCGATGAACTCAGTGGCAGAATACACGCACCGATGCGCCATGATGTCGACCTTAACGGTGGCTTGGTCGCCATTCATGGTGACGGCGGATAAACAGAGTACGACGTCGCTTATTGCGTTCTCTGGACGCAAAGTTAGCACCATTTGGGCGTACGCGTACCCTTCCTTTGTAGCAGGACAGCACGTCGAGCCTTTTCTTTCGTCTGCACCCGCTGCGTGGATTGATACGGAGAAGTATGGGTGGGTGTCCACGAGCACGTGGCAGCAGATGCATCGACATGGGACGGCGTACGCAACACGGGGAGACCTTGGCTTGGCGCTAGGTACGTCGGAGGGCAATGTACTGATTGCGACGGTCCCTGTGAGAGTAAGTGCAACTGATGATTCGCCTCAAGAGTTAGCTGTGGATCGCGTTATTGTGTCGCCACATTCTCAACCAGTTTTCGGACTGTGTATGGGAAGTCGGTGGACGTTTTCCAACAGCCCAACAAATGGTCTGATCGTTGCGTCTGGCTCGACGATCTCAGTGTGGAACCTCAAGAAGAAGAAACAAGCGCAGCCCAATGCCAAGTGGAAGGCACACGATGGTAACGTGACTGGACTGGACACGAACTACTTCGGAGACACGATCATCTCAGCTGCTGTGGATGGAACGATCAAAGTCTGGGAGAAGACAACGGGTAAGTTATTGCACTCCAGTGACGCCACTCCGACAGATGATGGAAACTCTGAAGACACCGTGATCTCTACATCGACTACAAGTAAATACCCTGTGTTTGGGCTGGCGATGTCGCCCAGCTCTGCCCAGTTGGCGTGCGTGTTCATTATCCCTCCTGCGTCCCGACCCAATCGAAAGTCACAGGCCGACGTCTCTTACAGTCGAGTATCAAGCTCTCTTGAGTACATTCCGTCGCCGTGGGTGAAAACCCCAGACCAGCTTGTGGACGTCGTGTGCAGGATTCTAGACGAGAGTCAGTCGGTGAGTAGCTTCATGGATGTGGTGTGGTTCTGCTATAACGACAATGCAGCGGTCATGTCACTCAACGGATCCACAGACTTGGCAATTCCTGCCTTGTTGAACAAGATAAACGGCGAGCCAAGCGACAGTGAAGTACTCGCACGTCAGCCGATATATCTACATCTCTGTGAAGAGCTGGAGAAGCGCTACTACGAGTCCACACAGGCTTCGAGCTCCACAGCAAACGGCGGCAGGCCTCCCATTCCACTGTATCTACAGGCGTCGCTGTTGCTGCGCAGTGCAATAACACCGGCAGAGCACCAAATAGCCGCTCAAAATGCAGCGCTGGCAAAGATTCGACGCACCTTGAGTGTATACTGGGCGGAGCGCTGCTTAACGGCGCTTGTGGCGGCATCTAAGAAGGCAGAAAAGTCACTTCGAGACTATCTTGAAAGCTCCACGTCTGAGAAGACCAGCGCACTGGTGATGGCCGATTTCCTCAGTGTTCAAGACCCCTTAGCCCAACGTAGTGAAGCACTTGTTACGCACATCTACGACCAACTAGATTCGCCGGTTCACGTTGCCACATGGATCGCACACGTGAAGACAAAGGCGAACGCAAGTACTGAGGACCAGCCAGCTGAAGAGCCTGCTGTGGCCGGTGCAGTGTATACGCCGCCATCACGAGAAACGTGCTTCATTTGCGAGAAGAGTGTTCCATTCGGAGAACTTGAGATTGTCTGCGGGTCTGGCCATACTCTGGAGAGATGCTTCCTCTCATTCTGCTGCATTTCGGCCATGGACGTGTGGAAGTGTATGGGCTGTGGGGTGTCAGCGTCTGAAATCGACTTGTCCAGTGGCACATCCCCATTTTATTTATTGGACTTGGAGGAACGTGACGACAAGGAAATCGCTACTCCCGCTGCTTCGAGGATGAAGATCATTTGTCGTCTGTGTGGCAGCTACTGTAGCTTCTCGAAATATTGAAATGTAGGATGTCAATGCTGTTCAGTAGTGAATAAAGCTGGGGTTTCGTGTGTATTCACTGTCAATGTACGGGTCTGTTGTCTACCCGTTCTCCTTTTCATTCGTGTCTCTACTACCTCTCACGTGTTCCAGTTTACGAGCACTTTTCCGTGTTGCTACGACCGAAGTTCTGCGTCCAGTAATGCTTGTACGTGGAGCTCTCGCTGTACGCGTAACCACAGCCGAACATGGTGAACTTTTTGCGCAAAATATTGTCACGGTGGCGAGGAGAGTTCATCCACGCCGTCATCACTTCCTGCACCGTCGTGTGTCCAGCAGCGACGTTTTCACCGGAGGCGGTGCGGTTGTAGCCTGCACGCTGGATCCGCTGCGACATCTTAGAACCATCGGAGCCGGTGTGGCTCATGTAATCCTTGGCAGCCATGTCATTCGAGTGGCCCTGGGCGGCGTTCTGCAGCTTTGTGTTCATGCACAGCGGAGATATTCCTTTGGCAGTACGTTCCCGGTTCACAGCATTGAGTAGCTCAGTCTGGAATCCGTTGGGCGGGTATGCTGCCTGCAGGTATCGGTGGTTGACGCCGTGGGTGATGTTTTCGAGGTCCTCAAAAATGCCCTGACCGATGATCGGGGCAGGTGTCTCGAGGTCCTCAAAGATGGCATCACCAATAATCGGCGTCGGGATAGAAACATTAGCGACCAACTTGACTCCAACTGCTGTCGAGTAGCCGAGCAGCGTCGCAACCAGAACGAGGATGAGTGCAAAGTTTGACATGTCTTCAGATAGAGGAGTCGGTGAAAGGCGACAAAATGAAGAATGGGCCAGCCTTGAGTTCCGAATCGGGAAAGTACGTTAAGAAGTCTGTCCTAGAGTAAATGTACGAACGCTCCATTCTATAGTACGCTGTAAAATCCATAGTAGACCTGCAAAGCTTGGTGAGCGTTAGGTAGCATAGGGGGACTGCCCATTGGAACGACGAATGTCCGAATGGAATCGTCGATCGCTGTTGTTTCCGGTGTGGTCTCAGCAATGAGTGGGTCCTTTCGGGGTCAAATAAACACTCCTGCCCTAGTGAGCTCTCGGGTATTAATGGTGGTATGAAATACATGTAGCTGCATCCGTATTCAGGATCCAAAAGAATAATTGCTTTCAAATTTTCCACATTTAACGCGTTTTTAATCAAAGAATAATTACTATAATACATGTAGCTATAAGGTTTGATAAACACAATTTCTCTCGACCACCGACTATGTACATGTATTGGCATCGCTGCAGCGTCGATAAAGTGATGACAAGGAGGAAACTTTGGCTCGAAAAAAATCCTGTCTGTCAATACAATATCAAAAAATATAAATTATGTTATTGACAAAACGAAACAGACAGGATTTTTTTCGAGTATCCGGATAGGTTTCTTTCATTTTCAGTGAGATTACCAATGTTCAGTTGTCCGACAACATGTCGCCTCAATCGGAATTCTGTGCCGGTACGTGGAGGAGACCTGAAACTCGCTCTGTGAACTTGTTAAGCATAATCGAAGTTTGAGCAGATAAAGCGTTTACCAGCACTCGAGCAGCCTGTTACGCCCCCAGTGGTTGAAGGCGTCGATCACGAAATATTGGAAGCTGGTCTCTACCACGCAGAGACGAGGCGAGCATTGATGAAATTAAATTTGCGTATCATGCGGTGAAAAAGTAAAATAATAATGATGCTCAACATGTATTACATGTATTGGAAAAAGAGCTGATCAATTCACACTTTAAATTGCTGTGTACCAATTTATTTGTGCACGAGTGTATACATCTCTTCGTTATTCTTATCCCGTCTAAATTTACTCTCTCCCATACTTCGAAGTTCCTCATAGTGCGTAGCTGTGATATTCACCGCAGTTTTACATCCGAACGAGCGGATTTATTGGCGACGGCACACGCGGCAAATATGCAGCTAGTGCTTTCACCCGACCCGTACGACAGCGCTCGATTTGACGTCGAGTATCAAGCAGATCATTTTGACAGTCCCAAGGCTTGTAGAGGTCTTGAAATTCCCATCCGAACCGCTCTCGATAAGCTTTGGCACGACGAAAAGCATGCGTCAGATATGAAGGAGATCACGGTCGCCGTAATCTCCTTCGGCATCTTCGTCGCTGCGATGTTTCTGCACATTCCAAACTACCAACATGTACCGTATTTGAGATCTCCTACTTCAGAGTGATCTCCTAATTCAGACTGCCCTCCAACCAATCACATATCGAGAATGGAACACTAGATCTCCTAATTCAGAGTACAAAAAACATACTTTCCACCAACACGTTTGCGTGCCAGCCGGCTGATATTTCGTGGAACAAGCCATTAAAAGACAAAATGCGGAAAAATTGGGTGGAGAACATGTTGAAACAACTACGCGCTTCAACTTCGACGCTTCCGTTTAAGATAAAAGCACCTACACGGCAGCAATTAATAGGTTGGACGAAGAATTCGTGGAATGCGTTGTCTCGCAAAACGGTTAGAAGCGGATTTGAGAAAGCAAAAATGGTATCCATTGAGCCTACTGAAAACTTAGAGGCTGGAACGGAGCTTTCCGACAGTGAACCTGATTGGGAGCTGCTACGACGGCTGCTGGAAGAAGTGCCCGTAGTGCGCCATGCTGTGGATACGCGTCACGGCATAGAAAACTTCGTAGCTCCCGAAGAAGAACTTGATAACTAAATTGTTTTGTTTAAATAAAACGTGATAGAGATGCGTCGGTACGTGTACAGATCTTGTGTATTTTGCAACAATACAACTTCAAAAATATTGGGTCTGAAGTAGGAGATCTCAAATACGGTACAACCAAAACAATGCTATGTCTCCAGGATCCGGACGATCGGAAAGAGTTCCAGTTAAGTTCAGAGACATCGAGACCGTGTCCGACACTTTCGACTGGTTCAACGATTCTTTTGTTCCGCACGTTTTCGTCACGAAAGACTACAATGGAAAAACACTTCCAGAAGATGAATGGGGTCGCATTGGCTCGCTAAATAAAGTCCTTGGTGGAGTTACCTTCAAATTGACGAGCATGGAGCCGGACGCATGCAGTGTACCCGATTTTCTTGAAAATTTATACCCGAATTGCTACGACGAATCAACTACAAGGACCGAAGAGTTACTCATTACATTTGATACTAATTCCGCGGAAGCAAAAGGCGAATGGAGATTGGCTTACGTTGGCTACGCAGCAATTGTTGATCACGATCATAACGATAAACGGTGAGTTGCCAGCTTACGCGATCACGAAGCTCCAGCTTGATTTCAACCCTGGTGGATACATCGAGCCCAGCTCTTCGACAACGTCAACGTTGCTTGATCAGTTCCCGGACGCAACTACAATTGCACTGGACGTTCTTGTACTGCTGTGGCTCTTCCCCTGGACGTTAATATCAGCTTTGCTTTCCGTGGTGGCGCGTCATAGAACTATGGATCGAGAATCATTAAGTCGGCATCTTAATGAGCTGCTTAGACATGCAGGGATGGCGATTAACTTTTGGGCATTTCCAGACGGTTGGTTTGCCATCGACGCACTGAGGGGGCCTATTGTGTACGCGTATTACATCACCGTTTTCATTGCACAGGCTTCTATGACCAACTCTGTCTTCCGAACTAAACTTTTAGCATTACGAGAGGCTGGTCAAAGCGGAGATGACGTCAAGGCAACGCTCTCCTCGGTTACCGAATCTTTCGAGCATATCGCAAGTCTTACGGTATTGATTCGCCTACTCGTTACGGCTGCAGTATTCGTGCTGGGACTACGCGGTCTAAATACCTTTAGGGATCACGTCGGGTTGAGTATTCTTACACGTACGATCGCTAGTGCAGTGCGGTCTTTCCGAACCTTCTCGGTCATTTTTGCAGTCATCTTTGTGGCATTCGCTTCGACTGGAACAGTTTTATTCGGGAACAGCGTCGACGAATTCTCGTCGTTGCTTCAGTCAACCAAGACCTGCGTCAACATGCTTTTTAACAATTTCGATGTCAGGACTATCGACCAGATTGACTATTCTGTCGCGTACTACTGGAGCTACATGTCTTTGATGACCTTTGTGCTCCTGAACATCGTCTTGGCGATTGTGGTTGACGCGTACAAGAAGAAAAAAGACAAGAAGGATAAAAGCAAGTGCTGGCTGTTTCGTCGAGTGCTCGATCATGGTAATCATCCTCCTTGGTCTCTGACGATTTTGGTCCCGCTCAAAAATAATCGTTTGGTCACGTGGTCTAATCAAACTTGACCTCGGCGATGGATAACACTTGGTGTTCTTGTCAGCTCTGCGACTGCTACCTCCGTTAGTGCAGGCCCCCTCAGACTTATGCAATTGAGATCTAATAGTACTACGCAACCGCCAGAGATTTGTATCGTAAATTATTTACTGTTTGAATAAGTGCAACTAACCCGGTAAGTATGCTGATAGCAAGTACAACTGTGCCGGTAGCGATTAGTATCGTTGGTGCTTTCACTAGTTCTGCCGGCAGACATCGCTGGCGGCTCGACTAACATCTTGATAACAAGTATGTGCCTAATACTGTCATGGAAAAGTATAAATCAAGTCACCCGACATCGTAGATCTTTATCAACGGGACATAATGATTCTACGTATCGGCTCGATCATTATATATTGAAGCGTGTGACAACCCGTGCTCAAATCGACATGTGTAAAATCATATATAATTCATGTTTTTAAGATCCGTCTGCTTTCTCTTCTTCCTCATAATCAAATGAGTTGTCGTACACAATACCGAGTTTTTTATCAGACAAGTTGGGGGCCGCGTCGCTGCCATCACTACCGAGAGATGCATCGTCCTCATCCTCGCTGGGTGATGCCTCGATATCGCTGACGTTGGGCAAAGCCGCCGCTTTTGGGAATCGCATTGGAGGTCGCACAGGAGCGGTAGCATCACCAGATATAATACTTTTGCGCAGTACAACATACTCCCTTGCAAATTGTTCAATGACGCGGACGAAATTATTAAGTGACGGATGAGTCTTTATCCTCGCATCCAGCTCCCGGTGAAACCTCTCTAGAGGATTGTTAGTCCGATTCACGATTTGACGTTGAACGCCATATATATTCCAAAGATCGGGAGGGTAGGTTTCTAACCATGTTTTGGCAAAGTATGCCCAAAACTTATTCCACTTTTCCCGAGAATACGTAATACTTTTCCGATCGCAACGCTTTTTAATCTCGCGTTTAACCCACGCAACCCCCTGTACCGAAATCTTGTCTGGGTCAACTACGGTGAGCATGTCAAATACTCCAAAAGACATCGCAATTGCAGATTCATCTTTCGGCATACTGTACTCCTTTAGTTTCCTGCTACACGCCTGCTTGAAATGGAACAAGCAGCCAACAATGCGTGTTGACGGAAAATTATCACGTATTGCAAAAATCAAGGCTGCTTCAAAGTCACAAACCACGTTCGCTGGATTTGTTTTTTTCCCCAACGAAAACTCGATGCACTTGAACATTTTATTGTACAGCTTTTCCGTTTTATTTGTTGCCAGCGTAAAAAATACAGGTACGTATAGCTCCGTATACTGATCATACATCATGAGGGTCACAAACTGGTGATATCCTTTGGGTGTGCACCGGAACGTGCCATCGACAAATAAATGGGCACCGTCAATTCGAAGGAGATTTCGAAGTTCGGGATGCGCCCAACCGATCAATCGCTCAATGCCAGACTTATTTTGCTTTGCTCTAATGTCATCGTGCCAAACGTAGTGAAATTGAAGGAAACCCATGTTGGTACCGAATACTTTTACTCTTTCGGGACTCTCCAACAAGGTAAAAATATTTGTTCCCGATTTTGACTTTCCCACACGTGCGATCACTTGTTTTCGTGAGAGACCACGGACAACTCCAATCGAGTTTTCGTAAAACTTTTCGTAAGCCAGAGTCCATATCTTGTTAGCTGGAACATCTTGTTCGGCTAAATTATCGACAAATGTTTTCATCTCTTCTTCCATGTCGATACAGACAGATTCGTCACTCGCAGCCCCAGATACCTTTCTGCTCCGACATGTATGGGGTACCATGTTGTCAAAGTCGTACGTCATTGTGTCAGCATAGTAAAACAGGAGACCAGGACATAGTTTGGGCTTCCTATAGAAGCTACATCTATACGTTATTTTGACTGCTGATACTTTTGCGCGTGTGTATTCGAAGCTTTGATGGTAATTTTTTGATTTTCCTTCTCGGGGCCGCTGATCTGAGCGCACATGCAGATCTCCACCTCGAGCATGACGTGGAGGCCGATCATTGGAGCTTGTTATGATCTCTGTAGTTTGATGCGGTGTGGCCACGTTCGATTGACCCAGTTGCGCGGGCTGTGGGGGTAGCCTCTCTGTACGAGAAGTAGGAGCAATGGACAGGAGCGGTGATGGTGGCATTAGCTGTACGGACGCTGCCAAATGGGTTGAGGCTAGAGGGTCGTCCAAGCTTACAACAAGCTCTTCATGAGGATATTGAGAGCTTGTCGAGCGCGTATTGGGACGAGAGGTTGGTGAGTATCGGGGACTTTGACATCGCTTTTGATGCCGAGGTGATGGTGACGAGCGTCTCATGTGTAGTGTCGGTTATAGGATGCAATTCTGAAAATGAGACTCACACCGAGTTGAAAGCATGCGCACCCCGTAAAAAACTGCTCGTTGGTTCAGCGAGGCTCTTCAGGGATTATGACTTAAACACTTGAAGTGTGTAGATTTATGGTGCCCCTTCATTAATAACAGCTCGTTGGTTTCGCGAGGCCCTTGCTGGATTATTCTTAAAGCTCTTCAAGTATAGATGTACCAAAATGTAACAACTCGTTGGTTTCGCGATGATAGTCGTGGTTTCGCGAGGCTCGTTGCGGGCTATGTCTTTAACACTACAGCTGTGTAAATGAGCAAAAAGCCTTTGGTCGCGTTTGGGTTTTCTTGTTGCTGTCGTACGTGACCAAGGGCATATTTGAACACGCGCGTTAACGAGACCAACCGGTTTGGTCTCGTGACCAAAGTGCAAAATTATGGCGTGACCAAACTCGTCAGAGACCAAATATATATTCTACGCTCGATCATGTGATTCGACACTGGTTAGCTCCGGTACGTCACGTATTGGCCTTCTTCTTGTGTTGCAAACCGAGTCGACGGTATTCCGTGGTCTTTTGGGGAAGGATTCGGGCTCGTGTGCTGCAAGAAGCCCTGACGGGTCGACTCGGTGCAATGCCGTTGGATTGGTCACCACAGACGACACTCACACCGAGTCTCATCAAGACATTATTCCCTGATGCAACATTCAAGGAGGCCACCATACAACACCTCATGAACCGACATATCAATCGAGACTGTTGTCCTAGCTCGGAGGAAACCGATTGGGCTGCAAGACCAAGTCTACGCAAAACATCGATAGCTAGCAGCGCACCAAAGTCACCAGATGCGAAGTGCGGCTGCTATGTTGATACGAACACGGAAAAAACGGATATCAAGCAAGTTTCCGCTCGCCTCGACTTGCTTGAGCAGAAATAAGATTACCTGATTGAGAAACTCACACGTAAGGTGTTGTAAATTTAAAATACGCCGTGTTTTTGATAGCTCGACTGTGTCGATTTTTCTCTGTTTTGGAAGGCTCACAATGTTCATGTATCCTTGTGGTCGATTTAAAAAAACCCTTAGCATTACACAAATTTTACGAGTAGGAGCACATTTCCCACGATTCTGCTAGGTCGCGAAGTTACTCTTGGCGAAACACGATGACACATTTGAGCTCAAACCTGTCTTTCTTCTTCGTCATCTTGATTAATTGCGGCGAAGCTTTGTAGTCCCACACAAACATGCGCTCGTTGCCTTCGTCCATGTAATATTTCAACGGAGCAGATAGGAGTCCATACTCCATGATGAGATCGTCTCCTTCTTGACGTAATTCAAGCGAACCAAAAAAAACAGTAGAATTCTGAGCTGTATACTTTCCCAGCATTTTTGACCTCGCCATAGAACTGAGAGAGCGATACGGAGGGTTCTTCCAGAAGCGCAGTCCACAAGCTGGTACACCTTTCATGACTGGTACCAGTTTATCGTTGTTGCGCACTCACGATACGCAAAGTCCAAAATGTCCTTCGGTACATCCAAGAATATTCCCATGACATACGAACGGATGTGATCAAGCGGATACGAGAGATGCCCTTCCGGCGTCTGAGTGTTGCTCATAAACATCACACCGAGTTGCGCATCGGGAGCAATGCCAGTTCGAGTCACGTGCACTGCAGTATCGCCACTTTTGTCGACATACGCGTGACCCCATTGCCCAACTCCAACATAATCGAAACCATATCCTGAAGCGAGCGTGTTCCCGTCCGGGTAAAATTGGTGTCCTTCGATCAGGAATTGTTCCATAAACTCTTTGTTAACCCCTCTGTTACCAACGTCGTAAGTTACGACTTTGAGTAGGGCGAAAGTCGTAACTTACGACGTAATTCGAGCCTTCAAACAGAAAATGGCTCGAAAAAAGAGGACACGATACTTTAACCAAGTCAAATCTTGGAGGCAAATTATATATGCTGAAAGAGGTCGATTCGGCAAATGTAAAAGAAAGGGTGGGGGAAGGGTAGATGTGCTGCACCGAACAGAATGATGAGTGGCCGAGGGCGCCGACTCGAGCCACTGGTGTCTCATTCAAGAACTTGCCACCATGGCGAGAGTTCGATCAAGTACGCGGACGAAGCAATCAGCGGTTGCCAGCACGATGGACGTGCGTGCCATCGACTTCAAGCATCTCTGGCGGCAGCTACGCGCAGTGAGATGGACGTCGAAGAGACCTTCCGGTGGACTTGCGAAGGAGTGGACGTACACGTCGCCGGACGGGAAGTCGCTCACTGGTGCGAAGTTCGTATATGGTTATGTGCTTCATTTGTCTAATTTATATCACTTGTCTAGGGGAGGATGCTGTGGTGGCTTATGCAATCGAGACTGGGCTTATTGCTGAAGAGAGTGGCGACAGTGAGAGGGAGGTGGGCAGTGATGAGGTCGTGCCGGTGGACGTTACAGTGACGGCGTCACAGATAGACACATCCATCGCGCTGTCGGCCAACTCCTTATCGGCGATGTTTGGCACGGACAGTGACCCCCAGTCGGAAGCGGAGGATCAGTTAGAGCAGTCCGATCGAGAGATGGTCGTGGGGCCGTTCCAGCGGCTCCTATCGGGCGCCGAGTCGAGCAATTCGGACGACAACGATGATGGTTGCGCCAGTGTGGAGGAGAAAGGCGCAGACGAAGGCGTACTACCAGCCACGTCCAAGCGCAACACCACGCGGATGTTTATGCCCGACAAGCCCCATCGATACGGAACCAAGTTGTTTATGGCTTGCGATTCTGTGAGTGCATACTGCCACCGGTAAGTTTGTTTCGTTTAATAATTATGTCGTAACTTACGGCTTGAATTGTAATACGATATTTTATTACGTCGTAACTTACTACTATAGATTCGAGGTGTACGTCGGAAAGCGTGAGACCGAGGATGGTGATCAGCAAGCAGTCGACGACAAGACGGGGGCTGCTGCAGTTATTCGAAACATGAAAGCCGTTCTGAAAGATCGATCACAAGGGTTTCGATTGGCAGTGATCGATCGATTTTACTCGTCTATCCCACTGGCTATTCAGCTTCTATCGATGGGTATCTACGTGGTGGGAACGATCATGATCAACAGACTGGGGTTCGACAAGCAAGTTATTGAGAAGCGTAAAACACGTCCTCGAGCGATTGAGCGTGGTACTTTTGCGTTCTCTCGCTCCACTGCTATACCGACCATGATAGCTTGCCACTGGTGGGACCGAAAGCCGGTCCACTACCTGGCCACGGGTCCGGTCATGGCAGAGTACTCTATTCGTCGCAACGTCAAGATGGTCGGGCCGTCTTGCGTCAAATGCCCAAAGTTAGTTACTGATTACCAACGCTGGATGGGCGGAGTTGATGTACATGATCAACTTCGCCTGCAGTCCTATTCAATCCAAACGGCTTTCCGTTTCAGGAAGTATTACAAGTCACTGTTCATGGGTTTCATGGACATGGCACTCGTCAATGCGTATCTCACACACAAGGAAACATGCCGGATCAAGAGGCTGGTACCAACAGATCGTGATGAATGGTATCTTCTACTTCATAAGCAATTGATGCAACTCAAAGCCGACGACTTCATTGAAGCTACTGCTCCTACACCTTCTCCTATGGCTCGCTCTCGCAAGCGCCGCCGACTAGACGGTCACAAACACATCCAGTTCGACGACTGGGTCACCGTTTCAGGCACCCAAAAGCGCCGGCAACGCTCTTGCAAAGTATGCGCTCTTCTACGAGGCGATCGAAAAAAATCCTTTCAAACGACCTATTATTGTGAGGATTGCTCACACGCAGACGCAAAGTGCTTCCTCTGCCCCAAGTCGCGCCATAGCTACAGAGGCGTGCGCAAAACATGCTATCAGATTTGGCACGAAGACTTTGACAGTGGGGCTTCCATCCCAGCATCGCTCGGCAAGCGAGTCGTCTTGCGACGATCAGCCAAGGCTGGTAACTCGGCGTGAGCTGCTCTGTCAACAAGACGGCGAGGCCGACAATGAAGAGGATCAGCCAGCTCAGCAATCGGCAATCGTTTGAATGCGTTTGGACAGCACTTAGTTTATGTAAATGTAGCTTTTTCTCTGTTGTCAGAATGTCGTAACTCATACGACGTAGCTCAGAATATCCTCTGACAGTTTATAGCGGGAATCCAGTGTGGAAAAGACACATCCATACAAATAAATATACTAAAATAAAGTCGTAACTTACGACGTAAAATAGGCGGTTCCAACACGGATCTTCTGGTAACTGAGGGGTTAACGGCGTATTTGCCAGTGATCATCTTCGCCACCGAAGCAGGATCCTTCAAAATTGTAACTCCGTCCACCGTTCCTTTGTTCAGAATTAGTCGAAGCAACGTGGCCAGATCGTCCGAACTCGATAGTGTGGACCCCGCTGCAATTTTCTGGCCTTTACCGTGACCAGCGAGCTGAGCTTCTGGGTCATTGACGAGATCGTAAGGCCCAAAGAGGTCTCCACCACATAGAAAGTGACCATAACTAGTGTCGTTGTCACCTTGAGCGTCGAAAGCTGATGGAAACGTGCGAGTCATTCCTAACGGCTCCCAAATTCTTTCCTTCAGGAAAACATCCCACGACTTCCCAGTCACGCTCTTGATAACCTGTCCGAGAACGGCAAAGTTCGCGTTTGCGTAGTCATGGCCACCACGAAGTGTATGTGCTGGCTCAATGAAAGCAAGCCCGGGCATTAAATCCTCGTCCGTTGGATAGAGTCCAAAGAAGCGGCCGATGCTTGGAAGATCGTTTAGGCCAGAATTCATGGCACATAAATCCCCTCGGTAGCGTATTCCTCAGCATACTTGTCATAAAGGCGGAATGACGCGAAAAGTTTCTTCACCGGGTCATCCCACGACATCTTCCCCTCTTCAACCTGCAGTGGTTGCCGTCATAAGACAGCTCTATATACTTTTCAGGCATTCATCAAGTAGCGACTTACCAGGATAGCGATACCCAAGCTGATGAAGGTCTTCGAGACAGATCCGATCTGAAACAATGTTGAGCTGGTCACCTTGCTACTGGGGTCATCCGCCTAGAAAGCACAATTAATTTGCATGACCAACTTGAATCGAATCAGCAAAATCAAACAGACCTTGAAATATCTTACCTTGCTCAGACCGTATCCCTTGCTAAACAGCACCTTGTCTTGGTACACGATGGCTCCACTGACGCCAACACCTCGTTGCTCCTCGATCATCAGCTCCCGATCCAGAAATCCGTTGACCTCGTCGATTTTCTCCTGCAGCGAGCGTCCACCCTTGGGGAAGCGGCCTTGTCGTGTATAGCGAGCGATCTGGTCTTCCAATGGCTCCTCTCGCAGGACGGCCCTCGCACGGTAGCCTGCACGCCACTCGTCAAAGATGTTCGGCGATAGAGGTGACAGCTCGGCCTCCACGGCATTCCCTGCCAGATTAGCGACTAGCAACAGTCCTACACAGCTCCAGCGCATTGATACCCTTGCCACTTGACCGATAAATCTGAAATGGCCTTGACACGCATAAATTTATCTTCTACATATTATGGACTCGTAACTCAGGCCGTCGTGACACAGTACACTGCATCAGATGCAAACGACAGCTGTTGCGCATTTTTCTAAAGTACCTTTGCGGATACTGTATATTGCAGTGAGTTCTATCGCCAAAGCTTTTTGCAGAACTTGTTCGGCCTGGCGAAAGGAGCTTGCTGGTCGATGAGCTCACCCAGACGCTTAATGGTAGCTTCGTGGAACTGTGTTGTGGACAGAAATATTAAAAAGGGCCTTGAGAAGAGGGGAACGAAAGGGACGTACCTCCACAAAGGTTACGAAATGGGCGCCTTCATCCAGCAGCTTGCCGAAGTGGATCTCCATCTCGCGTTCCATAGCCTCGTCGTACTTGAGGTACCTACGATTGATAGCGAGGTTAGTGCGCCTTTGACTGCTACGCAGGGACTGGCATGCGATCTCTCACAATATTCCCATCGCATCGTCTAAGGAGATCTGGTGCCACATACACGACTTATCAGACTGCTAATGAGTGACATGCTGCATCGTCGAGGCGTACCCTCCCGCAGCACTCCTTGTCGAACATGAGGAAACACGTGAGGAAGAATATTTCGGACGGCTCGAGGCCCGAGCGATCGTTGCGCGACCTCACGTAGCTGTTGACGAACTCTTCGAAGCAGATAGCACCGTCCAGGTTGTCGTTCACCTGCCAAATCACCTCTTCCAGACGACCCTTTTCCTGTCCTGAGAGTTGGTATCCGAGCTGTTCGTAGACCGTCAACAGACCCTTCGTGTCGATCGGGTACTTGGAGCTGACGAGTTCATGTCCGAGATTCTCTTCATCCTGTAGCGTGGCGAGGTACTTGAGCTTCTCTTTCATGTAATGCTCTCGTTTCGAGTCCTGTTCCAATTGCGCGTATCGTCCTCGTGGAGCTTGTCGCTGTCAGCATCATATACGTCGTACATGTATCATAAAGGAATACCAGTAGTGACCTACTGGTCTCACTAAGTGAGGCCTCTATACAACGCCCTGTACCCTGTACCTCTGGATACTTGACCCCCTGCTCCCTTTCCGACAGTTTCTGAGTAAATCACCACAACTCGATCATGGTCAGCGAGGTCTTGTCACTGTGTGCCACGTCGATCAACCACCTCGAGCTTGTGCTCCAGTCGTCGAAGAGGAGTGTCGAACGCTAGCAGCCGAAACACTCGCCGTAATTGGACTTGCTCTTCCACGCTCGTGTCAGCCCCGCTCCCTGTAGCGTGCATCGTACCAGTCTATTATTATATAGCTAGCGGAGTTAATTGAGCGTGTAAATTGGTCTTCCATATCCTTTTCGCGGTTCATTTTTGCGCTTCTCACTTGTACGCTTTCATAATAACTCAATACGGTACGACGCAAGAAGCGAAGCGTTGGTTGTTTTTAGTTAAGAGCAGCTCTCTTTACTGCCGGTGGCAAAATTCTGCGTCCAGTGGTGTTTGTAGGTTGTGCCCGGCTTGTAGGCGTACCCGCAACCGAATGTCGAAAGTTGACACTTGGAGGAAGGAGGGTTGCGGAGAGGCGGAAAGGCGCTTGTACTCGTCGTGGTGTTTTGGAAAGTGATTGAGCTGGTGGGTCTTTAAAATGCAAAACTAACTGACACTACATGCAGACGGAGTCCCCTTTGACCGAGCCGCCTGCCCAAGCCTTCTCATCGCTCACGTCGAAATACCCACGTCGCTCCCATTGATGTCGCTAGTGCTGGAGCCACTCTGTCGCCCGTGTTCATCCTGTGTCCACTTGACACAGTGGGCCAACGAGTAGTACGTACCAGATTCTCCCTGATGACACTAGATCTGTTCGTCGATGTCAACGACGTTGACGCTCCAACACTCCCACTCGACGAACGGCGAGACGGTCACGAAAGTACTGGAACTTGGTTGCTCCCAGAGCCTTGGTGAAGTGGTCGGCGATCATCTCCGCAGTGGGGCAGTACTCGATACGAATGTGGTCCTCCTTCACCTTCTCACGAAGCCAGTGATACTTCGTGTCGATGTGGCGCGAGCGTTGCGTCACGGCCTTGCTCTCCGCCAGGTGTTGGGCCCCTTGGTTGTCTTCGAACACAGTGATCTGGTCAACTTCCAGTCCCAAATCCTTTAAGACCAAGTTGATCCCAATACACTCCTGGACACCGCTCCCCATCGCAATGTACTCAGCCTCGGTGGAGGACAGCGTCACCATCGACTGCTTCTTCGATCCCCACTCGATCAGGCAGCCGTCGTAGAAGATAGCGTACCCCGTCGCCGACTTAGCATTGCGCTCCACTGCGAATGCAGCGTCGCAGTATACAACGAGTCCTTTTACAGCACTGCTCTTGTATACCAGCCCAAAATCTTGAGTGTTGCGCAGGTACCGAAAGACGTGCTCCACACCGTGCTTGAGGCAGTCGGTCGGAGTCTCGATCTCTTGAGCAAGAATCCGCACCGCAGTAGCCATATCCGGTCTCGTGTTTACCGTCAGATAAAGCAGCGCTCCGATGGCAGGACGGGGACGAAAGTTGATCACCTCCTGCGCCTTGAAGAGTTGATCACGAAAACGTTCCTCCATCGGAGTGCGTGCTGGCATCGTTTTATCCATGTTGAACCGCTCGAGGATCGACTTCGCATACTTCTGCTGCCCGATAGTCACTTCGTCACCACTTGGTGACCACTGCAGCTCCAATCCAAGGAAGTAGCTGGCATCCTCGAAGTCGTTCACGTCGTATGTCGTTTCCATAGCAGCCTTGAACGAGGCCAGGTCCTCATCGTGCGTTGCGAACACCAACATGTCGTCAACGTAAACGAGTATTATCATCAGATTGTCGTCATCCGCGCTGCCCTTTGAGAACAGGCAGTAGTCGGCTTCTCCTTGATAGAAGCCTTGACTCTCCAGAAAGAGACGCAGGTTCTCGTACCAGGATCTTGACGCTTGCTTTAGCCCGTAGAGTGCCTTGCGCAGACGCCATACGTGTTCATCAGCATTCTTGTAGCCTTCAGCTGGTTCCAGGTAGATCTCTTCGTCCAAGGCTGAGTTGAGGAACGCGGCCTTCACATCCAACTGCATGCGCTTCATGCGTCTCGTCACCACAATGACCAGCACAAGACGAAGAGTGCTGTGGCGCACGACCGGGCTGAACGTCTCAGTGTAGTCCACTCCGAACCGCTGGCTGTACCCCTTAGCGACGACACGTGCTTTGTACTTGTCCAAGCTGCCATCCGCAAGAGTTTTCTTTTTGAACACCCATTTTGACTTCACAGCAGTGCGACCTGGAGGCAATGGTACTTCTTCGAACGTCCCATTGTCCAGAAGACTCTGGATCTCGTCGTCCATTGCACGCTCCCACTCGCTTCGATCATCAGACGCGTCGACTTCTTCAATGTTGAGCGGCTCAACACCCAGAGCCCAATTCGTAATGTCACTAGGTGTTAGGTTGCTGTAGATGTAGCCGTCTCGAACACTCCTACCATCAACTGCTGCAGGAAAAACACGCTCTTCAACCATCGCGCAGACCTCCTCCATGGACAAGTGCGACTCGTCGTAGTCCAGCTTGCGCTGACTTGGCCTCGGGATCCTGCTGGACTTGCGAACAGGATTCTTTGCCTTCTCTAGACGTGGATCACCTCGAAGCCGGGCTTGCATACGAACGGCTCCCACTGGTTGAGAACTCCCACTCGTTGGTTGATCCGGTGTTTCCAAATTGCTGCTTACTGCGCTCGGTGTCGGCACCATTGCCACGTCCTCCTCACCGGGTGTGGCCATGGACACATCTTGCTTTTCTTCTTCTACTGTCTCGAGACGTGATAAAAGCGTGCTGTTAACCGCATCCAACTGCAAGAGATCGAGCTGCGAGCTTATCGTGATCTCGTCTCCATCGTCGACAGGAAGGAACTGGTCTTCGTAGAATACAACGGTGCGCGCCGTGATTGCTTCACCAGTCCCATGGTGCGGAATGTACACCAAGTACGCACCACCTGTAGCATACCCGATGAAGATGCCGTTGCGTGTCTTGGAGTCCAGCTTCTTACGGTGCTCCTTCGGAACCAGTGCTTGCGCCTTACATCCAAAGACTCTCAAGTTGCTGATGTCAGGAGCTTTCCCAAACAAGGCCTCCATCGGGGTCTTCCCATCAAGCACCTTCGTTGGACAGCGATTCCGCACATACCCAGCGCACACGACTGCGTCAGCCCAGTACACAGTTGGCAAGTTGGCTCCAAGCATCATGGACCGAGCCATCTCGACAATTACGCGATTGCCACGCTCGACCTTCCCATTCTGCTGTGGACTGTACGGAGTCGAGAACTCCTGTACAATGTCGTTCTTCTCACAATAGGCAGCAAACACACCACCTGTGTACTCTGCAGCGTTGTCTGACTTGACGAACGCCACACGATACGTCGGAGCATACGCCTTCATCTTCGCGATGCAGTCCTCGATAGCATCCAGTTGAGCTTGAGAGCTCTTCACACGAAGTGGATACACCATATCTAGATGAAATGGCTCCACAACAACGTTCGCCATACCAGTAAAACCTTCACGAGACGTCACCTGCATTGGCCCCACGTAGTCGATTGCGAGCAGGATCTGGTTTTTCTTGAGGACGCGCTTGTCCTTTGCGGCAAATGGCTTCTGTGACAGCTTGCCACTCACGCACGTTGGGCACGCTTGCTTCACAGCACCTTTCCATGGTACCCCCAGCTCTCCCAGTAGCTGTTGAACACTTTGCACATTTAAGTGTCCAAAGCGGCGATGCCACGTCTCCACATGAGGCGCTTCGCTCGTCATCATTGCGACATCTTCGACGGGCTTGCTGGCAGCATCCAGCACGTACATTTGGTTGTGTGCTCTCGATGCTTGTATGGTCACTCCATTCGACGCGCGAATAGCGCAACCAACTCCCTTAAACTCCACCGTCATCCCGCGACGCGATGCCGCCCCAACAGACACGAGGTTGCGGGCTAGTCTTTTCACAAATAGAACATCTTGGAGGACGCATACCTCTTTCCCGTTCTTGTACAGTGGTGCTTGCCCCATGGCGGTTGCCACCAAGCTGTCACCGGACGCAACTGTGAGCACACGAGGCTCTGCCAGCTCACGCGCCCCCACCAAGTTGTCAGCATGTCCTGTCATGTGGCTCGTGGCCCCGCTGTCCACGATCCACTCTCGCTTGCACTCGTCGGTCACATCGTGGACCGAGAACGCCACACTAGCGGCCTCGCCGCCCCTTGCCCTTCGGTGACACTCGCTCCTTCGAGCAGTCTCGCGCGAAGTGCCCCATATCTTGACAGCTGTAACACTTGACCTTGGTCATGTCACGTTTATTCTTCCCCTTCTTGCCAGCCACTTGTTCAGCAGAGAAGGCTCCATTCGATGCATTCGACTTACCACTGCCATTCGTCGAGCGACGATTCTTCTGCTGGTCTCGACGAATTGCCTCAGCTTGGCACCGCGTCACCATCGCCTCGAATGTCTGGCACATCTCGAGAACGCCGACAAAACCGTTCCACGCAGGTCCCAGACTCTGCATGAAGTTCTGGCGCTTCTCTTCGTCCGCCAAGTACACACGCTGCTCTTGGAGGTCCCCAATCACCCTCTTGGTGGTCTTGATGTGCTCCGTCATGGAGTCACCATCAGCGAGGTACAGACTCATGTACTCTCGTTTCGCAGCACCGACGCTGGCACTACACTTCACGTTGTAGGTCAGCCGCAGGTGGCGCAGCATGGCCAGCGGGTGATCAAACAGATACACCTCCGCCGCCAGTTTCTCCGTCAGCGCCGACAGGATGATCGATGACGCCATCTTCAGCCGCATGACTTGTTCATGTAGTGGTGTTCTCGGAGCCACCGTCCCGGACGTTCCAGCGGCGACAGCCGCATCGTACACCTTCAGCGCTTCAGCCTCCGCTGCAAGCCTGTCAGCCGGTGGCGCATCCTTCTCGACGTCAGCCCAGAGTCCCTTGATCTCGAGGACCAGCTTCACCTGGGCGCCCCACGCTGGGAACCCAGTACCGTTGAACTGCTTCAGCTTCGTCGCGAACGCCGTGGCCGTAGTTGCGGACGTCATAACCTGTCGAAAGTTGACACTTGGAGGAAGGAGGGTTGCGGAGAGGCGGAAAGGCGCTTGTACTCGTCGTGGTGTTTTGGAAAGTGATTGAGCTGGTGGGTCTTTAAAATGCAAAACTAACTGACACTACATGCAGACGGAGTCCCCTTTGACCGAGCCGCCTGCCCAAGCCTTCTCATCGCTCACGTCGAAATACCCACGTCGCTCCCATTGATGTCGCTAGTGCTGGAGCCACTCTGTCGCCCGTGTTCATCCTGTGTCCACTTGACACAGTGGGCCAACGAGTAGTACGTACCAGATTCTCCCTGATGACACTAGATCTGTTCGTCGATGTCAACGACGTTGACGCTCCAACACCGAACATGGTATACTTGGTGCCCAGGATATTGGCACGATGTCCGCTGGACGCCATCCACGCTGTCATCACCGCATCCACCGTCGTCTGTCCGGCCGCGACGTTCTCGGCACAGGCACTCCACTTGAAGCCTGCAGTCGTGATCCGCTGCGACATCGTCGATCCGTCCGAACCAGTGTGACTCATGTAGTTGCTGGCGGCCATGTCGTTCGAGTGGCGTTGGGCTGCAGTCTGCAGCTTCTTGTTCATGCACAACTTGGATAACCCCTTAGCTGTTCGCTGCTTGTTGACAGCCTTAAGCAGCAGCGTCTGGAAACCAGTCGACGAGTACGTCTGTAGCTCTCGAGTAACTGTGGAGTTAGTGATCTCTGTAGCAACAGCAGAGCCGACAGTCGTCGTTGGAAGTGCAGATGCCAACGTCGAGTAGTCGAGCAACGTGAAGGCCAAGAACACCAGAAGGACGATGGAGTCACGGGGAACAGTTGGCATGGTGCTACTTGCAGAGTCACACGGGAGTACTCGGGTATTGGTGGTGAAATTCAGAATGAGCTGATAAAGTGGTCACGGGATTGAGGCAGGTTGCCTTAAACGTATACTTCGAAGTGCATGACTGCGAGCTTTTAGAGGTGGCGGTGCCCATAGCATCCGTAGAAATCTCATCGTGTTCCGTTCATCAATCGCGCTAGCTGCGTCAGATGGGGGGTACAATGTCAGTTATGCTGACACACGGTTCGCTAACGACGAAAGATCGCGGATGACCTGAGCTTCAGCCTACAGTACTGCAGACTCTGCAGGGCAGGCAGAAAGGTAGAGACTGTATGAGGCATTTCGACTGACGACCAAGCTTCTCCAGTTCCCAGAATCATTTTGCGTGACGACATCGAAGCTGAAGCTGTTTTCGATTAAAGAGAGTTATGTACATTGTCTCGGCAAAATACCACTATAGTACAATGTCTATCGGCTTTGCTGCTTCACCCGCAAGCTTCGGTACTGCCTGATGCAAAGACTTGCGTCCAGTAGTACTTGTATCTGCTGTTGGAGGTGCCAGCGTATTCGCAGCCCAACATTGTATTTCTGGCACTCAAGATGTTGGCTCTGTGCCCGGCGGAGTTCATCCAAGAAGTCATGACCCTGCCCACCGTTAGTTGGCCGGCCGCAATGTTCTCGGCGACACTAGTCCAGCGATATCCTGCATCCTGGACTCGAGTCGACAAAGTAGACCCGTCCGAGCCTGTGTGACTGACGAAGTCACGCAGGGCCATGTCTTTCGAGTGGGCCTGGGCAGCCACTTGTAGCTTATTGTTCATGCAGAGCCTCGGTAGTCCGACGGCCACTCGTTCCTTGTTCACAGCATCCAGCATTGTCGTGCGCCAGTCGGTGACGGTTTGCAGGTGGCGCGCGGTGGTATTGCTGGTTGAGTTAACATCGGCCGATGCAGTTGAAGCGCACAGGGTCGTGACGATAGCGACAAACAACAAAGTGGATCGTAATAACTGCAGGAGCGGCATCTTAAGGGGTGGGGGGAGAGAGAGAATGGAGCAAGGAGGGGGTCGAGCTCGGACTGGCGAAAAAGCAGAGTGAGGTCTCAATGTCCTTGGAGAAAAAGCGACCGGATCCGCTGCAACCTCTTCGGAGTGCAACCTCTTGAAGATGCAACCAGTTATTCTGTGAAACCTTGCCTGTCGCTTTCAGTTTTCTGAATATCGTCTAGTCAGGTAGGTGGTGGTGGCTGCTGCCTGTCGCCTTCGCCTAAAAGACTGTACAGGGATATTGTAGATAACGGTCAATTGGGTGGAGCAGGTTGATTCCTCGGAAATAAAGGCCGTGAAGAAGCTCAAAATATTTCATATGTATCGAACGGCTTTGTCTGCATCGATGTAATCCTCTCTGATATTTGAAGTAAACGTTATACCAACGTTATCCCCGTATCCCCTCAGTTGTACTGGGAGGGCAGCTTTAGCTGGCTGGACAGCCTAACCAATTTTTTTACATTGGCGGTGTGCCCCCCCCCCCTTAATACAAAATAATTAATGTACAGTACATAAGTGTTGCGTGGATATTGCTAGGAAGCCCAATGCGAGAAGCCGCTCATTATTGAAGCGGGGTTGGCATCCGCAGCTGGTAATAAGCTAGCGCAAGCTTCGGATGCTTTATTTAATTTATCAATATCACAGGGTCGTAATATCTTCAGCTGGTCCCATAATAATTTCAGCAAGTTGGCCCAATAGCGATTCTTGTTGCTTTCGCTTGAACCCTCTTGTCTTGGCTGAACATGCTGTAACAGCTCGCCTTTTCTCGGTGTCCATGAATCAATAGTCGTCTCTATCGTCTGCACTTTGGGCCATCCATTTATTGCTTGCCTGTCCCAACAGCAATGTTAAATATTACGAAGTACTTCGTATTATATTTCTAAAAATAAAAAAAATTGTAATTCTACTGTAGTAGTATTTCACTGCTATTAGTTTTTGCTCGGTGTTTTTGATGATTATTAAGATGAATACTTTAAAAACAGTTTCTCGTGCTCGACTTCGGTGTTATAATGGTTTCGAGTAAGGAAAAACTCCATAAATTTGAAAAGGAGTTACTGAGCTTGAAAACCTCATTAGCATGGGTTTTGGACGGAGTTTCTTGACATGTGAGCTCTATATTGCTTTTCATCGTCTCCAATTCCTAACTGTACGTAACCTTTTGCTTCTTCACGGCCTTTATTTCCGAGGAATCAACCTGCTCCACCCACTTGACCGTTATCTACAATATCCCTGTACAGTCTTTTAGGCGAAGGCGACAGGCAGCAGCCACCACCACCTACCTGACTAGACGATATTCAGAAAACTGAAAGCGACAGGCAAGGTTTCACAGAATAACTGGTTGCATCTTCAAGAGGTTGCACTCCGAAGAGGTTGCAGCGGATCCGGTCGCTTTTTCTCCAAGGACATTGAGACCTCACTCTGCTTTTTCGCCAGTCCGAGCTCGACTCCCTCCTTGCTCCATTCTCTCTCTCCCCCCACCCCTTAAGATGCCGCTCCTGCAGTTATTACGATCCACTTTGTTGTTTGTCGCTGTCGAGTTGGTTGGAAGGAGACGGGTGAGGCGAAGAAGGAGAATTAGAAAGTGAGTGAGATTAGAACTTACGCAAAGCCTGCTTACACCTAGTCTGCCTGCAGTCCTTGGGTATCGTGTCCAGTCCAGCACGCTGTCGTGTCCTACCTTGAAGTAGACCTTGAAATTGCCAAGATGACTCAAATTACCGTTGCACCTGCGGTCTTACCACTTGATGACGCGTGATATGTAGACCGTGTGCCGCACTGTGCTCACAGAGTAGCACGTTCCGACACTCTTACTCGGCACATGCCAAGTCGCGTGACGAACAAGCTGAACTTTGCTTGTGGCAGCGGCTTGGTGAACATATCCGCAACCATGACCGCGGTCGAACAGTACACGATCTTGATTGTTTCGCGCTGCACTTGCTCGCGAATCCAGTGATAGCGGAGGTCAATGTGACGCGATCGTTGCGAGACGCCCTTGCCTTCAGCCACATGCTGAGCTGCCTGGTTGTCCTCGTGGACTATCACCTTGCCCACGTCAAATCCCAACTCGAACAGCAGCTGCTTGAGTCCGATACACTCTTTGGCTCCGTGCGCTAGAGCAACATACTCTGATTCAGTGGTCGACAGCGTAACAATCGGCTGCTTCTTCGACCCCCATGCAATGCAGCACCCGTTGAGGAATATAACGAATCCCGTCGCCGACTTGCGCTCGCGCTCGCAAGCAAATGCAGCATCACAATACACTTCCAGCTGCAGCTTACGCTGAGAAGATCGACGGTAAACAATCCCCATGTCGGCCGTCCGCGCGATGTAGCCAAGTACACGCCTAACTGCATCTTGTACAGTGCGGGTCGGCTGCTCGGTCTCCTGTGCGATCAGGCGAACTGCTGTTGCGAGATCAGGTCGACTAACCGTTGATGCGTACAGCAGTGAACCGACTTCAGGACGGATCGACTCATCAATGACTTCGGTGTCGTCGGCTACTTGGCGTTGGAAGTTGCTGTCCATTGGTGTCCGGGGTTGCGACCTGTCACCATGGCTGGCGAGCCGCTTCACAACGGTGGCGGCGTACTTCTGCTGTGCGATCGTCAGCACATCACCGTCCTTGTTCCAGCCTAGCTCCATGCTCACGAAGCTGCTTGAAGCATCGCACTTGTTAATCGCGAACCGACTGGTGATGCTGGCTTGAAATGCAGCAAGCTCCGATGCCAAGTTGCTGAAAATTAGCATGTCGTCTACATAAAGTAGCACAACCACAATGCTGTCAGTAGTCCGCTTCACCAAGACACAGGAGTCCGACTGGCATTGCACGAATCCAGTCTCGCACAGGAACTTGGTCACGGTCTCATACCAAGCGCGTGATGCCTGTTTAAGCCCATACAGGGCTTTGCGAAGCTTCCATACCGCTTTGTCGTTGCCCTCGGTGGGTGGAGTGACGAAGATGGTTTCAGCAAGATTGCTGTTCAGGAACGCCGTTTGCACATCGAGCGGAAGATGATCCCAGTCCAGTTGAACAGCCAGAGCAAGAATGGCTCGGATCGAGTCGTGACGTACAACTGGGCTGAAGGTTTCCATGTAGTCCACGCCATACTGCTGCGTAAATCCCTTTGCAACCAGCCTGGCCTTGTACTTGTCAAGTGATCCATCAGGCAGTGTCTTGCGTCGGAATACCCATTTGGTCTGCACTGGACGCACATTCGCTGGAGCGAACACTTCCTCGTAAGTGCCATTGCGACGCAGGCTGTCCAGCTCACTGTTGATTGCTTGACGCCACTGTTCTGCGTCGGGCCGAGCCATGGCTTCCTGCAACGTAAGCGGGTCGCTTAGCTCGCTGACCAATGCTGTCTCCTCCGCGTTGTGCGACTGCTCGTAGTCCAGCCTACGCACGGATTTCTTCTTGATGCGCGTACTGCGACGAGTTGGCTGTTTTTCCGCGCGAGGATCAATGAGATGGCGCTCCGGCAAGTCACTCAAAGGTTGACTGCCATCCGCGCCACTAACCAGTTGACTGCCATCAGAGTCCTCCATCTCGATGTCTTCTTGGATCGCTTCGAGATAGCGAGAAGGTGCGACCCCATCCACTGGCTCGTCATACACCTGCGCTGGTAGTTCTCCATTTAGCGTCACCGTCGTGTTTCTCGGTACGCTTGACTCAAAGAATACTGCAGTCATGGAGACAATAGCTCTCCCACTGCCTCCGTGACCACTGGGTACCCAAAACCGGTAGGCGCCGCTCTTCTCGTACCCGATGAAAATCGCCTTGATGGTCTTTGCGTCGAGCTTGTGACGCTGTGACTTCGGCAGTAGGACTTCAGCATCACAGCCAAATACTCGAAGCCTGCTCAGCACTGGGGCGCCGCCAGTCACCGCTTCGAGCGGAGTCTTGCCACCAAGTACCTTTGTTGGGCAGCGGTTCCGAATGTATGCAGCCGTCAGCACCGCGTCACTCCAGAAGCGTTTCCCCAAACCGGCAGCCTGCATCATCGCTCGCGCCATTTCAACGACGACTCGGTTACTGCGCTCAACCTTGCCGTTCTGTTGTGGTGTGTATGGCGTGCTGAACTCCTGTGCAATCATGTTTTCATTGCAGAAGTCAGCGATTTCTCCTCCCACGTATTCTGCCGCATTGTCGCTTTTCAACACCGCCACTCTTGCACTCGGGATCACCACCTTGAGGTTGGCGATGCACTCGCGTAGCGCGCTCAGCTGGGTGACCGAGCTCTTGTCCTTGACAGGGAAAACTGAGGCGAGATGGTATGGCTCGATCATCATGCTCACCATGCCTGTGTAACCGTCCCGTGACGTGGTTTCCATTGGCCCCACATAATCGATAGCGATCACCATCTGCCCGCGCTTGAGCTTTCGCGGCTTCTTTTCCGGAAATGACACACTGGCCAGTTTCCCAGCTGCACAGGACCCACAAGGGAGCAGCTGCGAGCTTCGGGTTGTCACATCACCGGCTTTCAGCAACGCCTTTAAATCCCGAGCATTCAAGTGGCCCAATCTGGCGTGCCAGGTAGCTAAGTCGTCCAATTGGTCTCCAGACGCGTATTCCACCTCAGCACAATTGCCTGTGCTGAGGGCCGATACAACATACAGCCCACTGGTGCGACGTGTAGCAAGTAGCTTATCGTGACCGCTGGTGATGACACAATGCTCACGATTGAAGGTTGCCGTAAGGCCAGCTGCTCCGACCTTGCTCAAGCTCACAAGATTGCGCTTGAGGCCTGGGACGTACAGCACGTTGTCCAGTGTGCAGGTGCCGTTAGAGACGAGAGGTAGGTGAGCCGTTCCGCGATGCGTAGCGCTCAGCTTCATGCCACTCGCAGTCGTAACCACGATGTCATTGTCCATCTTGTTCAGGCCATTGAGCAGACCACGCGATCCCGTCATGTGACTCGAAGCTCCTGAGTCAATGATCCAGTCAGCTCCCACCGACTCTGCACTAGAGCTGACTTGGAAGGAAAAACCGCTTTCCTCACCTTCGTCGTCGTCTTGTCCAGACGTAGCAGCGTGGCCGAAGGCACCACCAATTTGCTTGGCCTTGCACTCGTTCTTGAAGTGACCGTACTTCCCGCAGTTGAAGCACTTGCCCTTCTTCGCGCCTGGCTTTCCGTGCGTAGCAGCAGCAAATGCATTACCACCTCGCACAGCCTGCGTTCCACCACGCTTTCCGCGTTGCGTCTGCGTCGTGCGGCGCCTGGCTTCGGCAGCCGCCTTGATCAGCAATTCCTCCATCGAAACACACGATTCCAGCGATCCAATGTAGCCATTCCAGTCAGGTCCAAGGCTCAGCAGGAAGTTGCTCTTCTTTTCCGCGTCCGTCAGAACTACCTTGTAGCACTCCAGCTCAGCAAGCATCAGGCGCGTCTGGCGGACGTGCTCCAGCATGTCGCCACCAACGTCGACATAAAGCGACATGTACTCTCGCTTGAGAGCCCCAACGGTTGTGTCACACACGTGACGATGCGTCTTCTGCAGCGCCCCCAGCATGGCCTTCGGGTGCTGAAGATCAGCCACCAACGCAGCTTGATCATCCGTCAGCGCTGCCAGAATGATGGTCATGGCCAGCTTCTGCTGCATCTCCAGTTGGTGCAGCGGTCGCTCTTGCTGCCGTAACGGCCGATCGGCTTGGCCGGACTCTTCGTTCTCGAGCTGGAGCAACGTCGGTGCGGGCTTCAGCACCGCGCTCCATACGTCCTTCACCTCCAGGTAAAGTTGGAGTTGCCGCGCCCAGACTCGGTAGCCCGTTCCGTCGAACTTGCGAAGCTTGGTCGTGAACGCGGTCGTGGTGTTGGCACTCATAACCTGTCGAGTTGGTTGGAAGGAGACGGGTGAGGCGAAGAAGGAGAATTAGAAAGTGAGTGAGATTAGAACTTACGCAAAGCCTGCTTACACCTAGTCTGCCTGCAGTCCTTGGGTATCGTGTCCAGTCCAGCACGCTGTCGTGTCCTACCTTGAAGTAGACCTTGAAATTGCCAAGATGACTCAAGTTACCGTTGCACCTGCGGTCTTACCACTTGATGACGCGTCATATGTAGACCGTGTGCCGCACTGTGCTCACAGAGTAGCACGTTCCGACAGTCGCTATCGTCACGACCCTGTGCGCTTCAACTGCATCGGCCGATGTTAACTCAACCAGCAATACCACCGCGCGCCACCTGCAAACCGTCACCGACTGGCGCACGACAATGCTGGATGCTGTGAACAAGGAACGAGTGGCCGTCGGACTACCGAGGCTCTGCATGAACAATAAGCTACAAGTGGCTGCCCAGGCCCACTCGAAAGACATGGCCCTGCGTGACTTCGTCAGTCACACAGGCTCGGACGGGTCTACTTTGTCGACTCGAGTCCAGGATGCAGGATATCGCTGGACTAGTGTCGCCGAGAACATTGCGGCCGGCCAACTAACGGTGGGCAGGGTCATGACTTCTTGGATGAACTCCGCCGGGCACAGAGCCAACATCTTGAGTGCCAGAAATACAATGTTGGGCTGCGAATACGCTGGCACCTCCAACAGCAGATACAAGTACTACTGGACGCAAGTCTTTGCATCAGGCAGTACCGAAGCTTGCGGGTGAAGCAGCAAAGCCGATAGACATTGTACTATAGTGGTATTTTGCCGAGACAATGTACATAACTCTCTTTAATCGAAAACAGCTTCAGCTTCGATGTCGTCACGCAAAATGATTCTGGGAACTGGAGAAGCTTGGTCGTCAGTCGAAATGCCTCATACAGTCTCTACCTTTCTGCCTGCCCTGCAGAGTCTGCAGTACTGTAGGCTGAAGCTCAGGTCATCCGCGATCTTTCGTCGTTAGCGAACCGTGTGTCAGCATAACTGACATTGTACCCCCCATCTGACGCAGCTAGCGCGATTGATGAACGGAACACGATGAGATTTCTACGGATGCTATGGGCACCGCCACCTCTAAAAGCTCGCAGTCATGCACTTCGAAGTATACGTTTAAGGCAACCTGCCTCAATCCCGTGACCACTTTATCAGCTCATTCTGAATCTCACCACCAATACCCGAGTACTCCCGTGTGACTCTGCAAGTAGCACCATGCCAACTGTTCCCCGTGACTCCATCGTCCTTCTGGTGTTCTTGGCCTTCACGTTGCTCGACTACTCGACGTTGGCATCTGCACTTCCAACGACGACTGTCGGCTCTGCTGTTGCTACAGAGATCACTAACTCCACAGTTACTCGAGAGCTACAGACGTACTCGTCGACTGGTTTCCAGACGCTGCTGCTTAAGGCTGTCAACAAGCAGCGAACAGCTAAGGGGTTATCCAAGTTGTGCATGAACAAGAAGCTGCAGACTGCAGCCCAACGCCACTCGAACGACATGGCCGCCAACAACTACATGAGTCACACTGGTTCGGACGGATCGACGATGTCGCAGCGGATCACGACTGCAGGCTACAAGTGGAGTGCCTGTGCCGAGAACGTCGCGGCCGGACAGACGACGGTGGATGCGGTGATGACAGCGTGGATGGCGTCCAGCGGACATCGTGCCAATATCCTGGGCACCAAGTATACCATGTTCGGTTGCGGGTACGCCTACAAGTCGGGCACAACCTACAAACACCACTGGACGCAGAATTTTGCCACCGGCAGTAAAGAGAGCTGCTCGTAACTAAAAACGACCAACGCTTCGCTTACCGTTTTGAGTTATTATGAAAGCGTACAAGTGAGAAGCGCAAAAATGAACCGCGAAAAGGATATGGAAGACCAATTTACACACTCCATTCACTCCGCTAGCTATATAATAATAGACTGGTGCGATGCACGCTACAGGGAGCGGGGCTGACACGAGCGTGGAAGAGCAAGTCCAGTTACGGCGGGTGTTTCGGCTGCTAGCGTTCGACACTCCTCTTCGACGACTGGAGCACAAGCTCGAGGTGGTTGATCGGCGTGGCACACAGTGACAAGACCTCGCTGACCATGATCGAGTTGTGGTGATTTACTCAGAAACTGTCGGAAAGGGAGCAGGGGGTCAAGTGTCCAGAGGTACAGGGTACAGGGCGTTGTATAGAGGCGTCACTTAGTGAGGCCAGTAAGTCAATACTAGTGCTCCATTTATGATACATGTACGACGTATATGATGCTGACAGCGACAAGCTCCACGAGGACGATACGCGCAATTGGAACAGGACACGAAACGAGAGCATTACATGAAAGAGAAGCTCAAGTACCTCGCCACGCTACAGGATGAAGAGAATCTCGGACATGAACTCGTCAGCTTCAAGTACCCGATCGACACGAAGGGTCTGTTGACGGTCTACGAACAGCTCGGATACCAACTCTCAGGACAGGAAAAGGGTCGTCTGGAAGAGGTGATTTGGCAGGTGAACGACAACCTGGACGGTGCTATCTGCTTCGAAGAGTTCGTCAACAGCTACGTGAGGTCGCGCAACGATCGCTCGGGCCTCGAGCCGTCCGAAATATTCTTCCTCACGTGTTTTCTTATGTTCGACAAGGAGTGCTGCGGGAGGGTACGCCTCGACGATGCAGCATGTCACTCATTAGCAGTCTGATAAGTCGTGTATGTGGCACCAGATCTCCTTGGACGATGCGATGGGAATATTGTGAGAGATCGCACGCCAGTCCCTTCGTAGCAGTCAAAGGCGCACTAACCTCGCTATCAATCGTAGGTACCTCAAGTACGACGAGGCTATGGAACGCGAGATGGAGATCCACTTCGGCAAGCTGCTGGACGAAGGCGCCCATTTCGTAACCTTTGTGGAGGTACGTCCCTTTCGTTCCCCTCTTCTCAAGGCCCTTTTTAATATTTCTGTCCACAACACAGTTCCACGAGGCTACCATTAAGCGTCTGGGTGAGCTCATCGACCAGCAAGCTCCTTTCGCCAGGCCGAACAAGTTCTGCAAAAAGCTTTAGCGATAGAACTCACTGCAATATACAGTATCCGCAAAGGTACTTTAGAAAAACTGTCGTTTGCATCTGATGCAGTGGTGTTTCGCCAAGAGTAGCGTCTGAAAATCGGGCAATGGGCATGGATGTTGGTTTTTATCAACGTAGCCGGCCGCATCACTCGGCATCAACGGCCCATTCACGAAAAAGGTAAATTTAATTAATCTAATAATAATTACGGTTGGGTCTCCATTCAAGATCAGCAATATTAATGTCGGGATTTTACAAGTCCTTGATTTTGGAAATGGAAAATTGGTTTGGAATTTAGTACTGTACAGGTACGATAATTGTGTGATACCGTCGAAATTCAAAGTCTTTGATAATTTTTATTACTCAAGAGTAAGAAAAACTCGTGGCAAGCTTTAAAATTTAACGCAATGTCTATCTCTTCTACTTAAAGTTGTTAGTCCTTCAACCGCAAATTTCGACATTGCCCGACGCAAAATCTTGCGTCCAGTAGTGCTTGTACTTGCTGCTGGAAGTGGCAGCGTAACCGCAGCCAAACATTTTGTGCTTTGTGCTCAATATGTTGGTTCGGTGTGGCTTAGACCTCATCCACGACGCGAGAACGCTGCTCACTGTTGCCTGGCCGGCAGCGACGTTTTCTGCGATGGAAGCCCATCGGTAACCCGCACCTCGGACTCGAGACGACATGCTTGATCCGTCCGAGCCGGTGTGACTGAGGAAGCTCCGCTTAGCCATGTCTGACGCATGGACCTGAGCAGCATTTTGCAGTTTCCTGTTCATGCAAAACTTTGGTAGTCCACGAGCTGCACGCTCCCTGTTTACAGCATTCAGCATTGCAATACGGTAGTCGCTGGCGGCTTCTTTCAAATAGCGAGTAGTATTGTTGACAGTCGAGTTGTTATCGGCAGCAGCTTCAAGGTCGGCAGAAGCGCTTGAAGCCCATAGGGTCGTGACGACAATGACGACCAGCAAAGTGGATCGACACAATTTCCGGAGCGACATCTCGGGATATTTGAGTTGAACAAGTAGACCGAGCTCGGACTGGCGAAAAACAAGAGTGGGAGCGGACTCGAAGTCCGAGTCCGCTCGGAAATGACGCCCGGATCCGTTGCAATCACTTCCAACTGCCCTGGGCTGTAACCAGAGATGCCATGGAGCATTGACCCTCGCCTCCACGTTTCAATGAACGAACGTTACTAGTTCGAAGTAGACGTTATGCGTAATAACTTTTTAGGCATTATTTTAACGTCTTCCAGAACTTCTGGGCCAGCAGTAACGTTAGTGGTCGGTGGTGGTTGCTGTTTTGCCTTGCCTGTCGCCTACGACATAATACAGTGCCTGACTGTGATAACGGACGCCATGTCGATTCTCGAGCCAGATGAACAACTTGTCATTCCGATGATATTAGAGCGCTGTCCAACTAAGCTTTTAGATAAAAAAATTATGTAAAATAATTAAACAATAAAATTGTTCTGTTTAATAATTTTCTATTTTTAAATACCGGTACTTAAATACTATCCGATAATTGTTTTAAACTTCCTCTGTCTGAAGGATTAATTCTTCAAGTTTAAATTACTACGGGAAGACTCTACGATGCTGTAGCGATCAACAGGAATTAAAACAAATCTTAGAATTCAAAGTGTTGTCGATTAGATTGATAAAGTGCTCATCATATCATCAGCACCCTTGGCAATGAAGTCATCTTCTAAGAGCCCGTCAGCATAGTGCTTTCCCGCAACGTCCCGTGATTAATATGTTCAAATTAAACGCGATGGCGTCACACGAAACCATAGACAAGATTCCAGAAAATGTGCTTGTTGTATTCGAATCGCCACATCTACTCGTCAACTTCGTTGCTCTTTGGTTCCTGCCATCGCATAGAGAAAACAGAAGACACAGGTGAGTAAAACTGTAGAGATGAAATGGTTTGTTACACAGTGCATCGTTATACCTGCGGCTCCAAGTCGTCCCCGTAGTTGATGGCGTGGTCCACGTGCATGAGCACGGTTTCAATGCTCTCCTCGCGGTTTATGTTCATAGGAACGAAAGCGACCATACTAAAGTCGTTGATCTGTGCACAGAAGTAACCCAAATTACAAATTAAACGTGCGCGAGTCGCCCTTTGCATGAGCATACAGGGGTGCACCAGGTTCACGTACCACGTTGCAGATCGCTGTGCTCAGCGGACGCCACTTGGGATCAGTGGAGTTCGCGAGGTTTTCGAGGAGATAGCCCTCCGATGGGTCCAAGTATCTGCAATAAACATTCGGTATTAACATCTGAAACCTCACCGAGTTCACAGAATCCGCACGTACTTTGACATCTCCTTCTCATCGACAAGATCGCACTTGGTGAGGACATTGATGTGAGGCAGTTCAAGTTGAACCATGGCCGAGAGTGAGCAGAGCACGCCCGAGATGAACTTGGTCGGGTCAACGATAAATAAGGAGTCGATCTGAGCACACCGAGTGTAGGTAAGGCATACGCAGAAAAACCCGAGGTCAAAGCAACAAACCAAGTAAACACAACAAATGTTGAATCCCCAGTCTTTCAGGGAATCGCAAAGCTGCTTCATCACTGGAAGGTGCGAGTACAGCTCGATCTGGCCTGCGTAAACCCAGCAAGTACTGCCACTTCAGCACTAGCACACCCTGGTATTAATCCAGCACAACCCACTAACTAACCTGGGCAGTCGAAGATGAAATAGTCTTCGTCACTGTACTCTCCCAGGAGGTCTTGCAGCCAGTCGAGGTTCTGCACAAGATACCTTTTGTCGACACTCCATCGGTCAGTCCACGCTCAATTCTGACCAAAATGCAGCAGTCCAATACTCACTCCATGCAGTAAATGAGGCCACCATTCGGACCGTAGCCCAATTCCTCCATCACGTCTTCCACGCTGATCAAATCGCGGATGTCTGGTGCATCTCACAGCAGAAATCGTTACTCCACCGGGACTGACGCAAATTTAATAGGACAAGCGGCATACCGAAGGCCACGGGATAATCGAAGTGGTCAGCGGCTGGATCCAGGTTCACCACATACGTCATACGTCCAGACGCAGCGCAGAACTCGTGCATGTTATTGCAGTACGTGGACTGCAATCGAAAAGCAGCAAACAAACCAGCACCCTTGGGTCAGAATTCGCTCAAATTACAGCAACCGAGTGGAAAATCAACGGAGAAGAGCATCGGACTTTCGTCGTACCTTGCCGGTGCCCGCAGGGCCCATGACCATTTGACAACAGCGCATGATGAACGAGCTCCAATTACGTCGCTTTCTGAATGATGACCAGGGCCAGCAACACAGTGCAGCTACCGTAGCTGCTTCGAGTAAGTACGGATTACGTTAGCGCCAATAACCGTCTATTATAGAGGAGGCACAGAATGCGCTAGAAAAATGCCTGAGTACATACTTTTAATACTACCGGTACAGTAGTAAGTGCTAAGTACTAGCTTAGTACTACTAAGTACAAGTCTTGGATGACACTTTCTGAACGCACAACAATTGAACGCAAAAGCACATGACATGTTACTGATACATTTCGTTCGAACTCGGCGCTGACTCTGACAGGGTGTCACCGTTTCCAATGGAAAGCGCTTGATGGAAATTCCATCAAGCGCGTGATGTGCCGTCTCCATTACCAGTGACGAAGACTTCATGACGCGCGAGCCTGTTGGCTGAGAGTTTGTCCCTACGCTGCGAGGGAGCCGCGTCGCGAAGACCCGAGGTTATTGCTACTATCCTTACGTTCAATCTCGTCCCAAGAGCAGCCCACAACTCGGTCCATGAACGCGTCGGACCACTTGTGGCTCCCGCCAGGCGAGCTCTCCTTGCCCAGTTTAGCACGCTCATCAAACACACTACTGCATGTCTTGCACACACGCTTCAGGTTGGACCGCTCGTCGGACGCATTGCGGTCGATGTGGCCTATAAAAGTGGACGGGAACGCCTCACTCTCTACCGAGACATGCGAGCAGCGGCCGCAGATGAGGCGACCGCAGTGACGGCAGTGGTGACGGCGCACGCCAACGCCGAGACGACTGAAGTTTCGCAGACAGATCATGCAGCCCTTGCGCTCCATGTTCGGGACCCACACGGGCGGGTACGAGATCTTACCGCAGAGTTGACGCAGGACCTTGCGGTCGACCTTTTCAAAGACCATGTGGCCCTGCGCATCCTTCGCGTCTAAACGACCTCCATGCCGCACCAATCGGTAGGCGACCTCATATAATTTGAGATCCAGAGCCTTGTGAAGCAGCGTACTGTTGCCGAGCGCACCGTTCGGGTCTGTCTTGTGTTGCAGCAACATCTCAGCAATAAGCGGATCATCGCGCTTAGTCGTGACGATGTGCACAGCCAGCGGTGTCTGGTTCCTGTTGTTCACACGTGAGGCGTCGGCGCCGTGCTCCAGCAGGTACTTGGTGATACGGCGCGACTTGGCCGACGCCAGATGCAACGGAGTGTTCTGTCGGTTGTCCACGGCATCAATCAGCAGACCGCGTGTCTTTTTACCGCACAGCAACTGCACGGCGTGCAGCTGGCCGAAGCGCACAGCAATGTGCATCGCCGACTGGCCGTGCACCGGGTCACGCTCCGTGAAGTCCGTGTTCCTGTCCAGCAAACACGTGCGCAGCAGCTGGATATTGCCGGTCTTAACAGCGCGAAGATAGTCCGAAAGACCCTCTTCCGTCACGCGCGGACCAAAGTGCATGACGGAGCCGCGTCCGCTCACTAGATCCGTACTGCGAGTGCTAGCGAACGGGTCTACACCGCGACTGCTGTCGAACACGTTGCTGCTTCGGCTGCTACCGAACTGATCGTTGCTGCGGATGCTGTCGATCCCCATGTTGCTGCTGCGACTGCTAGCGTACATGTCGACACTGCGGCTGCTCTCGAAGTTTTCCGGGGCTAAGCTATCGCGGGACATCATGGCTGTCTTGAGGTCCTGAGGCTTGAGATCACTCGGACGGTAGCGCATCATGCTATCGCGGTGGCCATTGTTACTCCCACCGACCGGATGAGACGCAACTTCGGGTACGGTTGGCGCGTCCGTGGCTTTCTTCTCCACCGACAAGCGATCGATCTCTGAATTGCCGCGTGAATTTCGAGGCACTCCCAAATTGACCATCTTGTTGTTATCCGCGGGGTTTGCAGGCGACTGATTCATGGGCATACTCTTGCACTTGCGGAGCTTCAGGTCTGTGGTTAACTTGTCATCCACGCTGTTGTTCAAGCTACGGCGTCCGCTGCTGTGCGGTGGGCTTTTGCGACGCGAAGATGGCTGCGGAGACTTCACCTTAGGCATCGTGGGGGGAAAGTAGTCGTCGTCATCCTCGTCCTCGTCGTCATCTTTCTTGTCATCGCGCTGTTTGTCCTGCTCATCCTCCTCGCCGGCACTGGAGATGGGGTCGGTGTCTGGAGACTTAGGGCTGGAGTCCTGCGTGTCCGTGATGGAAACGTTGGACGCCTTCTTCATGAGGTTGGACGGGAATGCCGGTTGCAGACTACCACGCGGAGCTGCCATCCAAGCCGGGTCGTCTGACACGTCGTCGTCGTCGCTGTCGCCGTAATACGGTGACTGCTGCGAATGCTGTTGCTGGTTAGATACTCGCACTGAGAGACTGCCGCGTACGGGTGGCGCATTGTGGTTCACCAGGCCTTCGTGGTACGGCATGTAGGCCAGATCCAGCTCGTTGCTGGTGCGTGTTTCCAGCATCGGTGACGCAAGTCGCACTGTTCGTAAGAAACCGCTTCAAAGAGCTCTGCTGCTAGCCGAGGAAATGCGCGAGTGACAGAAGGGGTCGGTTGTCGATTTGCAGCTCCGTTTCTGCGACGCAGTGCATACCGTACCGTAACCCTTCTGATTGTGACACGGACATGGAAATTCCAAGTTGGAATGCAAGTTGAACTATTAATAGTAGCTTAGAGCTACATGTACTGTATTTGACCTGTACTAATACTATTATTATACTTTTTATTTGATAGTGCCAACTGGGTCACAATTTGTGACCCAGTTGGCTGTAGAGACTCTCAACTTGGAGGTAACCGTTGCTGTTCGTGCAATGTTCGTGGTGTTCTGTGGGCAGGAGGCCATGCTGCCTCTTCCCTGTGTCACACATGGAAGTTGGCGTTTTAATTTTCTCGTGCTTTGATGCAACACGAAGGAAGTTTGCCAGCAACACAAGGCGGACAGGAAGCTGCCAGCTGGAATCTGTCCTTCCAACGTAGGTTGCACTTCTCGCATCCTGTGCTCATGACCGGAACGACCGGAAAACCATCGCCCGCACCGTAAGGCACAAGAACTGGGCTAGTGACCCGTATGTGAAGGCCTTTGTGGCTCAGTGAGCTGTCTGTGTTGCATTGTGCCAGGCTGTATGCTTGGTGGAACTCCATAGACGCCGATCCCGGGTGATAACTGTTGCACTTTGTCAGACGTTATTGTACAGACTGTAGATTCATACTGTCACAGTTATTTTTTTTTAATAATACCGGTACAGTGATCGCTGGGGCCGTGGCATTTGCACGTGGAGGCACGAACCGCACAATTACTAATACCCACGTTGATGGCATTTTGGCAGCTTGGCCGCTTTTCCGTGCAGCGGCAAACATTCAGGTTTCTTGAAGAACCTCTTCGTTCGACAATGCGATCGCTGTCCCTTTGCGGAAATGTTAGAGTTGCGGGGCAGCTCGCTAATAGTGAGTCGCTATGGGCACCGGTAACGCTTGGACGCATTGCAAACGGGTGTCATGGTCATCCAGCTCAACGAAGGTGTGGTCGCATCTGGTAGACGATGCTGGGCTTATGATATCACACCCCACTCCGAGAGAGCACGGATAAGAAAGATCTATGAAGAAAATGAGAAGATCAAAAGGCTCCAACTGAGCAAACGATCTTCTCATTTCCCAAGTGATAAACGACAAAAGCTTTGCAACGCCTTTCCGGCTAGGAACCCGGTATACAGTGACCAGCAAAGGCGTCCGACATGATGCCGGCGGCATCTACCCCCGTTACTTAGGTTCTCATGGTACAGGACCCGTACCATGAGAACCTAGTGGTCGTGGACCACGGTCCGTGGTAGCCTGCCAACACTTCAAGCACTCCAGCATCTATTAATGGTTTGCGACCTACCTGTCACAGGAGGATACACTCAGCTTTAGCTAGTCCAGCCCGTCAGTACCTAGTGTTGTGCCCTGAAATGATCGGACGCAGACGTTGGTCGAGGCACGCAGCAGAAGGCGATCGAGATCGATACTGTAGCTGCATATCCAGCCAGCATCCATCCAAGCTCAATATCAGCAGCATGCTGAGGGCTATTAACTACTTCGACTTTCAAATGCGAACCCTAGGACAACGCCAGAATAACTCAAGCAATTGGGCAGTTCTCTTATAAACTGCATTTCAGTCTCTATCGTCAACGCGTCCTTGTATTACATATCGAGGCCTAGTACTGTCCATACTGGTATTCTTCCTGCTGCTGCTGGATCTGCGGCTTCTTGCCCTCCAAATGCGCCAGAACCTGAGATAACTGGAACTTGACTTCCTCGTTCATCTGCACAGCAACATCACCAACGTTAAGACAGCTCCATTTCTTCGTCGCATTTGTATACTGCGCCGCAGTGACCGCACCATCAGATCCGTGTTCTCTTCCTCCTCTTTGCTATCAACGAACTTCTTGAGCAGCTTGGCCGCCGCCTTCTCGCTGATCGCCGTCGTCTTAAGCACCTCCATCCCGTTTGGAATTGGCTGGCCGCAACCGAAAGTATACATTATATACATGTATACTATAAATACTGCACAAAGTGCGTCGAGTATGCCGACGACGTGGCTCACCGGTGCATTCCAGTGGCCCTCGTGGGCGTCTTCCTGTTGCCTGGGGCTACTCGTATGTCTTCTGTCTCTGCACACGATAGAGAAGCTGTTCGTCCTGCAGACATCTAGATATACGAGTGGCAAACAAATCTATACCACGAACGATGAGGCTTTTGCGAACTTCCAGCGGCAGTATCTTGTCGTCTACGGTCTCGTCATGTTCGCCGACTGGTTGCAGGGCACGCACATGTATAGTTTGTACCAGGTGCAGCGTTAAAACTGCACTACGCGATACTGAAGTGGCTCAGCTGATACTTGTCGTCGTCTTTGCTGTTGGACAGAGCTACGACATGAACGTCGGGGCACTATTCCTAACAGGGTTCCTATCCTCGGTGGTGTTTGGCAATTTGGTTGGGCCGCTGGTTGACAAGTACGGACGACGCAAGGCGTGCTTGGTGTATTGTGCTTTGGAGGTCGGTGCGGTGCTGGAATTGTAATTAGAGAGGTGCAGATTGACTTTTTGGTGTCTGTTGCTGATGTTACTGCATTAGATCGTTATCAACATTTTAGAGCATATACCGATTATGGCAGTTCTACTGGCTGGGAGAGTAATGGGTGGGATCTCGACGTCGCTGCTTTTCTCGGCCTTTGAGAGTTGGATGGTCACGGAGCATCGGCGACGGGGTAAACTCCTTTTTCAATTGCTGTTGACTTACTCTTCTTGGCATCTCGTGTTAATATATTATCTGTCGTTTAGGCTTTGCGAATAGTCTGCTGGGAAAGACATTCGCTCATGGGTCTGAGATTAATGGTGTTGTCGCTGTAATTGCTGGGCTTATTGCTCAGATTACTGCCGATGTTTTTGGAGATATCGGGCCATTTCGTGCTGTGGTTATTGTGACGGCAATCGCTGCTGCATTTGTTTTCTCTTGGTCTGAGAACTATGGATCACCAACCAAAGATAGTCGCGAGGAGATCCGAAAGCTAGACAATTCGGAAGACAGCAGAGTAACAGCTGACTCCGGTATGCTTGCGGATTCGTACGCATTGGGCTGTTGCTATTCGCTTTTTGAAGGAGCGATGTATGTGTTTGGTAAGTGTCATATTGCCACATAATGCTAGAACATCCTGGGCTAATTTTTCATACTGTAGTATTTTTGTGGTATCCAACACTGGAGGCTGTCGTGCCGAGCGGTGAACTGCCAAGTGGTCTGGTGTTTTCGAGTTTTATGCTGTGCATAGCTATCGGTGGCAAGCTGTTCAATCTAGTAGACAACTCGTGTGTTCGTGAGGAACTGTTGCTCCTGGTTACTGCTACAATTTCTTCGATTTCTCTCCTCATTCCTACGGTTCGCTTTGATGATGTCGTCATGGTGGAATTGCTCGTTTGAATTTGCTCACAGTCTTCTTGTTTTGTTGTTACAAAGGTTTCGGAAAACTATCAGTACATCTTAGGCGGATTTTTGGTATTCGAGGTGAGCAAATGAAGCGGCCTAGACTAATTGGTTCAGCGGTACTCACGCTATCTTGTCTGACAAGGTGTGTGTCGGACTGCTTTCCCCATGCTGCGCAACGTTGCGAAGTAAATATTTCCCGAAAGCCGACTTGTGCACAACATTATCACTGTTTCGACTGCCAACGAACATTTTGGTGGTCCTCGGAACTGCAGGTGCGAGCTACTTCACCAGTGATCAGCTTTATTACGGGTGCAGTGCGGTCCTTGTAGTAGCTACCGGATGTGCTGCGAAACTGGTTCGGTCTTCGTCGATCACATCGACGCCACGAAGAAATCGTAAGGCACAATAAGCACGGAGTTTCAATCTGTCATAACCTGGTTGAGCTGCCGAGGCTGCCTCAGTAATTCTTGGGAAATACTTCAAAGTAATAATGTTATACTACATAGTATCTCTGTCCACTGTCTCATTCTGGCGTTTGCTTTCGCTTGCTCCTTGATCACGTCTATTTTTTTTATCAACCTAATTGTCACTACTCCCAGATACTTTGCCTCTGATGAACAAGAATATGAGCAGAAGGAAAAGCTGCAGATAACACAAAAGGAATACGTGAGCACATAGTGTAATCCCACCACATCGCATTCGTGTAGCAAGCACACGCACCAGAATTAATGCTCCGATGGCAATGTTCATCTTCACGTTTTCCCACCATAAGTGGCGGTGGAGGTTCGAGCTCGACTTGGCAAATGCTGCAGATTGGGAGCTACACGGCAAAAAAAAAAAATCGAGTTAGTATTCGTAACCTCATAGAGCTTACTGCACAGTAGGCTATCGTCTACGCACTTCAGCTGGTCCGTTCTGTCCACAAGCAACTCAATTTTATCGCCTCGTTCCAGCACTTTATCTGTCCATCGCATCGAAAACAACTCCGTCAGCGCTGTCTTCGATATGCACACCTCTACACTCAACGTCGTACTGATATTGTCCTGAACGTTGAATTTTACATTGTCCAGGTCCTTCTTAAGCGCTTGCAGCTTCTCCGCCCCTTTATCTGACGAGAATGTTTCCTACTCCAGCACATTCACAGTCAGTATTCTATCGCCCAATTAAAATATCTCTTGTAAAACCATTTGCTTCTTCAGCGTCGGCGCAAAGTCCCGATTCATGTCCAATTTGAGCTTCGTGGCCTTGCCTCGTATGCCAAACTGGTTGTCGAAAAGCTGGTTAATGTGCTTAAGAAACAGAGCCGCCGAACTGCCACAAACATCAATACCACATCCGTTTATGCCCAGCCAATAGCGAACGCACCTTTTGCCGAACGCAGCGTTAGTGACACAGACGTAGGCCACTTCGTTGTCCACACGGTAGCTGTACGTCTTGCCATCAAAGTCCATGGCCTCCACTGCGTCCTCGGCCAAATTAAGCTTCTTCAGCAACTTCTGTGCAAACTCGTTCATGCTCTTGTCGCCACCGTTGCTGTGCTCGGCCAGAGGACAGTGTTGGTTGGCCACCACGCAGTAAAAAATCGCCATGGCGAAGCAGCAACAATCAAGTCGAAAAATGCCAGTGAAAATAAAACGTTTCTTCTCGTCGACCAATCGTACTTAACAATAGGAAGCCACGGTACCCTTAGTGTAAGCCACTTCAACTTCCACGAGTTGCGACCTTTTGACTTGACACATTGCTTCGCGAGAATGGAGCAAGACCTGTCGTACTCGTACTCGTCTAAGCCGCGACCCGTGCAGACAAATCGAGGCAAAACGCGCGATGGCGGTAATAAAGCTGTCCCGACAAATATTATGCACGACCCCAGGATCCCGCGCGGCAGTGTCTTTGCTCCAGTACGAGCTGAAGCTTGTACAATCAACAGTTCCATCGCCACTAATTGTGATTGCGTAGGTCAACACGTCGAGATCAAGTGAGGGTCGGGAGAAGGCGAAGAAGCGGAGAAACACAGCAAATAAAAGGAGGAGTAACAACAATAGGAACCATGTGAACGCCTTTAAGACGATGGCTGGACCGTCAAACGGATGTAAGTGGATCACGATAGTTTTGCTGATATAATATTCGTGTAGTGACTTGTAGACAATTCACATTACGCCGTGGTAGTCACTTCGATATCACTGGCTTCGAACCTGATTGAACAAACGCAGCCAACATCAGAGCGCGAGTCCTTCAGCCAGACGGACGAGTTCTTATCGCGGACGGTGAATGCACGCAATGCAAAAACGAACGACATATTCATACGACCGAAGATCGGTATCGACACATTTACGCAGGCGAGTATTTTATCGGGTTGAGCATGGATTTATCTGTTTCGCTAATTTTTCACTAATGGCTGCCTTGAACAGATTGAAGAATCCGATGGACTGTTTAACTTTGATGTCGAGGTGAAGCCGCTTTTGAATGTATTGGTGAACAAAACACTCGCGCAAGCATTGTTGGAAGTGAAGGAAGAGCAGGAGATGCAGATTTTACACTGTCAGCATGAAGTGCTGAAGGCCGAAAAAAGTGACGCAAGACAAGAGGAGCGTGAGTTGGAGGAGAAGGCTAAGGAAGCAAACCGCAGGAAAGAGCTCGTAAAGAAGAAGAAAGATGAGCAGCAGATACACGACCAGATTATGCGCAGGAAGCTGTTCGCGTGGCAGTTTTCGCGTCCTCTGGTATCCCAGGCGATCGATCAGGCAACAGCTACACTGCAGAACAAGGGAGTATTTTATGATCCAATGCTCCGAAATCTTGTTATTTGGCTCTCAAAGGGTATTTACGATGGTGCCGACAATGTCATTTGTTTGCGTGGTCTCGCGACGGAGTTGTTAGATGGTACGTTTTACATTGGAAGCTGGTGACTCGGCTTGGCATTTTTATTGACGCTCGGGATTCCGCCGGCTCTAGATCTTATCTTTCACGGACTTCGTCGACAAGCTTTGTTCGCGCAATTACCTCTAAACGAAAGTGAAGCCATGGTTCGGCTTCTACTTCGGAATCCTTTCGTTTTACGTATCCCGGAAGATGCACCAAGCGGAACTGAGCCCCTGTCTGTAAGTGTTATCGGGCCCATCGCACTTTCGCGTAGTGATAGTTTGGAGGCCATAGAAAGCAGGATTGAGGTACGTTGCTTGTGTTTTTTTTTCATTAATTACCTTCGCTCTAATCGTGCGGCCGACACGTTTTCACAGGCGTGGATAGTTGAAAACGTAGGAAGCCCGGTGGACATTCCCAAGGGGGGCTTTCTCTCCTTGTTACAGCTAGCAAAGACAATTTAGCTAAACACGGGTATACCCAGTGTCTCTTAAGAGACTTTTGAAATGGTGGTATGGTACAGAATTGTTATCTCTCGCGCCAGAATGGGCTGCTTTTGCAGACGAAAACTCGGTAGTTTGTGTAGCTAGCTACTCTAACCCCGTCTCCTTATACATCATCCACTCTTTGTCCTCCAAGCGACCAGACATGAGCTTAAGCAGTCTGTCGGCCGTGACGTTGTCCTCATCCTCGTCCACTTCTGCGAAATGCACCTTGTAGGTGCCGTTATCATTCCGTGCGATCACTTCGGCCTCGTAGTACAGACGAGAGCCCTGCTCCTTGACTTTAACTCGATCACCCACCTCGATCTCGTCCCACTTGGCGATACGCTTAACGTCACTGCGCGAGATGCCGTCCAGCACCTCCACATTGGACACCTGGATGCTGCAGCAATCTTCCTGCACGTCTGTTACAATCTACAGCACATTCGCGTCAGTATAATCCCTATTGAATTGCTGATTTAACGCTGATACTCACTCCAACGACGCGTTTGGGATGATCTTCGACCTGGAAGGTTACGACATCCCCTACCACGATCTAGACACAAATTCAACAAACTTAGCTACAATGCATACACACTTTTAGTATAGCTACTGCGTAGACACCTCGCCGTTGTTGTCCGTCGAGGCACCAGCACCCATGCTTTATATCTAGTTGGCGGGTAGCAGTTGGCGAGTTAGTGCCGTGGATGTTACGGCTCTTCAACTGCTATCTTTATAATACCACTTGTCACTTATTGGTCAAAATGGAAAGACGGTAAGGTCACTTGCGATGACAGCCCCATCATGACCTCCGAAAGCTACCTTCGGAGTACTCTTATCGTGTCATTCACACTATTTCATAATTGTATAGTACTCCTTTCTCTTGTATAAATACCCTGTTTTGTCATTTGCTCATGTGGATGAATGGTGTGGCGCACACATGTCACCGCCTGTTTGCCACTCTCTTTCATATCACCGCTCAGCAGCTCCGAGAAACCCGCACGCGTGACGCCAATCTGCTCTTGAGTTGATGAACCGCGTGCTACAGCTGCCGCTGGGATCCAGCGCCCCGCCTGTCGTAGAGAGTTATACTCTTGGTGACGTTCTTATCTGCAAGGCCAACCGCGGGAAGCTGCTGGAGGTCGAGCACCTCATTAAAGCACTGCATGCCGACGTCAACTACCGCAACCAGGCGAGTCAGAGTGATGGTCGTTTGCACCACATCATACATAACTGACTGTGTCATTGCTATTACCACGTCTTTGCAGCACGGCTGCTCTGCGCTACATGGTGCAGCGGCGTCTGGACAACTCGACGTGGTGCAATGGATGGGCACGCACGGCAGCGTAAACTGGAGCGCCACAGACCACGACGACCAGACAGCACTGCACTATGCGGCTTTCTACGGACATCTGGAGGTGGTGCAGTTCTTAGTGGAGAGCGGAGTGCCACTGGATGCGCCTGATAAGTTTGGTCGCCTCGCGCACTGCTCTGCCGCCATCAACGGCCACCTGGACGTGGTCGCGTATCTGTTGGAGGAATGCCCCAGTCCCATTGAGATTAATGCGGTCGACGAGGTATGCTCCGAATTTAGTGAGAGAGAAATTAGAGGCTGACGCGTGTGTTATGCGTACAGTATGGAGGCACGTGTCTGCACTGGGCAGCGTCAAAGGGACGCAAGGAGGTGATCCAGTATCTGTGTATGAAAGGCATCGACATTCACATTACCAGCTATGTGCGTAAAGCTGCTGCTTAAATGGAATTTACCATCTCGCGTTGACAGATTTTGTACGTTTAGGACAACAAGACGGCGTATCAAATTGCCAAGGACAAGCACAAGCAGAAGTGCGTGCAGTTTCTGAAGAGCTGGTACGAAACGTCACAGGTATGACTCGTTTACTGTCGATTTATTGTTAAGAGATCGCTAACGTGAAGAGCTTTTTGCAGAAATTTGTGCATGCGGCGGAAGAAGGAGACGACGAAGAAATCGCGCGAATTATTGCCGATATCAACGGGTCGTACCCGCTGCGGTTTATGCGCGACAAGGTACCGGGGTGTATGAATAATATCTGCTGTGGACCATCGGTTAAACTTTTTGTGGTAACTTTGCCAACAGAACGGTAAAAATGCCATGCATTGGGCTGCAGAGTTCGGTCATTTGTCAACTTTGAAGCTCCTGATCGAACACTTCACTCTGTGGACGGACGTTGACAAGGTTTGTCCAATCTAGTACACTATGGAATGATGTAGTAACTGTACTATGTACGTTACAGTTTGGCCGCAATGCCTTGCATAGTGCAGCGCTTGGAGGCAACAAGGAGTGCGCGTTTTGGCTTATCCGCAAGTCCCAAGACTCGTCAGAATTTCTCTCGTTAACACTGGTAGGCGCTTCGATTTCTTTATCCAGCGATCTGCTGTCGCGGAGTTGAAGTGAATGACCTGACCTGTCTTTTTCCGCATTATTTGCTCCTGTCCTGTAGACGAACAAGAGTCCATCGCGCTGTGCATTTGAAGCCGGCCACAGCTCTCTCGCTAACTATCTCCAAGCCTGGGAAGAAGGCAACGACGATTATTCGACGAATGACGAGGCACCAGCGTCATTGATAGAGAATGACAATGGACGGCCTGCGGGTGATGAAGAGGAAAACGTAGCTCCGCGAAGCAGAAGTATGTCGTGTTGACGGGACTGCTAGTTTATTTGGCTGTGCATCTAATTGTTTTGATGGTGCTGTTCAGATATTGAGACCGTTTACAACTGGCTCAAGTTTTTCAAAATGGAAGAATACGCTCAGAATTTTGAGAAAGATGGGTTTGATACGCTACGTGGCGTGGCAACTATTGACGAGGATGACCTTATCGATATGGATGTGAAAAAGGGTCATCGACGGGTGGTGCTATCTCACATCGAGGAGCTCCGCAACCAGTTGATGATGCTGGACGAAAACGCAGAAGTTGCGGGGATGGAGCCGCTTTCATCACCGGACATTAAGCATGCTTCCACCCATCACGAAGCAGTCGTCAATGTCGAGTATTGTTAGTGCGTCTGGTGAGGCTATCCCTCATCGAACAGAGCGACGAGGATCAATTACAGCACCTCCCCCGCCAACAGACGTGTAGGTAGACAGCTCTCCGGTTGCCGTCTATGTTCTCTTGTCTACGATAAAGGTTCCAGTACCTGAAGACGGGAAGTGCACGCGCAAGGGTTGAGAAATTGGGTTCTCGTCGATGATGGAGATGACGGAGGAAGGAGGGCTTTAATATGTTTTTTGGGCGTAGCCTTTCTTAATATGTTGGCTATAACATGTTTATTCCTCTTCTATCCCTGTGGTTCCTGGATCAGCGAGTGGATTTGTCGGCAAAAGGGCTGCAGCCTGCCATAGTGCAGTAAGAATCGGCGAATTTGGTGACGTCGCAGCTTGAAACAGGCAAGAAACAAGGTAAGAATCACGCCGGATACCGGAAGGTAAGAGCTTGTGCATGTACCTGCCACGACCCTTGAACATTCGTTGATGCATGTCTGCTCGGATCCCTTTGCTTGCCATGTCATGAAGCCACCCGACACGCTGAGCTTCTGTCATCGGTAGGGCTTGTTTTTCTGTGGGTCTCTTGGTCACTTCACGCAGCTTTGCAGCGAGATCTCGTGTTCCCTGGTCATCTTGTACTTTACCAAAGTCTTCTGGGTGAGTCTGGGTTGGCTTTAGAGTGATCGAGCTTACTGAGGCAATCAAGCAAACTGTGAGGACGAAGAAAGCGAATTGAATTAGTCAAAGAGCAACACGTACGTGTCTTCGGGTTGAGCTGGAACGGTGTCAGTGCACTTTCCATCTCATACTCGGTCTTGAGCTGCTCGCGCCAAATCTGGTTGCGAGCTACCTCATCGATCTTGGATGCAAGTGATTCACGCTTCTTGTCTGACATTGCAGGAAAATCCTTGGAGATAAAAGCACAAGTGAAGATTGAGGACGCTTGAATACGTGCAACGTCGCATGCCGATACAGTGTGTATTTTAAGAAACCTATTTGAAGGAAAATGGGCTATGACAGTTTCTCGCTAATCAGTTGGTGCCTACATCTTTTCCATCGTAGTTTTGACAGCCTTGATGAAGTCGTCACGCTGCTGAACTTCGTACGAGTTGCGCTTCTCCACGATCTGTCCGTCGTCTGCCTTCCACTTGTAGTAGATGCTTACCATAAGTGCGTTCTTCTTGAGGCAGGTCATCCGTGTGATGTGCGACAGCGGGTGGCAAGATTTCACGATGAACGAGTCGTCCTCGTTGCGCGTAGCAGACCTCAGAACCACAAGGTTATTCTCCATCACAACCACGCGACGTGGGTTCATGCTAGAACGCGAAGCAGCACCTGCATTTCCAATAGGTGTTTTCTTCTTGTAGCACGCGAAGAATGGGCTACTCACGCATGACAACATTTGTGTACGACTCACCGTCATCCCCTTCTTGAGTTCACAAACGTGGCCCTTGATAACTTCGTGAATAGGTCCTGCAACACTAGCGCCGACAGGAGAATCCTTCGCGAAACTCGAAGTTGCAGATGTACGACTACCGCCAGCGTCTACACCTTGAACGAAGTGTCCTTCCTGATCTTCATCGTCGTCGTCGTCATCGATCGTGAACATTTCGTCCGTAGACTCGTGGAAAAACTTGCTGTGAGCGGGGTCAGCTGAAAGGACAGCTCGTGGCGCGGGAGGCGTACCAGAAGAGCTTGTGCTACCTGCGGGCGACTTACCTGTCGACGGTGACGTCACAGCTCCTGCTTCCTTCGGGGTGGGCGAAAAGGTTGCAGGGAACGGAACTCGGACCTTGGCTGTGGTTGTCGTAGTAGCCACTGCAGCTTGCTCGACGGCGTGTTCCATCGCAGACTCGACTTTCTTGAGCATATCCAGACTCTCCGAACCGATTGCGACCAGTGAGGTGCGCCATTTACTGAGGTTCGGCATTGCTGGCTTCATCTCCTTTGTAGGAGAATCACCCGAGCTCTTCGCCGTAGCCGCCGTGTCTTTCATGCTTCCTGTGCGGGTCTTATTGCCCATGTTTCCCATGCTGGCTGCAGCGTTGGCAAACTCAGCGGTGGTTGCAGCAGATTTCTTGAGAAGCCATTTCGTGCCGTCCACCGTCGGACTCAGGAGTGTCTTGCTGCCAGTCTTAAAGGCACCTGTAAAACTCGAGTAGTAAGAACCGCATGGAGGGCTCTTGGTGTTGGCAGGAGAAGAGAGGTTGATATCCGTGAAACCAGCGTCATCCAAAGCAAAACTTGAGGACGCTTCACTTGTTCTTGAGCTTCCAGTCCGTAAACTCGCAGCAAACCCCGAGCCAGAGTCATGCACACACTCCTTTTCTTCAGCAATTCTCGCAGTTATAGCGCCGGCAGTGGCAGGAGGATTGGCAGCCTCCATGCTACGGTCATGTTGACAAAGCTGGCAGTTTGGTGTGTCGTGGTCTGCCAGGTCGTCTACAGTCAAGCTGTGAGAGCGGAAGAGATGGCCGTGAGCAGCAGAGTACCCTCCATCCAGGACACTCACGCGTGGGAACTCGTGCTTCAGCAAGAACTCAATCGTGGATTGCACGCGCGTTTGGTCGTTCGCGTACGTCTCGAGAAATTCTTCGCTTAAGCAAAACGGGGAAGCTGATGCCACACCTTGTTTTTGCTGGAACTGACGTAGCTCCTCTGCAATGTGCGCATATCCTTGCCCCATAACACAAATGTGGACTCCAGCGCCTTTTAACGGACCGATTGTTGCGAGCACTTGATCAAGCACAGCAGGGTCGGAGACCGCATTGGGATCAAAATGGAAAGCAGTGGGAACTTGACCACGTCGCATATCTTCCTTTCCACGGCAGTCCACGATAAAATAGCGAAGTGATCCAGTTTCGTGACCCTGAATACCTCCGAACACAGATGGGATAACTTCACTAACCTCCAGGGTCACAGAGACAGAAGCTACGTCCATGGCCTGCACGTGCAGATAGAAGAGCTGCTGGGCTTCTGGAGAATCCGTCAGCGAAGTCGATGTCGGCGACGACAAAGCTGCCATGGGATTCAGCGGAACCATCGTGAGCAACTTGACGGGCATGTCGATCATCAACTTCACCGGCATGTCAATCATCATGTTCGACACATCCTTCAGACCTTGTGTCGATGCTGACAGCAAGTTGTTCATCCCGAAATTGTTGCTGGTAGTTCCTGACGTTTGAGCCTCAGTAGGCTTTACGTCATCCTCGATCACTGCTGGTGGTGGTGTGCCGGCACTGCGAAGCTTAGCGCAAATGCATGGTGGCGTGGAATTTATCAAGTGACGAATCCCTCGAACGAAGACGTTCTCTTTGGTCGCTTCACCACGGAGTAGCGTATCCAAGAGGGTCGTTGCCATGCAGTGGCGTAGTTGCTCTCCTTGCATGCGCATCAACGCTTTCTCAGCCGTCACAATGGCATAAAGTGTGATGAAACATCCCGTCGTAAGTGGAGCATTCGCCTGTGAAGAAAAAGCTTCCAGCACTAAACTGCAGTCCCAAACCTTAAGCAAGAAGTCGAAGTTGGCAGCATCACTTACCACTCCCTCACCTTCGAAGAAAGAGCCAAGCCACGAGTCTGGTATAGCACCACTGTCTTTCGTTCCATCACATTCCTCAGGAGGCGCTTGATTCCACGTCGGGAAGTGCTGGTTCAAATGGGAAGCAAGTCGTGGGGCGTGGTAGAGCAACATACGCTTGAGTAGCGGACGTCGGCCTGTCGTTGATGAGCGAAGGGGGACCTTCTGGCTAACGTGTGGAAGAAATCGACGACATGTAGCTGCGAGTGTCTCCACTGTTTCCGGGTGAAGAGGTTCACTGCCACTCGCAAGCAGCAACGGCGCGAAGGTAAGTACGATTCCCGAGTAGTAGTCAATGTTGAGTTGGCTGCACAGATAAGTGACGAGTGTTTCAGCACTGTCGATAAAAAGCAAGTGCGTGCCACGCATATTGTCACCGACTTCACGAAGAATACGCGCGTGCGCTGCACTCGAAAAAATACGTGAACACAGGGCTTCCACCTCCTTACGAAGCAAGGCTTGGCTTGGTAGCGAGCGTGAGGTTGTCTGGACCGCATACATCGAAGCCGAATCTTCGGTTCCGGGCTGAAACAAAGATAACAAGTCGTGAGAACTAAGTAGTCATCTCACGAAAACCATTCGATACAAGCCGCACCTGGACAGCACGTTGCCATAGTGCAAGCCGAGCGCTTGCTGGAAGCTCTCCAGTCTCGAGGAAAGTTTGTCGCGCAGTCAGCACATCTGGCATCATGCAACAAACGTGAGCACAATAGCGACAAAACCGAGGGCAATCAGAACGTACCGATTTGGATCTTGTGCGGTGCGTGGACTTGACTCTTGATCTGCAACGAGGAGCTACTGTTCTCACGCGAGCTACTTGCATTGGCCTGCTTGTTGGCTTTCTGGACAATTCTCTCGAGATCGTCGTCGTCATCGTCATCAAGCGAAATATTGCCAGCCGAAACGAATGTGCTTGCTCCAGCGCTTTTGACGAGCTGCTCCAAGTCATCGTCATCATCAAATGAAACAGAGTTTGAGGTATCTGAAGTCACGTATACTTGCGAGGTTGTGCTCTGCAACATCCGATCGAGATCGTCACCAGAGTCTGGTGCAGTGTTGTTAGCCATTTCCACTGAAATTGGACCAGACTCAAAAGAGCTTGGCTGTGCGTCAAGCATTCGGTCGAGATCATCGTCATCATCAAGAGAGACACTGCTTGGCGTATCAAACCTAGATATCGGAGGAGGGGCATGAGTGATTGTGCTCGTACCCTCTAGCATCCGGTCGAAGTCGTCGTTGTCGTCGAGTGAGACGCTATCAAACGTGGTGGCAGAGGTAGGTGCTACTGGCACAGGTGCAGGAGGGGGGACAAAGTTCGATGATAACGGTGGTGCGTCTGGAATTAAAGTACTTGCTGTAGTTGCCGGCTGGGAAGACCCGCCGTCATCGAGCCAAGACAAAAACTCATCCTGTTCGTGACTACCAATCTGCTCCCAGTTCGATCCGTGAGAAGGCTGAGAAGGTTTAGTAACTTTACCACTTGGCTCTCCGCCCAACAAGTCGTCGTCGTCTAGATTAACGTTCGTTAGCGTGGGTGCCCCAGTCGCATCCATCTTCGGGTCGTCGCCGAAAATGTCGTCGAAGTCTGCGGCCGACATCTTGCCTCAATCCAATGCCTACAAAAGTGAAAAGCTCCTTTGCGGATAGTCTCCTACTGTAGTAGTATGCTTCAAGTTGATCTGGCAGGCTTCGCTCGGGATGAAAAACTGCAAGGGTGGTTGCAGGTGGCTCACTATTTTTGCCAAACGCAAACATGGGAGAAAACAAAACTGCTTCAGGGACACTGGGAATAGTCAGCTCAAGATTAAAATTGTCCACCCGTCCTAAACCATGCAAACACAACATTACTGTGAGATAGTTGCCATCATAACAATCTCTCTACACACTTTCAAAAATATATATTCTCGTTCACTTGGACCCGATCTTGTACTAACTGTTTACACCACCTCAGGCAGGTGAACAGGAGGTGCAGCATTCATGGCGGCCGCAGCGAACGATTGGTTGTAGATGGAAACCTCCCGCTGATGCAGATATGAATGGCGAATAGCAATAATCCACATTACCACAAGCATGATCGTCTGGAATATATTGGCCGACACGATATCGTCTTTCGTTGGGCCCTGTCCGCCGTAGGGGTACTGCACTCGCTCCGTTGGAAAGTCCGTCTCCGAGATCTGCACCGTTGTGTAAATCTGCTCTGCTACAGTCAAGATGGCAAGCCACACAATACCACGGCAGTAGAAACGAATGGGGCGAATGTCCGTATCGTGTGCAGCCTTGAAGCCCACGCAACCCACGTACACGCCGAAGCAATGCACCATGAGCTCGAGGCCACCAATCAGAGGGTCGGGCGTGTAGTACTGCGGGTACTCGTCGTATCGGTTCATTGGCTGGTCCGTCTCGCTGGCCCCCGCGGCTTCCTGTTCACGTTGAGCGGCCCGTTGTTGCTGGTCATTGGCGAGCAATGCAAACTGGCCCATGACCTTCATAGTGTAGATAATCAACAGGAACGAACTCCAAAGTTTCACGCGACGTGCACAATTACCCAAAGGAGAGTCGAGCATCAACGGGTCTACACGTCTGGCCGAGTCGGACGGGAACACGGCCGACGATACAATGTCACTGTTGATGTTTACGACCGTGATGCCATCATCTCTGGCGGAACTGGAGCTCCCATTGGCATTGAGCTCAGCATTTAAGATCTCGGGGTCGGGTGTGGGCGCGGCCCTTACAAAGAGGTGAATAGTGTGTCCATCCTCGACCTTATAGCTATCGAGCGTGGACTCATCCTCTAGCACTCGGCCACGGTAGATGAGTCTCTGGGATGCCACAGCCACCTCTGTACTCTCCAACACCTTTTGTTTCATCTGGGCCACGGTCCAGTCCAGGCGACATGGGATGTTAAAGAACTTTCCGTTTAAGTCCAGGATGCGGACGTTGATGGCTTCGGGATCTGCGTCCTCTTCAGGCTGCTGGCCGGCGTCCTCCTTGTTGTCCTCGTCTTTGGTCTCGGGAGTTTCCTTCTCCTCCTTCGACGTGTCTTCATCCTGGTCCATCTCCTGGTGCTGACGCTGCAACGTCGGGTGCTGTGTTTCCTCCACGCTGACATCGCTGTCACTTCGCATTAGCGCAGATCGGCTCGCCGTGTTGAGCGGCGATGTCACGCGCGTGTCCTCGGCTGTAGAGGGAGATGCGGGTACAGCCGTCGGCTGCTGTGTTGTCTCGTCTTCTTCGTTGTCGCCTGGAAGCATCTCGTACCTGCGTCCACGTTCACTGCTCGCTGTGGGTGACGCCCCCAAGAACCTCCCCATGCTGCACGTACAAAATGCCTCTTCCCTTTTCCGCAGTGAGGTCGGAAACTGAACATCCAGTATGGATTGTTTAAAACAACCGATATTTGACCAATAACAGAGCGCCGTTCTATTGACGCTTTATGACCAGCATTTTTTTGTGTAATCATGGCAAAAGCGAAAGCGAAGGCGCCCGTGGCGACGCAGTTCAAGCGGCTTGGAGCAAAGAAGCAGAAGCGGAAGACCCGGAGCTCAGTGGAGATTGCTCGGCCATGGACGACGCCGCAATTTGAGGAACTGGCCAAGGAGGATCGTGATATTGTGCTGGATAGACTTCAGAAGGAGGTGGCTGAAGTACCGACCACTCTTAGCCGTACAGTGCGAGGCGTGAACCAAGTGGCCCGAGCATTGGCCAGACGTGAAGTCAAAGTGGTGGTCTTCGCGAACAATCCTGAGTCGCTGGCGTTCGGCCACCTGCCGCTACTCTGCAGACTGCACCAGGTGCCTATTTGCGTGCTCCATTTGTCATCCAAGACGTTCGGCAGGATCTTTAAGCTCAAGAGTATGGTGGCCATCGGAATTAGAGCTCCAGTGACAAAAGTGGAGACGGATGAAATTGCCGTGGTGGACAAGAAGCCGCTGCAAATAACAGAAGCAGAGCAGAAGAAGATCGATAGTATCACAAAGTTTTTGATCTCCAAGGCCAGTAAGCGGACATCGTGAAAGTACCTGTAGATGACCAGGATGCACAGTTACAATGTAAAACATTGTGTTTAAATTTTCGCCGTAATGCGGTGTCAGTCAAAAAATATAGTACTTCAGCTAGCAAAAAGCTCGAGACCTCGAGATCATGGAGAACGGAAGACAGCTCAATCTGGGCTTTGGAGCACACCTGACGGACGAAGTTGTAATTCATAGCAACGAAAGCAGCATACGCATGCTCGTCCCCGGTGAACAGATAAAGATATCGAATAACTGAAGTACCATAGTAGCAACTTCAGTCGAGTTCAATTGACAAGCCTGAATTCGAAAAAAACACTCACCATACTTTAGTCAAGTGTTCGAGACGCCAATCAATTTAAAAGCATGACAGCGCTGCGTAAGGTGCTGGTGGTGATCGGCACGACGGGCGCAGGTAAGACCAAGCTGTCTGTGGACTTGGCCAAGGCAGTAGGCGGCGAGATTGTCAACTCAGACGCCATGCAGATGTACCGAGGGTTGGACGTGGCCACGGCCAAGATCACCGAGCAGGAGAAGCAGGGAGTGCCCCACCATCTCTTCGACGTGGTAGACCCAAGCTCCCGCTGCGACGTGCTCGACTTTAAGCGCTTGGCTTTGCAAACCATCGACGACATACTGGCCAGGGGTAAAGTACCCATCGTCGTGGGTGGCACCATGTACTACACGCAGTCTATCCTATGGAAGTCTCAACTTCTGGACGATGTGCCGGTCAAGTCTCCGGCCACCGGCCACAAAGAGCAACAAGAACAGCAGACGCCAGAAGAACTGTATGTCCGGTTACAAGCCGTAGACCCGGTGATGGCCGCCCGGCTGCATGTCAACAACATGCGTAAGGTGCAGCGCAGTCTACAAGTATTCGAACAAACCGGTGTCCCTCATAGTGAGCTACTGGCCCAACAGGAGCAGGGGCAGAGGAACATTGAGAAATATTTCGATGCTTGTGCGCTCTGGGTGCACGCTAGCAAACCGGTGCTTAGCGAACGCCTTGCGAAGCGTGTGGAAACGATGTTGAGCTCCGGATTAGTAGAAGAGATCCGTGGGCTGCGTGTCCATGTGAAGGAGAATCCACCGCGAATGAATCCGGACAGCGAAGATGATGAAGAAGCGCAGAACTCTGTTGGTATTCTGCAAGCTATTGGATACAAAGAATTCCAGCCCTATTTCGACGCATTAGAGGCGAATAGCGGTGCAAAGGAGGAGGGTTCCAAAGAGCTGGAGACTGTTTTAAACGCGTGCGTTGAGCAGCTAAACATTGCAACGCGTCAGTATGCTCGACGACAGCTCTCGTGGATCCGAAACAAGTTTGTAACCAAGAACATCCCTGTATACCAAGTGGACAGCAGTGATGTCGCTCGATGGGACACTCTTGTGGCTCAACCTGCTGTTGACATTGCTCAGAAGTTCCTGAAGGGTGAGCAGATCACGACGTACCAGAGTGTCCAGCAGCAAAAACCCGAGGCGACTCAAGCAGCTTCGTTAGAGGACAAGTTCCAAAAAAACACATGCACGGTCTGTAATGGGCGGGAATTCACAGGGAAGAAGCAGTGGGCTGAGCACTTGCGCTCAAAGGGACACAAGTACCATCTCAAGCGAGTACAGATTGAGAAGGAGCGAGCAGAACGTGGAGAACCACCAATACCCAACAAGAAGCGCCGACATGAGAAGGATGTTAGAGATGAATCGCCATCACAGACGACAGATACTGAGGCACAGACGTCCGCATAGAACCAAAAGGTGCAACATGTTGATACTCTATCTATTGCTTGCGAACTTTTCGTTGCCCCAAGTTCCGCTCAAGCTGAGCATTAAGAACAGAGAACGCTCGCTTTTTGTCTGCACTGACGACTTCCTCAGTCAGATCCTCCTCTGCGATGTCGTCTCCTCCGCTTACAGACATCTTATTCTTGCGAAGAATAGAGGTGGCCTGCAGCTTGCCAGCCTTCTCTGCTTCGAGCGTGTCCTTGAGCTGTTGCAGTGCTTCAGTGTATCGAGGCACCAGCGTCTTCATGTGTTCCTGTTGGAGCGCGTACGGCTTCAACTTGTTGTTGTCGGCTTTCTTGAGCATGCGCATCATGCTCTTCATCTGGCCCAATTTCACAAGCGTCACACAGCGACCGTGACGGCCAGCACGAGCAGTACGACCCACACGATGAATGTACGTCTTGATGAACGACGGTACGTCGTAGTTTACGACGTTCGCGACATCCTCGATATCCATACCACGGGCCATAGCATCGGAACACACGACCGTCTCCACACGCCCAGCCTTGCAGTCTGCCACTAAGGACGATCTCTGTTTCTGCGAAAGACTACTCGAGAACTCTCGAATACGCTCCGGGTGGGTAGAGTACAATTGGAGTAGTCGGGCCAGACGATGGGTCGAGTTCACACTAGCCGTGAAGACAATGGACAATGAGCCCGCAAACTCGCTCAGCAGCTCCAGCAGCACAAGCGGCTTTGATCCAGTGTCACACTCGATCCAGTACTCATCCAGATTCGTAGGCGTCGAGTACATTTTCTTCGATCCGGTAGCTTCGTCACCGTCTTCATCTTCATCATCCGAGTCACCAGCATTGCCCAACTTCGCGTTATCAGCCAGCGGGTCGTCAATGCGGCCGATCTTGGTCAACTCAGCATTGCTCATACCGATGGCGGCCAGCTTCCTCGGGTTACGTGTCAGTGTAGCAGACAGCAATACTCTTGTAAGAGGCGTACGGATGCGACGTCTGTTGATGGAGTCCTGGCGACGACAAGTGACGCCGACGCCAAGGGTGAGGCCGTCCTCGTCCACCTCCTGGCCGTTAAAGACACTAGCGTAGACCTTCGAGATCCAGTCCTGGTACGACTGATTTAACAGTCTATCGGCCTCATCGACGATCATGATCTGAAGGTGCTGCAGTGTGAAGCCCGGCGTCTGTTCCAGGTGATCCACGAGACGACCGGGTGTGGCCACCAGGATGTCCACCAAGCTGCGGCCTCCATCAGTTGTGGCGATCACTTTGTTCCCTGAAGTGGCCCCCACCAGAGCGTTCTGCTCTGCTGCGAAGTTGCTCTGGCCGATGGCTAACCCGCACTTAAGAGGTGTGCCCTGAACAAACTGCTGGACGATCTGATGTACCTGCACGGCCAGATCGCGACTTGGTAGCACGATAAGCGCACGAACGCGACATACGACGCGTGGAAGGAGGCGCTGCACGATAGGCACCACATACGTAAGTGTCTTACCACTGCCGGTTGGCGCCGAGATGCAAATATCCGTCACGCGGTCGCTGTCACTGGCCAGGATCTTGGGGATGGCCACGGCCTGTACGGGGAAGAACGAGCGAATGTTTAACTTGGTTAGCGTGGCGCACACCTCTGGTGCCAAGTTCCACTGCTCGGCAAGCTTGGCCACGCCGTACTTGGCCAGGAAGCGCGCCGTCGCATCTTCGTCCCCTGTCGAGCGAGGCATCACCAGTGGTTATGTGTCAATACTGGGATTACTACATTGTATAAGTATTATACACACTTTCTATAGTACTTTATACTACATCTGCCAATGAAAATACAATAGTACCGGTGCTCGCCAGTCATTCACTTCGGCTGGTCAGCAACGCTTGCCCCATAGTGTATCATTCCTTGAGCATGACGTCGCATCACCACCGCTCCGGGCCGCTTAAGCAGACGAACAAGAAGCATAAGACTGGTCGACATGACTCCAAGACGCTGTTGGCGCGGCGTTCTGGTGGCAAGGTCGAAGGCCGTCGATCGAGCGTACGCAGCACAGGCTCCAGCATTGGCAGCATGAGCTTGTCAGGCCAGAAGGCGGCCCGTCTGCAGCGCCAAAAGCACCTTCGCGACAACAAGCGCGAAGAACTGCTGCTGCAGCGCCGTTTTGGACTTGGAGGTTCTCTTGGCCCGCCCAAGATCGTGGCCCTGGTGGCCCTCAGTGACATGGCCAACCTGGCGGAAGTGCAGCAAAGCATCTTGGAGGGCGCGGCTACCGTGGAGGAGCCGGCTCAGGACGCCATCGGTCTCAAGAATTGCACAGTCGGTGTCTTTAGCCAGCACAAGCAGAAACTCTGTGTCGTTGACTGCGGCTGCAACCTGCTCGTGGCCCTGGACGCGGCTAAGGTGGCCGACGTCGTGCTGTTCGTGCTGTCTGTGCACAACGGTGCGGACGGCGGACTGAGCGAGGAAGGTATCAAGATCGTTTCGGCTGTACGTGCGCAGGGCTTGCCGACCACGGTGGGCGTCATTCAGGGACTGGAGAAGCACACGGCCAAGGGTCAGACCGAGCTCAAGAAGCTTGGCAACAAGTTCTTCGCCACGGAGTTCGGCGAGAGCGCCAAGGTGGCGCTGGCCAATGTGCCCGGCCAGCTGTCTCGCGTGCTGATCACGCTGTCGCCCAAGGTTATTCACTGGCGCGAAGCACGCTCGTACATGCTTGCCACAACAGCCACGTTTGTGCCGGGCTCTGAGGCGCAGAACGATAAGGGAGAACAGGTCGGTGAGCTACAGGTGAACGGATACTTGCGCGGTAAGCCGCTATCAGTTAACCAGCTTATCCACATCACGGATGTGGGTACGTTCCAGATGAGCCGTATAACACGAGCGGGTGCCCGTCAGGTGCAGCACGGCAAGATGGACGCAGACATGAACGCCAAGCCTCCTGTTGCCCCGACTGCTGCTGGCCAGGACGAAGTACTGGTGCTTGCTACGGCCGACCCTGATCTACAGGAGGATCTTCGTTTCGAAGCCGAGTACGACCCATTCGCGTCGGAGCAGACGTGGCCAACGAACGAGGAGATTGCTGAGGCTGAGGCCGAAGCCAAAAAGCAGCGCCAGGCGGATACTGTGGCTAACAAGGGTGCGTCTAGCTACCAGGCTGCTTGGCTCGATGGAGATGACGAGGAGGACGAGATGAAGGATGAGGAAGAGGAGACAGACGCTGCAGTTAACCAAGACTTCTGCAAGACTGCCGATGACGACGAGGATGACGATGACGACGACATGTTCATGGTTGACGACGACTACGTAGACCAGGCTCAGAAGCGCAAGGATGAAGAGGAAAACATGACGTTCCCAGACGAGGTGGACGTACCGGTGGACCAGCCTGCTCGTGTGCGTTTCGCCCGATACCGCGGCATGAAGTCGCTGCGTACGAGCGCTTGGGACCCGAAGGAGTCGCTTCCTTCGGACTACGCTCGTTTGTTCCAGTTTGCGGATTTTGCAATGGTGCAGCGTCTTGCTCTTGCGCGCGGCAAAGATGCCGAGCGTGCCATGAAGGACCAGCTGCGTCGCAAGTCCAAGACCCTGCAGACTCGCTCTCGTGCTTCGTCGATGGCAATGGAGGACGTGGAGGACTCGGCTTCCGTTGCGTTATCCTATCTTGGTAGCGAAGCTCTGCCCAACGAGTTCGGTGAGATGGGATACGTCCCGTCCGGTGTCTACGTGACTCTGCACCTTAAGGCGGTGCCGGTGGCTAAGCTGCAGGCTCGTATTCAGGCTGGCCCTCTTGTCATGGGTGCTCTACTGAAGCACGAGAACCGACTGAGTGTGCTCAACTTTTCAGTGCAGCGCGCTTCGTCGTTTGCTGGCGAGACACTCAAGTCCAAGGACGAACTGTCTTTCCACTGCGGCTTTCGACGATTCTCGGGTAAGCCCGTTTTCAGTGACCAGAGCTTGAAGAGCGACCAGCATCTCTTCCAGCGATTCTTACCGCAGAGTGGCTGGAGTGTGGCCACTGTTTATGGTCCCGTAACATTCCAGCCTGCTTCGTTGCTGCTCTTTAAGCCTGATGGTCAGCTTGTGGCGTCCGGCACGCTGAAGAATGTGAACCCGGACCGCGTCGTGCTCAAGCGTGTGATCGTCACGGGCACGCCGGTGAAGGTGAAGAAGCGCAAGGCCGTGGTTCGGTACATGTTCCACTCGCCAGAGGACATTCGGTGGTTTAAGCCGGTGGAGCTCGTGACCAAACACGGTCTCACCGGCCACATCAAGGAGTCTCTCGGTACGCACGGCGACCTCAAGGCTGTCTTCAACAAGCCCATCAAACAGCACGACACCGTGTGTCTCCACCTATATAAGCGCGTCTACCCCAAGTTCCCGACCATGAACCCTCTGTCGAACTAGATCAACGGAGTTAGTAATCTTGCCCCTTATGCATCTGAAGATTTTTTTTCCTTTTGAGATACTGTAAAACTACGTATACAGTTTGATGCCCATGGATTAGTATTGCAATGTATGTCCATGTCGGTCTTCATCTCGAAGTGATGAAAAACATGCCAAGCATGCGTTGACCGGTGTGGAATGACACGACCTTAAGCGTCAGTGCTGGGCCAATTGCTACATGTAGCTGCGACCTCGGTATCGACTTTCCTTGAATGTGGCAACTTGTACTCGTAGTTTTCGTATGCGTGAAAACACGTTCGGTAGCCATGACTTTGACAGAGAATAACAATAGCATCCTATCATACTAAAAGAATGGCTGATTCAGGAGTCAGCTTTACTCACGCCGTCGCTTAGTAGCTGGCGCATCAGTGGGGTCAGTTTCCTCCCGTTGACGTGTACGGCCACGATGACTAGAAGCGTCGTCTCCTTCAGTCCAGCACAACAGACTATCCACAACAAAGCGCGCGATGAGCTCGGTTACGCCGAGCCACACGAATAGTCCTCGCAGCAAACGCTTCAAGCGCTCGTCGCTATCATCTTCATTTTCCATCGAGTCGCCTCTCGCGTAGGCCCGTAGTTGTCGAACAACTTGCTGAGCCATGGTGCGCAAGAAAGTTGCGCTGCTTGTTCCAAATGCTGCGGCGCGACTAGCAGACGTGGCTCGAACTAGGTATTCAACCAGGTCCGGGATAAATGGCTCCACAACACGCAGCAACTCGTTCCCAAGCGCCGTCTGTCGCTCTTCAGACCCATTAACTTGATCCAGCACGTCAGCAGGGAGCGCATGCGAGCGCAATAAACGACGGAGTTCAGCAACGAGATCCTGCGCCCACGTTCGGATATTCGGTCTCGTCACTCGCGGAACATCAACGCCACTGAACAACGCAAACCCAATGTGTGCAAGGATATGGTGGAGGTGAGTGGCGTCGCCAGCCACAACGCCGTAAAGAGTGGAGATCGGTAGTTCACTCATCAAGCGACTCACAAAGTCAGCCAAGTTCCAAGTTGTGGTCGCATGACTGCCGCCTAGCCCTGCCGCGAGCGAGAACGGGAACACTACTGATGACATTAGAGGCAGACCCATGCCAGAGATGGAAATGTGCGCGCCAGTGGGCGGTACTGAGCCATTGACGTCGTTTGGCACTGCATCAGTACGTCTGCTGCCCGTAGTTGACTGGGTAGTCGTCGCTGCTGCAGATGCCGGTAGCGCTGCGCCACTAGTCGGGTTCGTAAGATCCACTGGTGTGTCTGGTGTTGATCCGGGAGCCACTGCTGGGGTCGCTCTCGTAGCTCCTGCTGCTGCAGAGCTTCTGCTGCCCAGTAAATCCGTGACGTTGAATCTAACTCGTGAACGTGAGTGACCTGTACTTGACGACCTCGCAGCACGAGCTGGTCCCTGCACCACGTCACGCCTCGCTCTGTCAACTACAGTTGAGCCAGCAGTGCCTCCGCCTGCAGCTCTCCCTTGATTAAGTGCCGCTTGAATCCTATCACCCGCCGCAGTCAATGTACTTAAACGTCTCGAAAGTGGCTCGCCTAACAGCACTGACTGTCGAACAAATGCATGCCGTGCCATACGCGCCAGCAGATCTGTCGATTCTCCAATAGTTTGCAGCGCCTCGATGGCACGAAGTACGTGGCGAGGTGATACCGCTGGTTCGGCGGTGTTGCGAGCACCAGCGTCTCCAGTGTTGGGTGCACTGTTCGAAGCTGCCTCAGCTGCTACCATACTAGACGCAGGTACTGGTGCAGTGGGGCCGGGCGGGAGTGGCGCTGTAGAAGACTCAGTCTCAGTTGATGGTATCGCAGTCGACGCAGACGGACCTGGACCAGCGGCAGCACCATTCGTGCGGTCGCGCTGCGCAAGTGCAGCCGATAAAAGCCGAAGTCGTGGCCCAAAGCGTTGCACGAGGGTTAAGAACATCTCCACTTGTTGCTGTAGTTCTGTCATGGCTGCGTTGGTGTCTCCTTGCGGTAGTGCTGTAAGCTCTGCGGGGAAGTCAAGAGACGCGTCGTCCAGCGTCGCACGGACAGATTCGAGTCGGGCACCCGTGCGAGCACGCAAAGTGGCCTGTCGCTCAGCACTAGTGGACGAAGATCGTCGTCCGTGGCGTTGCCGTCCAGACCCGTCTCGATTTCGGTGGTGATGGCGAAGAGCTCTCGCCGTGGCGGCTTCCATCTCGGCGGATGTGCTGCCGCTCGAACCTTCGCGTGAAAATGTTGTGCGACGTCGTCCACGCGCCGCCGTTGGGCCTACACCCTCTTCAATTTGTGTCACGAGGTTGGAGATCATGGAGTTGAGAAATGGCACTGTCACGTCTGAAACCCTCGGGCATCGAGATGGTCGCACCCATAACCACGCGACTGGGCAGGTCGCCACTTCCTGATCGCCCCATTGTCGGGTCGGGCTCGTCGTTATCTCTCGGTGGCGTTAAAGATGACTGCTGACGCAATCTCGACCTGGCCAATCGCTCATACTCGTCCCGATAATATGTTCGCTCAACACGCATAGGAGCGTACTGGTACGGAGCGGGCATCTGTCTACCTGCAGGAGGAGCACCTTGGCCGGCGGAAGGGTCTGGAGCAGACGTAGCACTGGCCGACGCCCGGCTAGCGGCGTCAGTAGGCGGAACAGCCCGCACCACAAGGTGCAAGACATGGCCATCCTCCAACGAGTACGCGGACAAAGTCTGATCGTTCTTAAGCACTCGTCCGCGGTAGATGAGTCGCTGACGGGCCAGCGTGACGCCCGTCTCGGCGGCAACGAGCTCCTTAAGCTGCGGCACGGACGCAGCCGCGCAAATGGTGATCGGGTAGGTCCTCTGATCCAGCGTGCGTACCTTGAGCGACAGTTGTGCGCTCTCTGCAGCTATGGGTGGCTCGGCCGCGGGCTCTGGCATGGAGGCAGCGGCGGGAGGCGTCATTGTTGTTTTCGCCCTGTCTCGATGGAGTTATCAACGTGGCCTGGACGATTTCAGTGCACTTTAGCGCACAAAAATTCGGTAGTCGACGCGCAGGAGACTTGGCCAGCGGATGTGGGGGAGCAAGCGGGTGGAGAGAACCTGGAAATCACTCACAGACGCTGCGTACAGGACGGCAGTTGAGACGACGATGAAAGTGTGGAAGACTCTCCCGTTGCAGAGAGGCAGTAGCCGTACCTAAACGAGTGAAAACAGTATTTCTGTCAATCATGTTCAAGACGTTTTTTCTACTTAACGTTAGTTTAACCTTTAACCTACACTACGCTCATCAACCTGTTGCCGGAGCGACGAACTACAGTATACTGCTGGTTCGGGAGCAGCTCAAGGACACACTGTTCGATGTTGTATTTGAGGCCGATACTGGCACTGCAAAGAATCCGCGCGTATCAGCTCAAACGCTTACAGCCCGTTCAGTAACGAGTTACAGTAGCAGCGGACATGAGCCTCGGCAATGCCTCGGTTGAAGCGTAACTTTGTTCAGTTCGCAGGAAAAAGATGTCGCATGACGAGCCGGAGGGAGATGTCACCTTCTCGATTCATGAACGCGCAAAATAGGAACCGCAGACGTAGTCTGACCTGACTTGCTTGCGGTTGGAACGACCTGGAAGTGGATATGATCATAGTTGTTTTCGTCGGAAGAACTACTGTCCACAACTGTGATAAGTATAATGAGTTTTTGCTGCAGCTTGTCGAAACTGAAGCCTGCTTTCCCTCGTTTGGCATTACTTCGCACCTTACTGGAACTTTTTCAGCTCGGTCGAATCAAATCCTCACCACGTACAAGAAAAAAATAAACGGCAGCGTAGCACTAGGGAAATTTCTATTGACAGCAGGATGGTAAACAGTGCTAACAGCGCAGATGTTGCAGCTTGGGTCTGGTGAATAACGGCATCACTACTCTTTTGGGTTATTTATGAGATACTGTACTCCCAAGTCTCTCATTGGACGATGCTCAGTGCGATTCGAGTGGTAAGATTCACTGTACGTCGCTCATTCTTGAGTTCTCCCTTTAGCGCTGTGGAAAGTAATGAATCTCGACGCACTACCTCAGGCCAAAGTGTTTTCTGTCATTACGAGGAACCTTCAAGATATCATGGACGTACTTGCTGATAACTTACGGAGAAAACGTTGATTAATAGAAGAAATGTGGATAGCACCTACGGAAATAAACACTGCCATCAAAAACGAGATATCGCGAAGCAATTGCCTTGGCCGGCATATTGACGATGTCTAAATAGTGCGTTGTGCACTGCTCGTTGTGTCTCGAGAAAGTGATATGATGGCGCTCCTCGGTGATTACTGGAATACTACTACAGCTGTAGTAGGGATCGAAGGCAGGGTTTCCTAGAATAGTATTGCAATTGTATGGTAAACAACTGATGAAATATATAATGGTGAGCATGGTAGAGCCGACATGAAATACATTATTGCACCCTTGACAAAGATGAAATACATTATGCATACCTCAAATTCAATTCTGCTTACCAACCATCTGCACCATTGCCACGTTCCAATATCGGCGATTTGTCTTGAGAAATAGGATGTTTTCCAGTTGGGCCGGCGCCATGGCTTGCCGCTGAGGAGACAACACGATTCCAGCTTGGCTAAAAAAACGTTCGGCAATATTAGACGTCGGTGGAATGTATTGCACCAACTCGTATCTGTTCATATACAAAAGGAATTGGTCAAATTGACATGACAACGACATTTAAAAAGCTCCTACCTCGGTTGCTGTTGCGCATCCACCTTCCGCTTCTTAAGTGCTTGCTCAGCAAAGCTGAGCTTTTTATTTTCCTTGTTGGCTGCGGCATGCTGAGGTTGGATTAAGGCTGGAGCAGCAAATTGAGCTAGAGCCGCGACAGAGTTTCGCGTCAAAAGCCGAGTCTCTCCGTTCAGAACTTGTACGCACGCCATCTCGAATATCGGGAACTTGACTATGGGGGCCTGTGGAGCCAGATAGCTCCCTAGGGATGGTGCTTTTTCCATGAGGCTGTCAAACAAAGCACGAACATCTGCCAGCGTTAAGTTACCTTCCTCCTGGAGCTTCTTGCTTACCGACTCAAAATCCTTCAGATCGTCAAGCGTTGAACGCAGCTGCCTCTCTTCCAGTGGGGATGGCATGTACGCTGCTAAGTCGTCATCCGCGGAGTCCAGGAAGGGCTTGAGCTTGAAGTAGCGTTCCACCATGGAAAACGTGGAGGACCATCGAGTCTTTTGCCGAATAACTGGCCGGAGTGGTGTTTTGTGTCTATGTAGTCCGCATAAAAACAAATTAAATAAAACTCGGATATAGAATAAAACTCAGATACGGCTTACCTTAACTTTGCCGACTGATTGAGACCAGCTGCCATGTAGTGGACCAAGGTATCATCACATATGGGCTTGAGGGTCGTGTAGCGTCGCGTTAGGCTGTTCTCGCAGAATGAGAGCGGCAAGTTAGCATCAACAATCCACTCTAGCCATCCAAATATATTGGCGCTCTTTTTGTCTACGAACGACAAGAGTGTGCCATTGTTGCCGCCTTGAAAACTGTCTAGAGTAGTTTCATAATCAGGATGTTGACTATAAATGTGGTTGATTAGGTTCGTGTAGCCACGTTTGGCGTCCTGTTTCCGCTGTACGCCGCAGCGACATCGATAGAAACCCATACAGTCGTCATTCTCGTCACGGATTGGCTTGAAAAATACATCGCAGATCTGCTTTCTGGTGTAGCGAGAAACTGGTGATCGCGTTGGGGAGAGAAGATTATCCATGCCAGCACGGAATTTACAAATGAGCCTGGCCTCAGCTCAGAGCAGCAGCATGAACGGTTGGTTGTCGAGTAGCTCCAGCGGCCGCTTTCTTATTGGTTACTAAGTAATACAATAGGGTTATGATAAGTAAATTTTTGATTTCAAAATGACAAAATATGTTACTCTGGACTAAATCTACCGAAATAAGTTATTGACGGGGGAGTCGTGCGGCTCGAAATACATAATGGTATGGCATAATATGGCAATTATTGCTTATTACAATATATTTTTAGGAAACCCTGATCGAAGGTTGTCAGCAACGACGTGCGATGCGATGAAGATAACTTGGTTTCCGTATAAAAAAGGTGTCGTAAGTCGAGCTCTCGCAACTCGTATCACGCGAAGAATGGTTGAACGATGTCCAGTATCTCACCTAACTGCAGACGCTTGCAGGTACGGTTGGTAAGGCGGAACACTTCTGGCAGACATTGGCCATCTCGTAAATCGAGAGCCACCCACCCGGCCCACTGCACGAATGAGAGCTGGAACAGTCTCTCACTGCGACAAGGGTGGCCATTACGTGCTTTCTGTGGCGGCGCGTAAACTGAGAAGGTCGCTGCGCCGTCGTGGTCAACGGCCATGCAGAACACATTATGCTGGCCTGCGCTAACCTTCTCATCGGTTGGTGTCGGACCACTTAAAGGTGAATCTAGCTCTTCCGAGCTTTCATCATTATCGTAATCGTCGCTGTTGGCGTCATAGACTTCATTCGTCACACTTGACGCTGATCCTCCACTTGTGGCAATGGACATCATGGCACTGGCTGCGGATCCCTCTTCGAAGTTGTCGTTGCTGCCAGCGTAGACACCGGTGACGATGTTGTCATGCTGGTAGTACGAATGGTAACTAGAGGTCGACGTGTCCAGGTGCTCCGACGTTCGTAGTCCGCTGAGGGATTCGTTTCCATTGACGAATGTCTTCTGGACGTCGGAGCTGGTGCTGGTGCAGTCGCCACACCCGGAGACACCGACGCTGGTCTCATTCGTGTCACTGACTGTCTGGTTGCGAGCTCGCTTGGCAACTTTAACATTGCCTTCAAAGGCCTCACGGAGGACAGTGATCCAGTGGGCATACACTTCGGCGGTTGGTGCGAGAAAGCGGAGCTTCTTGCCTTTCGCGCCGTAGCGAATGCGGAACTGAAGTTTGCGACGGTCTTTGGCAGATCGCGGGAGGAGATCAATCGGAAACCCGTGGTGACCGATTGGTAGCTCGATGCGGCCGCCGAAGACGCTTGGACGCTCCACGCGGAGGATGTATGAGGCACTTCGGCTACCGTAAGGCATCAAGTTGACCAGGAGGATGGAGGTCTTGAACCAGAAGGGCCCGAATTTGAGTTTCAAAATGCCGGAAAAGGCCATGATGGCTTTGGTTTCCAGTGTTGGTGGTTGAGACTGGCTGGTTGTTCTTTCGGTTGTGCGGTGAGAAGGAAATTCTCGAGTGAGCGAGCTGTGGGCTGCGTGTTTCCTCCATTGTCAAGACCGACGAGAAGAAGTTTCACCTTCGTTTCGGCTCTGTGGCCAGCGAGCGATCTGGTAAAAGATACCGTAAATCCTTTACGTAAAAGTCCGCGCAACGGAGACCATGAAAAATGCTGCGAAGTGGACAGAAATCAAGACAAGTTGCAGACGGATACGGTCCTTTGGTGTTTGTCACCGAAAGAGCAGCACTGTAATTGTGACGGAGTTGCAGAAGATGTGATCTCATCTGATAAAGCTTTAAGTGTGGTGCTACACTTGTGTGAGTTTTTGAGCGGCAGGACATCGATCGGGAAGCAATTTGTCGTCATTGCTGAAAAGGCAGTGTGTTTCCCAGAGGCTAGCGAGCTGTCATCGATTGCGTTTTCTCGCTTTAGCGTTTCCATGCTGGCTAGATTGGCATGGCGTCATAGTTGCCGTTTACCATCAACTTCTCAGAAGTACCATGACCACAACGAATGCCTCAGCACCTTTTCGGTGCAAGACTATTTAGGATTTTTTTCAGCTGGTTCTCTTGCCAATCAGCCATTTTTCTGGAGTTCGGCCTCGTCACTGCAGCTTCGACACATTCCCCAAATTCATTGACGTATCGCTGACTCTCCTGAGCTGAGAGTTAAGTTGAGACGCGGGTCTTGACGGACACGGTGGTCAGTGGTTGCGCTGAATATCATTTTGATGTTGCTAATTGCCGAAACGTCGCGCACTCCGGTGGTCGAACGAGGGTCCTTTATTTGGAGCAAATCTTTCACGTCAGCTCCGTTTGATGAGCTCGTCGTGATCTGATTCTGAGGCCCAGACAGATTCAAGCGATGTTGCGGGCTCTTGGGCGGCATCGATGCGGCTGGCGCGCGGCCGCCGAGCGCCGCGGCGTCTTCTCCTCGCGGTTCGCTAGCAGTGGCTCGGGCCTCAGTAATCACTCGGTATGGAGTTAATGTTTGACCATTTTTGTTTCAGCGATTATAACATTCTAACACTAATTTAATCTTCTTAAAGCCTACGGAGGTGGAAATCGGTGACATAAAAGCCCCCTTGGGTTGCCCAAAGTCGTTTGAATTAGTGCCACGCGGGTACATGAAGGAGCTGCTACAAGGACGGCCGCTGCCACAGGTAATTTAGTGAACTGTTTTCTATTTTATAGCTTTGTTAAAATTTTAACCTAATTTTTTATTGTCAAAGGAGTTGCTGGGTCACTTACGATGGATGCTGCAAAAGGATATCCTAAAGCAGGACATGTTTCTCATCGGGTACGACAGTCGGAGTAGTTTTTGGTTTAATTATTTTCTAAAAGTATCCGTTCTTTTTTGCTTCTTGGCGAAGACCTCCTGGATCGTCCCGTCGACTGCTGAGTATGCAATTCTGCGAGCTTCTACAGAAGGAAGTGGAGTATGTCGCTATTTCCCAGGACACCACGGAGTCGGATTTAAAACAGGTTTGTCATTTGCCAAAAATTGTTGAAATGCTCCATGAAATCTTCATTAAAAAAAGTAATTCAATACCAGCGGCGAGAGATCGTGGATGGTGCTGCAATTTTCACCGATCAGGCCCCGGTGCGAGCTGCTATCAACGGTCGAGTGCTTGTGATCGATGGTTGGTGAAACAGTTCTCTCTTTATCCAGTGCACAGACTGCTTACATTGAGCTTTATCTTCGTGTTTTGAGCAGGATTGGAAAAGGCAGAGCGAAATGTGCTGCCAACATTGAACAATTTGCTTGAAAACCGAGAAATGATGCTCGACGATGGGCGATTCCTCATGAAAGCCGAGAGTTACGACGCATTAGTAGAGCAAGGATACTCGAAAGACGCTTTGGAGGCGCAAAATCTGGTTCGAGTGCATCCAGCTTTCCGAGTCATCGCGTTGGGTCTCCCGGTCCCTCCGTATCCTGGGCGAACGTTGGATCCGCCGCTGCGGTCTCGATTCCAGGCGCGAAAAGTGACGCCAAGTTCGCCAGGTTCTCAGCTTGAGGAGTTGGTAGCGATTGCTCCGTCTGTGCCGCTGCCTACACTTGAGAGACTTGTGGGTATTCGCGAAGCTGTTAACACGATCGAGTCCACATACGACGTTGGCACGAGCACGGGGCCACGCATGCCGCACTTCGACGACTTGTCACTCTCGCATTGCGCCAAGGTGCTGCAGAGATTTCCTGACGCAAGTGTAGCTGACGTCGTTCGGCGCGCTTTTCCTGTGAGATTAAATGTTCTTGGAGCTAGAAGCGCCTCGAACTCGAAGGCACTTGATCGCATTGTGGACAAGTTCACGGATGGACTGCAAAGAACAGAGTATACTCTGGATAGTGTTTTCAAGGCATCGGCTAAAGATGTGAAGGCGACGGTGGCATTCCGGACTCCTACCGCTCAGCTAGAGCTTAACGATGTTCCGTGTGGGACGACACGCGTCGAGATGGATGCGATGCCAGGTTTTGTGGAGACCGACACTCACTCTACAATGCTGGCTGCAATGATTCAAGATCATGCTGTTGGTAGCGATTTGTGTGTTCTCGGAGCCAAAGGTAGCGGGAAATCGGCCATGGTGAGGCTGTTCGCTCACCGTATGGGCTACGCAACGGAGCTTTTCAGCCTTTTCAAGGACATGACTGCACGCGATCTCCTTCAGCGGCGATCTACAGACTCGCATGGGGATACTCAGTGGGAAGACAGTCCACTCATCCATGCTGCACGGAATGGCCACTTGGCGGTGCTAGACGGTGTGCATCGCCTGGAAAGTGACAGTCTCGGTGTACTACAGAGACTGATCCAGGATCGAGAAATTGATTTGGCAGATGGCTCAAAGCTCGTATCGCAAGCAACTTTCGATGCTATTGTGGCAGACACGAACGTTACTGGAGATTCAAGTGCGTTAAGCCGAGTTTCACCCATCCACCCTTCGTTTCGCATCATGTCGATCGCACAAGCAGACCCGGCAACGTTGAAAGGAAGTGCAGCCATGTCAGGCAAAGAGTCCACCGCTGCGTGGCTGAGCTCGGACAGCATTTCCATGTTCAGCTTTCATCACCTTCCGACAATTTCGACTGCACAGAGTGAAGAAATCGTTCGACGTCTGTTCCCTCAACTTCCGCAAGAAACAACGAGGTAAGTTTTGTCACGACGCGATAGTTCTAGCAGGATACTCATTTTTTCGTGGCTTCCTTTATACAGCTCACTGTTAGCCTTTTTAGAAAAGTTGCAGCATGCCAAGGAGAACAGTGCCGACTACCTCGCGCTCTCGCTGTCTACACGGCAGCTTTTGCGAGTTTGTCGCCGGCTTAACGCGTTCCCCGAGCAGTCCCTGCAAGATTTGCGTCCGTTGATGCACGACACCTTGCTCACGCAGCTCTTGTCTTCAGCATGCAACCGACTTGTCGATTCTTTGTTGGACGAGTGCAATGTGCCGGTCTCTACGTCAGCTACTGAGTGTCGACAGCAGCAAACCGAAACAATCCGTAAGGAAGACGGTCGTCTGCACATCGGTGACGTCTCGTATCCGATACAGACTCCAGGCCACCCGGAACTGGTACCTCAGCCTCACTACTTCGACATTCCCAAGCACACTCTCTGCATGAAGGACATGCTCCAAGATGTCGTGGCTGGTCAAAAGCACATGCTCCTGATCGGGAATCAAGGAGTGGGCAAGAACAAACTAGCGGATCGATTATTGCAGCTGCTTCAGCAGGAACGCGAGTACATCCAGCTGCATCGTGATGTACGCTCCGTTCAGAAGGGGTTCTTGTTAAAGTGATGTCTAACACTTGTGTTCTCCGTCTCGCAGACGACCGTGCAAACACTGACTCTAGTACCGACTCTAGTTGACGGGAAGATCGAGTGGGAAGACTCGCCATTAGTTCGGGCTGCTAAGACCGGTCGAACGCTAATCGTCGACGAGGCCGACAAAGCGCCACTCGAGGTCGTGTGTGTTCTTAAAGGACTAATTGAAGACGGCGAGATGCTCCTGGTAAGGCCCCATTTCTACCTAAAGACCCCACCAACCACTTAATATGCACGTGTGTTGTTGCCAACATATTGCAGGGAAACGGCAAGCGTTTGATCGACCCAACGAAAGTGGCAATTGAAGAGTGGCATGACGAAGATAACATCATCGAACTGCACCCTAACTTCCGCATGTGGGTACTAGCGAACCGTCCTGGGTTTCCTTTCCTGGGAAACAACTTCTTTCGGGAAATCGGCGATATCTTTGCCAGCCAGTAAGTGTCCTGCGCTCTTTAGATAGTGGTGGCGTACTAACGTCAAGTATCTGTTCTTTGTTAGTGCAATCGATAACCCCGATGAAGAATCTGAGCTGTCGTTGCTGACAGCGTATGCACCAAGTGTTTCTGTTGATATTCTGCGTCGGCTCTGTGGAGCCTTTGCTGAACTGCGTGAGCTCGTGGAGAATGGAACCATCACGTACCCATACTCTACACGCGAGGCTGTTGCCGTGGCGAAGCACCTAGAACAATTTCCGAATGACGGTGTTGCGTCAGTACTGGTAAGATGCCGTTGTTACACTCATTGGGGAACTAATACGTATTATCGTGGACTGGCAGGAAAATGTACTAGCGTTTGATGCCTACGATCAAAACATGCGCACCCAATTGTCGGAGATCTTTTTGCGGTATGTTACCTGTGCATGTTTTAGTTCTTGTTTGCATGTGCGTGCTCACATGTTTCCATTCTTCTCTATTAGAAATGGCTTACACTAGAGCATGCACGGCCAGCTGCGCTTAAAAGTGCAAAAAACGAGAAACTAATGTGTTCTTGTCGTTCATGATTTATTCTTTCTTATACTTCATCAGGCACGGCATCCCTTTGTCACCGACCGGTGAAGCTTTGACACTTCGGATGAATATCGCTGAATCGCGTAATCTTCCCAAACTCGTTCCTACTGAGTCGTGGCGATGGATACCTGACGAGCGCGTACGGTTCAGCGCATCTGCCACGAAATCCTCTCGGGAACTTCACCACTCGCCGCTCACTCGACGACAGATCTGGTTGGACCCGTCAACGACGCGATCGTTCCCGCTCCAACATCACCGTTTGCATGAGTTTACAGAGCAATTGGCATCGTTCCAAGTCCCACTAAAAGAAAATCGGAAGCAACAAGCTCACGCGATGGCTGTCTTCCCTGATAACTCGGTCCATGTGCTAACGAGGCGTCCGATGAGTGTGCACTCATTCACAGACTTCGAAGGCAATGAAAGGTACGTTTTACAACTTTGTTAGGATACTTTTGAAGGATAATTGACGTCTACGTACTGTCTGCTCATGTATTCCAGAAAGCACAGCATCTTGGAGCTTGAAAATGAGTACATGCAGTGGGAATTAAACCCGGTACTTGTGAACTTGCCTGACAGGAACGAGGTTGCCGTCTTCATCCCATCTACAGGTATATAGAAGTACCTTTTTCCTTGTGTATCATGCCCCGTTGGTGACTAACAGTACAGTGTGTTGTTTGGTTAGGACTTACTATCTTCTTGAATCCTTTGGAAAGCTCGGACGGGCGTGCAGACTGCCTCACTCTCCCTGACGGCGCTCTTGATGGTCGACTGCACATTACTGAGTCACATGGAAGGAAGAGAGCGAAACAGAACCCGTTTACCCAGTGGTTTGGTGGTGGAAAGGACGGTGCGTGGCGCACTCAAGCCGACGACGTGAACGCGGGATTGGTGCTTCGCTACCTTCAAGGAGGGTCGCTGTTCCAAGTTATTGATCTGAACTCAAACAACTTCTTCTCTATCGATCTGACCAAGATCAGTTCCTCCCTGTCCGTGGCAATAACTGAGATCCTCAATGTGCAATCCACAGGCGAACGCGAGTGGCTCTTGCGCACCCCGAACGAAAACGTGGTGTACAAACTGCATCACAATGTGAGCGAGAACAGCTTCGCGTTAAACGTGGCAGCGGTAGATCACACGGGCTCATCACTTGCGGATTCCCGACACTCAGTAACTCCTAGACGTCTGCAAACACAAGGCAGCATGAATTCTAGTAAGGTCATGGTACACCCGCAGGCCTTTTTGCAGACCATCGACGGCGATGAGAATGTTGAGAAGATCCACAGTTCCCTCCGAGAGGATTCGGATGACAACGGGGTACGGGAAGTTCAGCAAGCGTGGCAAAACGAGTCGTTCATCGTGAATTCAGTGCAGTCAGAGGCTGGTGATGTCGTTGACATGGAAGTTACTTTTCCAGAGTCTCAGTCGACGAAAAATGTTGTCGTTGGCTCTACTTCACCAACAGAATCTGCGAACGACGACAGCAGATTCTTGTCGTTGTCCACTGAGCGTTCAGCTGTGCCGCGTGTCGTAGCTGTTGCAAGTGCACACGATGGTAAACATACGCTTACAATACAAGAAGACGGCGCTGTGCGGGTGTGGCAACTGGACCAAGCTTCCCTTGACCGTGAGGCAGCGTTGTGGGAGCGAATGTATGGTACGATGGCTGAACTCGCAAGTGATGGCACGCTTGAACTCAAAGTCGATGGCTCGAGAGTCGGTGGCCCATCGACCCCTAAGACGGGTCTGGACACTCCGAAGTACGGTAAAGATGATCCCAACAATGACCCGCACGTTGGTGGCAATACATGGGCTGGTGGAACTGGAGGATCCGACACGGCAGGCTTGGGAGGTCGAGGTGGCCCTTATCGACTCGATAAGGGTCACCCGGTGCACCAAGTATCGCAGGAGAAGAAGGACGAAGTGTCTGCTGAAGCACGAGCTAAGGCCCGCGCAATGGCACAAGAAGCTCTTGCTGAAAAACTGCGTGAGATCGACATGAGCGAGCGCGAGTGGGAAACGTATCAAACTTACTTCAAGCGTGTCGAACGCGAGAGTGCTCAACTACGTGCTGTGCTTGCAAACCTGGAGGCTGTGGCGCAAGAACGGAACTGGCTGCGCCATCAATCAAGCGGAGAACTCGATGATGGCAAACTGGTGGACGGTGTTGCTGGCGAACGCCTGGTGTTCAAACGTCGAGGTGTCCGTGACTCTCCATTCCAAGCTCCAGCGGGACATCAGCAAGAGCAAGAGCCTAAACGGATGGTCTTTGTTATGGACGTGAGTGGCAGTATGTATCGGTTCAACGGCCAGGACTCCCGACTCGAACGGATGTTGGAGACATCTCTTATGATCATGGAGAGCTTCGCAGGCTTTGAACGGGAGCTGGACTACTGCATCTTTGGGCACAGCGGTGACTCACCGGAGATTCCGTTCGTGGAATTTGGAGCTCCACCAAAAGACCGCAAGGAGCGACTTCAAGTACTGCAGAAGATGGTTGCCCATACACAATACTGTCGTAGTGGAGACCACACTGTTGAGGCTGTGGAGCGTGGAGTGCAGCGCGTAGCTGCGCTTGAAGGTGGCGACCGATTCGTGTTTGTGGTGAGTGATGCCAATCTCGAACGCTATGGCATCGAGCCCAGATATCTCGGTCGCAAACTGCTAGCAGAACCCGGTGTACGGGCCCACGCTCTTTTCATCGCGTCGTTTGCTGATGAAGCCGAGCGGATCCGTAGCGAGCTACCAACAGGCAGAGGACACGTTTGCCTCGATACGTCGGATCTACCACGGATGTTCAAGCAAATCTTCACGTCCGCTTTCGGCGACAACTAAGGTACAAGTATTGTACAGTGTAGCAGGACGTACTGTACTAGGAATGAAATGACTCCTCACTTGGCCTGCTGCAAGGGAAGCAGTCTTTTCCAACCTCATGTTGATGTCCTACTAACGTTACTTGAGTAGTTTTACCCTTGTAAGTTAGATCGAATCGATGCATTCAAGACTGCAACTTCAACGTGCAGCTCCAAGCTTGGAGCTATCGATCTGCTGCTAAAAACACTTTCTATTAATAAGAAGCCCCTGCAGGGGGAGATCCTCACTTTGTTATTTCTATCGTGAAAAGATCGGAAGTTCCGATCCTGTAACGTTGCACCGCATGGTTTTCCAGTGGTTCCCTTTTCACGTGAGGTGGCCATCAGGTTCAGGTCTCAGCCGAGGTCAATAGTACAGCAAAGCACATGAAAAAAGAAGACGGTGTTGTACTATCTCGTTCCATTCACTTCCTTTTAAAGATAAAACCAATTATGACGCCAAGATTGTCGACGGCAGAGGCGGTGCTAAAGGTGAGCTCACTGTGAGCTCTCCTGCCAACTGCGTCGGTTGCATAACGTAGAGCTAGCTTATAACCCCTCGCAACTGAGCTTTCAACGTCCGATCCCCGACCAACATCTTGGCTAGGAAATTTTCGACTAGCGGGTGTTTTCTCTTCTTCTCTCTGCTCGGAGCTCTTCCGTTGCGCTGGTGTAATGAATACTCCGTGTTGCTGCTCCGATCTACCGTGTTTGTTGCGCCGGGGCACTGTGCTCTGCCCACTTCATTCCGAAAAATGCCGCCTGCAACAAACCAAGTATCAGAGTCCTTCGTCAAGAAGAACCAACATACCAGAGCGTATCTCTCCATCGCGGTGGAACCGTGTCCGGAGCCACCGATTTCAACTCCGTCGGCTCTTGACGATAATAATCGGTCGCGTAAGGTCTCGAAGGTGTCCCTGTTGCTACTCTTGCCACTGCTGGCTGTGGTGGCTGTCGGAGTGACTTCTCACAGGGCCCCTTTGCGCACTGCTGAAGCCGCTCGCGAACAAGAGCCCGAAGATGCCCACGACTACGAAAAACGCGAAGTGGAAAACTGCGTGCCGTACGACATCCGCTCGACCATCGTGGGCTCTCAAGCTGAGGTGAAATGGTCTACTCGACGCACTTACATTCCTCAGGTAAACTTGCAAAAAGCTGGCGATGACAGTCCAGCACTTGAGAATCCGTGGCGTTCATGCCACGACGTGACCGACGTTGAAGTTCGCTACCGTCGTCTTGGAGAAAACGACACGATGCTGGTCACGGGAGATGTCAAGGAGCCTTTCTCGAGGAAGGTGGCCACTACGAACACTTCCGATGAAACCTCGTTCAACGCTCATTCGGCTCGCATTGAGCTCCCGGGAGGGGAAGAAAACACGTCGTACGAGTTCACTGTCGGCTCGACTTTTCACGGTTGGTCGGCCGTGCACCGGCTCGGTGTCAATGTCCCGTACAACGGTGATGAAGCCGAGCGATGCCGTCCAAAGCACGTTCACACGGCATATGGCCGCACACCGGACAGTTTGTCTGTGCAGTGGATGACCAAGCAGTTCTGCGCAGAAGGAGACGCCCAGCTGAGGCTGGTTGAAGGTTACCATGCTCACATTGAGGTCGAAGGCCCGAAAGTGACGCCGATGACGGCTTGGGCCAACACGACGCTGTTCGAGGACGACGGTGAAGCCCAGTCCAAGCGCTGGATGCATGTTGTGAGACTAGAAGGATTGAAACCCGACACGAGATACACATACGTTGTGGGTAACGCGCACTACTCGTCGTGGTCGATTCCGTATGTGACCAAGACTGCTCCTGCACCTCTGCTTGCAGGGGAGAAGGCCAAGCCCACACGCTTCCTTGTCACGGGAGATATTGGCTATCAGAACGCAGCCACGTTGCCGATGATGCAGTCCGAGGTAGCTGAAGGCACCGTGGACGGTGTTGTATCTATCGGAGACTATGCTTACGACTTGGACATGATGGACGGTCATGTTGGTGATATCTTCATGCAGCAAATTGAGCCTTTTGCAGCGAGTGTCCCGTTCATGGTGTGTCCAGGAAACCACGAACACCACAACACCTTCAGCCACTACTCGGAACGATTTCGACTCATGCCAAGCAACGAGAACGAAGGTGTTCAGACGGTGCACATCGGAGGACACTCGAAGGATGCGGAGCCCAAGGAGGTGCCGAACAACTGGTTTTACTCGTTTGATGTGGGACTTGTGCACTTCACGGTCATCTCGACAGAGATTTACTTTAAAAAGACTTTCGACGTGGACGGTGACGTGATAGCGAGACAAGAAGCTTGGTTGGAACAGGATCTTGCCAAGGCCAATGCGAACCGGGAGCAGACTCCGTGGCTCGTGGTGATCGGACATCGACCCATGTATTGTACCTCGGATAGTACGAATTGTGGCGATAAGGCTGCAATGCTACGGGACAGACTCGAGGACAAGTTTTTCAAGCATGGCGTTGATGTGTATCTGTGCGGCCACCAACACAACTACGAGCGGGCCTTCGATGTGTACAAGTCTCGGACATGGAAGCGAACTCGCAACATGCGCGCCACTACGCACATCTTGACGGGAGCCTCGGGTCAGTATCTCACGACGATCATGCGTAAGGCATTCGAACGACCGGCTGAGGCTTGGGACGCCTTCCGAAACAATATTTTCGGGTATTCGCGTATGGAGGTCGTGAATGCCACACATCTACATTGGCAGCAGATTGAAGCCGACCCGGAAAACCCAGCTGCACGAGGGCACTACGGAGAAATCGTTGACGACGTGTGGCTTGTACAAGAGCGGCATGGTAGCTTCGACTCTATCAGTGCACTGTCATAAATGAATACACGAAATTCGATGATTACCTATGGAGTAGTCTTTCCAAACCCGGTGCACAGAATTTGAATTGAGGGTAACTTGTAATGTTGAAGTGACCTAAAATGGAGTAGGCTTCATGATTGGCAGAAAACAAAAAGATTTCTGCAAATTTCTTACTGCGACCTTCGCGCGACACTAGCTTACATTTGCGGGGAGGGAGGATATTATTTTCCGCAAGCTCCGACGAAGGTGACGAAGATCGGCTTCTCTGCGCTACGAGTTCCTCTCTAACTGCGCCTACTCACGCTTCTCGCAGGCTAATCTAGACGCTTCTCATGAGCAGCACAGGCGCAGGCTACGACTACTCAGCGGGAACATTCTCCCCCGAAGGCCGTATCTTTCAGGTCGAGTATGCCAAGAAGGCCGTCGAGAATAGCGGGTATGAAGCGATGCAAGCATGTTCTGTCGACCATCATCTAGCAGGGAATTAACATTTTGTCGACCACAGCACGACCATTGGCATCAAGTGCACGGACGGTATCATCATGGGCGTGGAGAAGACGCTGCTGAGCAAGATGCTGGTGCCGGGCACACACCGTCGAGTCTACGCCATTGACCGCCATGTTGGTCTCTCAATGGCAGGACTTGTGGCCGATGGCCGCCAGCTCGTAAACCGTGCTCGTGAAGAGGCCCTTAACTACAAGAAAAACTATGGCGGCAGCATCCCGCCGCACCTCCTGGCTGAGCGCATGGGCCAGTTCGTGCACTACTACACGCTCTACGGCTCCATCCGACCTTTCGGCACGGCCATCATGCTCGCCGGCTACGACCAGGACATTAAGAAGTCCAGTCTTTACATGGTGGAGCCCTCGGGAGTCACTTACGTACGTCAACAGGCAAAAACAATCGCCGCTAGGGAGGAGTATTACTGACTATTTACAAATGATGTCCTTATTGCGTCCAGAGCTACCGCGGCTGCGCCCTGGGCAAGGGCCAGCAGTCGGCCAAAACAGAGATTGAAAAGTACAAACTCTTTGACATGACGTGCCGCGAAGCCATGAAATACGTTGCCAAGATGTACGAAATGTTCCTGCTTTATTTGTGCGTGGTAGCTGACGCATAAATTGCTATTTTTGTGTGTGTTGCTGCAGTCTGAACATGCTGCACGATGAGGTGCGTCATCCGTTCGAGCTGGAGCTGAGCTGGATCTGCGAGGAGACGAACTGGCAGCACCATCTCGTGCCGGACAACCTGCGCGACGAGGTGAACGAGTGGGCCGTCCAGTCTATCAAGGAGGATGAAATGGCCGATGACGATGATGACGATGACGAGTAAGCTGCACAATGTTTCCACATTTGAAGCGTAGTGGTCGTGACTTCCGTCCGACGGCAGTTGCCAACTCCCGATGAATGCGTCGTGTTGAAACAACGTTGGAAATCGGTTAACCTTGCTTCTGCATGGCGTAATAAAGACAAACACTTGACATACCGTTTTTGAGAGTTTTTTTTCTTCGTCAGCAACAGGTTACACTGTACAGTAACGAACCCCTGCAAGTTGCGTGGGAAGGGTCTGCCCTTGAGTTGTCCTTTCCATGCCGTGTTAACTGCTTGACTGAGGCTTGTCGACACTTCCAGCATGCGACTGTGGACATAACAGCATTGACAAGTGAAGTGAATGAATGCGAAGGCAAAGCGTGATAAGAAAAAGTTAAAATAGTAGGAATCTTATACACACACGACGAAAGACTAATACAGTACACGCATATGAACTACATGGCTCTCTCCAACTCACCCATCCTCTTCCTCTCCTCTTCTTCGCAGTGCTGAGGCACCTTAAATAGTAAATACTCCGCTGCTGCGCGTGCGACTTGACGTTGTACTGTATCAGCTGCATGAAGAGCCCGCGGTCGAGTCGTCACTGAAACTGAAGGACGCGACACTGCCGTCGTCCCTCTCCTCGTCATCACTGCCCCCGTAAATGCTCGAGGGCGGACGGGTTGTGCTGTGCACTGTGTGGCGGCGCGCGGGTCGACGCCGCATCGTGTACATGCGCAGATCCATCTCCCTGTACATGATGACACTCCACTTGCATTCACCCGAGCAGTAGCAGTCCACCTGGTCATCAGGAATCTGCAGCGAGAAGAAGGACACTCCGCAATTGCTGCATACAAGCGGCAGACCCGATACATTGGAGGATCCGCCTCGCGGGCTGCAGTACTCATCGTATTGGCTATGGTACTTGTCAACGTAGCTGTCATCAGTGGCCGCCATATAGGCTAGCACCTCGAGATCTGTGGCCTCGTCCACGGTACGGCCTGAGCCGTCAGAGCGGGCGTCAGCTTCTGACGGCTGCGCCTTACTGCAGCAAAGCCGCCAGTCGCGGTCCATGTAGCCAAAATAATCCTCGTGGACTCCGGCCACCCCTTGCATTTCTCCCGCGCCCGAAAAGCTCGTTTGGGACACCATGTTGAAGATGAACGTTTCAATCGATTCGAGGGGCGCGCGTTGCAAGTAAGGGAGCCGGCTCAGAGCTCCGACGCTGACACGGCAAATTAGATAGTGAAGGCGGAAGTTCTGCTGCTCAAAAGAGATCTTTCCTGGGCTTTGAGCATTGACTTGTCTTCAGTATCCCACACGCATGAGGGTCGTTCCGCGCTTTCTGGCGGTTGATGCAGACGCCCATCTCCGGGCGCCCTGTCGCTTAGAGCCCGCAGAGTCTCTGGTTGACGCGAGTATTTGAATTTACCGTGATCTCTGACGTATTTCACTTCCTGAACACTATAGCGTTTCATCTACTCCGATCATCAAAGGCTGAATTTACACGACCAAAGGTCGAAGCTACATGTGATATCGCAGGGTCTATAGTTTTGGGAGCTCGGATCTGGAATTTGAAGGGCCGCTAAGTTTTATTTGAGCTCGACCAATCAGCGGCTATCTGATAACGACAGCAGAAACGGGACTGTTTCACGCGCACGTTGATTGGTCACAATATAGAGCAATGTTCTGGTTCCGACTCTGAAGCTTGGCCCGTTTGGGCAAGTCGTTAGTGATGTTCGCTGGAGAAATGTTACCTATAGGCGTGAACTGCATTCAGAAGTCTATCTTGAGAGTCTCAAGTTGAGACCATGCGCCTTGGGAGATAGGGGCTCCACCATCAATCAACGGTCCCAATTGCTGATGTTGACAGTGATGGTCATGGATAGCCCCATTTGCGAGCTTATCGGCTGTTGAGTCTGGTGGCTCAGCAGCAAACTTTGCTGCTGGCGATCAAATTCGTCATTGACATTTCTCAATTCCGATTTTGTACTGTTTTGCAAACAGTTTCCTGCCCGTTTTGATTTTTTTAGTTGCTTATTAAAACTAAAAGGACCTGGACTTATCTCTCAAAACCTGAAAAGTCCGGCGTGACGTCGCTGACAATAGACAACGGACCCAAGAAGGGGAAGAATGCAAGTGACGCGTCACATCGAGCCAATGGCTGGTGCTATATGGCGCTGCATTTATAATTTATTGGTCAGTGGAAATTCCTGTACTACGCTGACAATGAATTGGCTTCACCAGATCACCAGAGCTTTTGGTGGTGAGTCGCCACTGGCGACTGATTAATAGTGGAACACTTGCTGAATGGCGACATGCAAAAACTTGGACGACACGAAGCTGTTGCTCAGATCAGCGGTATGCTTCAGTGGTGAATTTGAGCTATCGCGTCATCTTCATTTGGCGTGACGGGCGAAACGCTTGTGAGAGCTACTTTGTTCGCGAACCGCCTGTACTGGGCTAGGAAAGCGGCACTCAGACGCCTGTTTTACTAAAAGTGAAAGTCAAACAGAGCATAGATACATGTGGCGAGGTACATGTAGAGCATCCTTGCCCCATCTGGCGACCGTGAAAGATCGTTTTTGCGTGGCTCACATTACAGGATCGATGATTTGTTTAAATTTAAGCTTGGGAATTAACAAAATTCTCAAAAATCAAATTCGGCGGGCTTTTGGCTCACGCTCTTCACACTCCCATACTGAACGCAAGTGTTTTCTCATGCCGGTTTCTCGCCCCTTTGGAGCTAATACTCTACTAGCAAAGACAGAGCCTGCCAGCCTCTTCAACGCTTTGCCAGCATGACGCGAAAACCTCGCAGCGCCAACCTCACGCACGAACAGAAGCGACTTATTTGTCTGCATGCGCGGCAGTTCCCCAAAACGACGCAGACGCAGCTGGGCAAGTGGGCCAAGGACCAGTTCAACCTCGACTATGCGCCGTCGCAGGCGGCTATGAGCTACTTGCTCAAGAAGCGCGCCCACTTTGAGCTTGTATCGGGCGAGGGCCGCGACTACAAGAAGATGCGCACCGTCAAATGTCCCGAGGTGGATGCGGCGCTAGCCAACTGGTTCCTTTACTGCCAGGTCAGACGATTCAAACTACCGGGCGACTTGGTGCGTCACAAGGCGCGTGTCTTCTACGAACTGATATCGCCACAGCTACCCGAGAGCGTCTCGAGCTCACCACCACAGTTTTCTAATGGTTGGATGCACTGCTTCATGGGCAGACACGGGTTCTCTCGTGGAAGGGGCGGCAAAGGATCGCGCGCACCGCGTGTACACGAGGATTCAGACGGGCGATCGAAGTTCGCACCAGAAACCTCGGTCATCTCCACTCCTGACCATCTCAAGGCCGCCGTAATGGACGTGCTGCCCGAGAACGTGTACTGGCTGCATGAGACGCGACTGTTCTATGCCATGAGCCCCGACAGGCAGGCTCTGCCTGCAGGTCACCACCCAGACAAGAAGCTGACCATGTTCCTAGCAGTTAATGCTGATGGCAGTGACCGAATGAATCCGTACTTCGTTGGCCCGCACCCGTTGCCGGTAGACCCTAATGCCAACCCAGAGGAAATGCCATTCCAGTTTACTTGCAACCACAAGGCCTGGATGCCGCCGATGATGCTGCAAAAATGGTTACGAGCACTTGATTGGCGCATGCGCATTACCAACCGTGAAATTGTGCTCATTGTGGACTCGGTATCTGCCATGACTGTGCAGAAGTTGTCGTTGTCGAATGTTAAGATGCACTTTGTGGAGCGTAATCACGCTGGAGAGCTGTGTGTCCGTCCTCTGGAGGTGGTAATCGTGTCGTCAGTTAAGCGCCGCTACCGCTACCAGCTCTTGGACTACGCGCTTGACAGACGAGAGGAAGGACAGCTCGATATTTATGACGTTCCACTGGAACAAGTGGTTGAATGGGTGGCACGAGGTTGGCAACAGATCCCGCGCTCTCGAATCATGGCTGCCTTCACTAGTGTTGGCGTGCTGGTGACCACGGAGAGTGGAGCTGAAGTCATTCCGGATAATCGCACCGATGATAAGTTGGATGCGCAGATCCAAGCGCTACTGAAGCGGCTGAAGCTCGTTAGTCCCATGCGGTTAGTCGAAGTGGTGGCTCCTACTGCTGAAAAAGCTTGCGATGAAGATCTGACAGATGCGGACTTTGCTGACTCGGCGCTGCATTCGACTCAAGGATCGGTGAGTATGAAAGTCAGTGCTGCAGATATAAGTCGCCACGTGGCTACGATGTCATCAGCTGAGAACTCGTCCGGTTCGTCGAATCCGTTCGAGGCTGGATCGCACCCTGGCTTCGATGATGACTCGTATTTGGAGTGGAGTGCGTCACAACGTGCTGCACTGACCGCTGTTCGACCACCTATAAGCGACCTTGAGGCTGTGCATACGACTATCCGCTTGGCTTCCGAGATGAACTGCGATCCAGTCGTGTTGATGGAGCTCACCCGGATCCATAGCGAAGTGGCTAGTCGCGACCGGAGTGCGTCCAACGCCACGACACTCACTGCCTCAAGTCAAACAACCACGACGAGCAACGGTGCCATCTGCCAATTCCGTTTTGGCGCACCCACTCGGCGCCTACTTTAATTTTAAGAACAGTAGTGACCCCTCGATGTAACAAAAGCAATTGTAGGGTGTAGCCATGATCGCTTCAACCTGTCTCTGATTGGTCAAAACCCAAATGAAAAGATTTTCTTTGAAACTGAATCACCAATTAGCCGTGAAGAAGGCGCAGCAGACGCGTTCTGGCTGGTGTTGTCCGTGCTGTAGCGAGCAAACCAAGCCACAGGTCAAGCAATATGTCGCACCGCAAGAAAGTCCTACTCAAGCTGATCATCCTGGGCGACAGCGGGTGCGTTTATTCTCTGTGAGAGTCTGGAGAATTATTTGACGGGGATTCTGACCTGTGTATCATTTTGTTCCATTCCACATTAGTGTGGGGAAGACGTCGCTCATGAATCAATACGTTAACCAGAAGTTCAGCAATCAGTACAAGGCCACGATCGGTGCCGACTTCCTCACCAAGGAGATCATGCTGGACGACAAGCTCGTGACCATGCAGATCTGGGACACAGCAGGGCAGGAACGCTTCCAGAGTCTGGGTGTGGCCTTTTACCGCGGGGCTGACGCCTGCGTTCTGGTCTACGACATCACCAACCCCAAGGTGGGGGTAGCAATTAACAGGGGTGGGTATTGAGGACACTGACGTGATTTGATATTTCCTAAGTCTTTCGAGAAGTTGGATACCTGGCGGGACGAGTTTTTGGCCCAGGCGGGACCGAGAGACCCTGACGCTTTCCCATTTATTGTACTGGGCAACAAGGTGGACAAGGAGTCGGAGCGAAGGGTGAGACTTAAGAGGAGGGGGGGGTTATTTATTCACTGGTGTGCTGACGGAAATCGCGTCGTGGTGCAGGTTCAAAAGCAGAGAGCTCAGGAGTGGTGTCGTTCCAAGAACGTTCAGCAGGTAATGAAGTGGTTAGTGCTAAGTATGGGGGGGGATGTTGTTGCTGATGATAATTCATGCTGGTTTTAAAGCCGATTCAGCACTTTGAGACGAGTGCCAAGGAGGCGACGAGTGTCGAGGAAGCTTTCCAGACGATCGCGAGCTCGGCGTTGCAGAAGGGCCAAGAAGACATGTATGTGGAAACATACAAGAATCGAACTGCTTGAATCTGGTAAACTGATATAATTCGTGTTGCTGTTGTTGCTGTAGCTACGTACCGGAGACAATTGATCTTAGTGGCACATCGTCGAAGAGGGAAAGCTCGTCATGCTGTTAAACTGTGGTGCTCGGTGCTGTTTGTTTGTCTTGGACATTGGTTGACGGGAGCGTGTGTGTTGAATAACAACATAAAAGGTGGCGAGGCAACAAGTGACTTAAGAGGAGCAAAGCCTGGCTAGACGAACGTAGCTCCAGTCCCTTTTGCAGATCGAGAAATATTCATTCGTCGGGTTTCTTTTTTCCAGATGACAGAATTGGTCCGCGTTTATTTGCTGCACCCGAAGCTTGCTTAGTAGGCGACGCATGCACCACTGCTGTCTTCGATGATCCCCTCAATGTTTTAAACGACAGTAAAGGAGCACGGATCCCTTTCTTCTTCTGTTTCTTCTGCGCAAGGCGTTCTGCTTCGAGCTGCTGGCGTCGAGCCTCAATTCGCTTTTGCACTACCTTCTTTCTCCAGCGACAGAACAGCTTCAACTGAGCCGCAAGCTCGACAGCCTCCTCCACATCGTGTGTCGGGACTCGTTGAGGTGGACCTAACTCATACCGCACCCACTCCTTAGGATCCACTTGCGCCTCTTCATCTGTCGCAATCATGTATTTCCGCAGTTGTTTCTTGCTGGTTTCTCGTATTGCAATCTCCCGCTTCAATATCGTCAGTTCACCAGCAGCGGCAGTGGGATTCTGTTCACGATGCTGATGCAAGAAATCTTCGAGTGCTGCATTGGAACCAGCACACGTCAGTCATTTCAGAAACTCGACTGTAGAAAATTATCATCAGTTTTATGCTACCTTTGGCATGATCCACAGGTCGAGGCCCTCGATGCTTCCTCACAGGCGAAGGTGGCATGTCATCTTTCCCATGAGACGTTGTGTGAGCTTCTTTGGCCATGTATTTGCTGAATTCCTCCTGCTGGCGGAGCTCAATCTGGTCTCCATGACAGTCAACGCAGAGATAATCGAGCTCCGGATCACCGAGATCTCCACAGCCGGCACGACATAAAGCTTTCACATGGACGCTCATGTTAACCAAAGCACTTCAGGTGCTAGAGAAACAATTATCGCAACGTCATGAAACCGTTGCAAGTCCATTGCGATATTCTAAATTTGGAAGTCCAGTGTTATTGGTCCATGGTGCGTCAATTGCTTAGAGTATCTGGCACGGGATCTACGGAGCCTTCGGGTCTTTCAAGTAGAATGGGTGGAACGAGATCAAGCCGCTGCTCCAAGCAACACTCAGCAATGCTCCATGCTTGAAGTTTGAAGCGAATGCCAGCCTCCGCGGTACGCCGGCGTTAGGAGGCCCCCGCAAAAGCCCACTGTATATGCAGCAGAGGTTAGCACGACGTTTAATGCTGACGTGATTCGGCACCTACCTGCGAGTGAAAATCAGGAACGGCTGCCATGCCACGCTGAAAATGGCAACCAGCTTCGCAGTACCAGCCTCGTGGGAACCGATAGCTGATGTCTGATACGTGACAGCTACTCTTGATCCACTGGGGTCCCATGCAACGTCCTGGATCTTGCCGCCTACAATACTGCACATGAAAGGCCAGATAGTCGTAGAAGTTAGCCTTAACGATCATCACTGATATCAAGAGGCGTGCGAACATACGCAGAGGTACTTCGGTTGAGTGAAAAGAGCTCCTTCTCAGCGAAATCAAGAGCAGGTGAGCTAATCTGTACGTCTGTGTCATCAGAAATTGGACCGAGTTAGTTGGTGCGACAAAGCTCATTTGGCAAATAATCCACGCACCTATCGAGGGAGGGCAACCTTGGAAGATGTATGGGTACAAGAGGGCACTATTACGAAGACCCACGAGTAAACAACGCCCATCGCTCGACCATCCGCAGCCCTACACAACACCATCAAGTCAGCACGAAATATTGTACTGCGTTTCAACGCACAATCTGCACGGCATACCCCTGCAGCCACCTCCCATGTTTCTCTCTTCCATGTCAGCGTCTCCCACATCAATGACACACCACTCCTACGAATAGGAAGACAGTTTAAAGCACGTTAAACAAACAGATTAACAGGCTGATCCAACAAGCAAATGACGTACTCGGTAATGACGAATAAATACTCTCCTGTGGGCGACCAATACAGCGACGACAACTTGTAAGGGCTCTGCAGCTCCGTATGTCTTGAGAAGATGGTGTCAAACACAATCACCGACTTGGATCCTTTTGTGAACGCCGCCAGTAAGCTCCCATCAGCGTTCCAGCATACCTGACTGAACCTGTCATGGCTCGGGTGCTTCAAGATCTCTTGCAGCACTGGTTCCTTGCTCTCCCTCGGCAGCTTCCACAAGAGCAGACCCGTTCTGCACGCGACGGCCAGCGTGTCACCCGTGAACTTGCCCCATTCAATGCTGCCGATGTCGACTTGTTTGGGATGCTCCAGCACTCGAGCGTCCCACGACGCGCTCTCCACGCTGTACAGCGCCACAACGCCATCTAGCTGTGCAACGGCCAGCACGTTTCGAGTCGGGTGCCAGCTCATGTCCACGATACTCTCGCCATTGGTGGTCGTATCCAAAGTCTCCTGCTCCAGCTCCTCGTCGTCTGTTGCAATCTTCAATAGCCTCTGCGCGGTGCTTCCGACAGCGTTTAGCGCGCGATTTAGCACATCCAATTCGTCGTCCACCAGGAAGCTCTTTGCTCTTTTAAGTGCGCGCTTTACGAGCCTCAAAGCCCCCGAGTCCAGCTCCTCATCCTGCTCATCAGTCAGTGACTCTCCCTGGCCGAATGGGCGCGGTTTGGAGCTCGCTACGCGTGCTGGCGGGAAAACGCAGCCGCCGCGCCTGACGAATTCGTCGCCCACATGTGCAGCGTCCCTCTTGGAGACGCTGTAGAGCTCGCCATTTAGCTCGCCCAGCGTCACGGCGTCCTCGTTTGGTAAGACCCAACTCATTGCGGAATGTGTATGGTTGGTGTGGCGCAGTTGGTCAGTAAAATGAGTCAACATGGTACATGTAGTGACATAGCAACACTCAATGCTGGTGGAATTGACGGCGACAGGTAGCGCTACGAGCGCTGCGTGCGTGTCTCCGGCGACGTTTAGAGAATTAGATGCTGTTTGGGGGTGCTATGTGTTGTTGAAATGCTGTAAGCTACAACAAACACGTCTTTTTCGCTTGGAAATTGATGAAAAGCTGGCGGATGCGGTTGACACGAAGGTTCGGATTGATCACTGGCCGACTTGTAGCGAGGATGCGAGCGCAAACAGGTGTCGCAATACAGTGGAGACTGGAGATGAAGTGGATCTCAAGCTTGTAGCACCCGCGGACGTTCGGATCGTGCAGTACTTGGCGTTGGCGCCTGCTAGTGAACAGCAGATGCAGGTTGCGCTTTCGCTCGTAAAGAGTTTGCTGCGTGGTCGAATCTTGGCAGGACGAGTGGGATCCATTACTCTAGAGCGCGATGGGCTAAAGTATGGCGAATGGAAATATCAGGCGTTCTACCGTGGATGCAGTAGCGATAACGTTGAGGCGTTTGATGGTGGACTCGTAATGGATCAGACGCTGGTGTTGGTATTCCCGTCCGCTACGTCGACGTCAACAATATCGTCGCTAAACAAACCTAAGTATCAGCCGATAGGAGCTCATGCTCGTGGATTCCGCGAGTTGGTGGCAATGGCGCTTCGAAGAACGTCGATCGCTTCGGCGGATGTAGTAGGCCAGACTATATCCGCCCCTCACTCGCTGCTATTGCACGCCCCGAGTGGAGCTGGCAAGACGACACTCGTGCATCAGATTGCTGATGAAATGGGAGCCAACTTACTAGTGCTTGATGGCGGGCTGTTAGCGTCTCCGCAACTACGTTTGGAAGACTTTTTATCGGCTGCACTGCGAATCCAGCCGTGTGTGCTGCTACTAGAAGACCTCGAGCTGCTGTTTCCGATGATTTTGGATGAGACCAAGTTTAAGTTGGCGTGTAGGTTTGTAAATTGCCTCGAAAGTATTCGTAAGTGCTTGTCTGAATGCTGGAACCCCATATCTTTAGCTCTCACTCTTACTCTATTTCTCTTGCAGACAAAGCTGACTCGGTTCGCGTCGCGGTCATTGGAACCGTGTCAGTGATTGGCGCTCTGCATTCAAAAGTGCGACAGCTCTTCACCGAAGAAGTGTTTCTCGATGTAAGTATTACAGTACTAAGTCAGCTTTAGCCGACTCATTAACTCAAGAGGTATCGTGCTTCAACAGGTTCCTCACAAGCAATGGACGGTCGAGTTATTAGCTTCATTGTTGCCATCGTCAAATTTGCTACGCCGCGAATTTCTCATGTCGTTAGCGGTTCGCTATGGCCAAAGACCCAGTAGCATCGCGGCCATCGCTCAACAGATATGCATGGGACTGTCAAGTGAAGACAGCCAAACTGTCGGTGTAGAGACGTTTGAATCGGAAATCGCGGCTTCGGCACGCGAAATCTCCAGTATCAGCAATGGTGCTGACACTCTTAGCTCTTCAGTCCCTGATGTCTCATGGGACGATATTGGTGGACTAGAGCGAGTCAAGCAAAACTTGATCGAGATGGTTGTGTGGCCGTTGGAGAAGCCTAAAGTCTTTCGTCGAATGGGAATCTCACCGCCATTGGGTATGGTGCTGCACGGTCCTCCAGGTACAGGGAAAACCATGCTCGCCAAAGCAACAGCCAATGCAAGCGGATGCAACTTCCTCAACTTGTCAGCTAGCGATATCATGAAAGCTGAGATTGGCGAGAGTGAGAAGGCCATCACTCGTGCGTTCGACACTGCCCGGGCACTGAGTCCGTGCATGATCTTCATTGACGAGTTTCAGTCGCTATTTGGCAACCGATCAACGGCAGGCCAGACAACGTCTCGGATGATTTCTCAGCTGTTAATGGAGCTCGATGCGCTGAAGGCAGTATCTGATGATAGCGACGTGTATGCCTCTGACGTTGCTGCTGGTCGGATCTTCGTTCTCGCAGCTACAAATGCCTTGTCCGCCATTGACCCGGCATTTCTCCAACCCGGTGCGTGCTGTGTATCGCCTGAGACCAGCAAGACCGCTGCTTACGTATTTGTTTCTGGTGTAGGTCGCTTTGAAAATGTCGTGTATGTTGGTCTTCCCAATGCTGACGAACGTCAGGCCATTCTGGAGATTCAGCGCAACAAAATGCCGTGGAGTCAAGACGTCAAGATCACCGAACTCGTCAACGAGACCGAGGGCGCTAATGCAGCGTCATTGATAGCATTGTGCCAAGCTGCAGCAATCCAGGCCATGCAGCGGATACCTGCCAGTGCCCCAGTAGACGAACAGGTACGATACGATTGACGCCTCAGGTTTCTGCCCTATGATTTTGACTGGTATGCCTATGGGTTGAGCAGTGCATTGCGATGGTCGACTTCGTTGCTGCGTTGGAGAAAGGGAACTTTGACTTCCAAAACCTCAAGAAGTAGAGACCAGCTAGTTACCGCAAAAATGACAAGCAATGGCGCTGGTGGATTATTCAGGATCGTCGGCGTCAAACTATTCTCTAAGCATTGAAGCTCGCGTACGCAAGCAGCGCCTTCTTGACGTCAGGAGGGAACGCGAACAAGGATAACTCGCCCTGAAATACCTCCGTGATGCGATAAATACCGCTGTCGATTCCTGGGAGCAAAAAAATGACGAGTATTTGGTTAGCTCCCAGATTTACTTTCACAGCTTAGCAACGCTTCCCACCTTTTGCTAGAGCCGTGGCTTCTTGCACGTATACATCGGTCGTACTACTCTCCTTCAAACACGTCTCCATGTATGCGTCCAAAGCGTTGCGGCACTCTAAGAGCGACGAAACCACAGCAGGTACAGTGTGCTGCATTTAGCAAGAGCAATTAAAACTCTTAGCTGACGACCTTCACGATAACAGGGCAATCAGCATCGTACCTGAACAATTCCCTGTTTGTCCTCCGCACGCGAGACACTAACAAGATGGCACAACAACGATTCTGCCGCGCGCACAACTTTCGTGCGCTGGAACACACGCCGACGTGCCTCTTCCATCAAGAAGCGGCGAACCGCGAGCTGCAACTTCGACTCGAAGAAAAACTTGATGGACGACTTCACACTAGACGAGGAGATGCGAAGGTTCGCTAGGTGAGGATACTGCTGGAGCAGAAGCAGCGGGTGGGTATCTTGCTGTGTGTTTAAGAAGCGTAGCAAAGAACCAAAAGACTGCTCAAGAGCCAAGGCGCCAGCAGGAGCGTTGTCTCCTGTATCACCCTTCCTATCTGGCAGTGTGTTCAGCAGCTGCAACATTAACGTGAATCCATCCACCACCGCAGTCGTCGAGTTAAACAATGCGTTCCATCGATCCCGAGACGTGAAAAGCGTTTCTCGCGCAGTTGCATCGAATTTGCATCCAGTGAGCAAGTTCTCAAACTTAAACAAACTGTCCAAGATCTCCACATCTTCGGCATCTGCAGGGGCCTTGGGCGTTTTCTTGTCCGAGATCGTCTTGACCGCCGCATCCATACGACTGTGCAGTCCATGCAGGTACTGTTCATTCAGCGGCGTGACATTCTGTGGACTCGCTGTAACTTCCGTCGCAAATAAAGCACTCGCGACATCTCCTTCCTTAAATTTCATGCTTGCAAGTGAGTCCCACAAGTTGTTGGTCCCCCCGAATGCACCGCCTACCACCTGGTGACTCGCACGGAAGAGCAAGGTCCTGAACACCGAAGCAGCACTCAAGATAGCCAAGTTCTCCATAAAACTAGTCGTAACTTGGAATGTCACTCTCGATGAATGCAGCGAGAAGAACCCTGACTCTGTCGTCGCCAGCTCCACGTCACTGCCACCAAACACCCAGCTCCATACGCGTCCCAGGATGTAAACAAGAACTCCACGACGCACTGCACGCACCACGTCTCTCTGCATGGCTCTCACAAAGGCTGCACGCGGATCCAGCACGAACGGATCTTCAGCTAGACTCTTCTCCACCAGTACAAACGACACAAACGATACGAGGCCACCGGCGACAGCGAACGATCCAAAGCTCGTTGCAACGTGGATGCTGGACGCCATTCCGTAGTATAGCACGATCTTCCAGACATACGAGTGAATTACACAGAGAAGTAATAATACTGGTAGCTGCGGCTGCTCGCGTACGCGCGTCACAGTAACCACGATGGCGCAAACAGCAGCTTGGAGCCTTCCGCGGACCGGCTCGGCCTCCGCTCTTCGAGGCGTGGGCAACAGCGCATACCGGAGCGTCAAGTGAGCGACAGTAGAGGCCCACAAAGACGCAATCACCAAGAGGAAAGCAGAGAAGCCTGGAAATTCCAGTGGAGAGAGCAACGGCAGTAAGCACAGCAGCAGCAGCGGGATAAAGACTGCTCCGAAGGCCGTGAGAGCAACCACGCGCAATGTCTGCTGCAATCTCTGTTGTAGATGCGGGTATGGAGCGTCAGAGAAGGAAGAGGATGATGCAGCCCCGCTCGCGTACAGCCGTAGCAGCGCGTACAGCACCTCGAGTGAGTGCGCGAAGCCCATGGCAATTATTCGATGGCGGGCGGATCGTCGATTTAAAAAACTGGATTTGGAACGACCAGATTTGAACGCAACTAACGTTAAAAAGTTGAATTATGTTGCTACAAGATCAAGAGCTAAGTTGCGCGTGGGGTCATAAAACATGCTGACTTGAAGCGGAATGATTCAGTGAATCAAGTTAATCATTCACATCCTTGTGCATTGGCAGAAAATGTGGCGACGCAGCGGGACAGCGTTGAGCCAGCGCCTGGCGCTAAGCGAAGAGGTGTCGGAGGCGCTATACGGACGCGCGAAGAGGCCTGTGGTGGCGCTCGAATCCACTATCATCTCTCACGGGATGCCGTTCCCGCAGAACCTGCACATGGCCAAGCACGTGGAGGAGATTGTGCGGTCTCATGGGGCCTGCCCCGCCACGATCTGCATCGCTGATGGCGCGTTGAAAGTGGGGCTGGCGGAACAGGATCTGATGCAGCTAGCGGAACTCGGTGCAGGTGCCAAAAAGTGCTCGACGAGGGATATCGCGGCTGCAGTTACGGACAAGAAGGTGGTGGGCGCCACCACCGTCTCCAGCACAATGTACGTCGACGAAAGCGGAATTGAAAGTGGTGGTCAGCGTATTTTAACGCAAAAATATGTGGTTCTTACTACAGGCGTATCGCCCATGCAGCTGGTATCAAGGTCTTCGTGACAGGAGGCATAGGGGGCGTACATCGCTTCTGCGAGGAGACCATGGGTACCTTGGACTATTAATTGGGAGTGTAAGAGATACTGATGGTCTAATCACTGTAGACATTTCAACGGACTTGATGGAGCTGTCCCGGACGCCAGTGGCGGTGGTGTGTGCTGGCGTCAAGTCCATTCTCGACATTCCACGAACGCTGGAGTTCCTGGAGACCCATGTAACGAAATGCGCACTGATAACGAAGGTTGAAAATTGCTGAGACTGACGGTGTTTGTGCTTGATGTCGTAGAGCGTACCGGTGATCGGCTACAAGACGGACCAGTTCCCTGCCTTCTTTACACAAGACAGCGGCGAGAAGGCTCACTTACGCCGAGATACGCCTCAAGACGTTGCACGCCTGATTCATGAGAGTGACGCGCTGGAGTTGCCGAATGGCCACATTATCGCCGTTCCCAACCCACAGCCTGTGCCTTCCGAGCTTATCAATGAAGCGATAGAGGTAAAAAAAGCTTCATTTATCTAAATGGAACGGGATGGTAGGAATAACTAACCTCACTAATTTGACTTTGTATTCCAGCTTGGGCTCAAAGAAGTTGCGGACAAGAATATTTATGGCCAGGCCGTCACGCCCTACCTGTTAAAGCGCGTCAATGAGATCACACAGGGTGTTTCTTTGACTTCAAACATTGACTTAGTCAACAACAACGCAACTGTTGGCAGTCAGGTATACTTGGAGATGGGGGGATGACTTACCACAGCTATTTGTTGACGTGATGTTTGGGCTGGATGTTGTAGATTGCATGCGCACTGTTTGACTTGGAAAATGGATATGTGGTGGATCCCACAGCCAAGTCGGGCATTGTTTATTCGCTGCCGGCTGAGGTAAGCTCATGATTTGTGCTGAATTTCAGTAATTAAGTAGTTTTTACTGGTGATTTTGATTTTTAACCTCAAATGGCTTACAGAAATCCCCCACCACAAGCCCCAGAAAGCGCGTTCTTGTTGTTGGTGGTCTCGTGCTCGATATCATTAGTTCTTCTACGTCGCCACTTATCCGCGGCACCTCTAACATTGGAACCATCAAGCAGTCCAGCGGAGGTACGGCTTGTGTAAACAGACAATGCTAATCTCTCTGCTGCTCTTTTCGTATCTAATTCACTTGGTATTATGCAAGGTGTTGGTAGAAATATTGCTGAATGTCTGCACCGACTAAGGTTGGATCCGTTGCTCGTGTCGTCCATTGGGAAAGACGCGTCGGGCTCAATTCTCTTGGACAATTTGAAGAAGCTGGGCATGAACACCAGTGGTGTCCAAATCTCCGACAAGCTTTCAACTGCTGTGTACTCTGCTGTCCTTGATTCCACTGGAGACATGGACGCTGCGATTGCAGATATGAGCGCGTTCGAGTCGATTGTAAGTGCTGAATTTGGCAGTTCCACATATCACGTACCTCACCTTGTCTGTACGCTAGGAAAGCGAGGTCATCTCCGACCAGGCGATTGATAAAGCAAAGCTAGTGATCGCAGACGGGAACTTGGTTCCAGCTACTATCGGAGATCTCTTCAAACGAAGTGCTCGTCTTGGCGTAGATACTTGGTTCGAGCCTACCTCGGTTCAAAAAGCTATCCGAGTAGTGGAAGGAGACGGCGTGTCTTCCATGAAGTACATGTCTCCAAACGCTGACGAGCTTCACGCGATCAGCAACGCCATTCGCGAGAAGACAGATGTTAGTCCCGAGACCTCCGAACGCTTCTCACTTACCAAGGAGTCTGGAATTATTCCCACGGAGGAAATGACACGGTTGAAGAACGACCTCATCACAAGTACGTTTTGCTGGCAAGCCACAGGTTTGTACCGTGATGCTAACATGTCATTTTGTGTGGCATAAACAGCGCTACTCGCCATGGCTGATGGGGACACCAAGAGACCGAAGCACATCCTGGTCACTCTAGGCAAGCATGGAGTCCTAGTTGCCTCTATCAACATGCCTGCAGACGAACTGCGTGAGATCGTGGAAGATTGCGACTTTGACGCTGAAATCTGGGGCATGCACCATGTTCATGGAGGCCACTCGCTCACCATGGCTCATTTACCTGGTGTTGAAATCCCCGTAAAGAACTGCACTGGAGCTGGTACGAGATCTGCCGATTTCTCGTGCGTAAGAGAAGACTAATTTGCTTTTTTTTTTGTATTGATGATTGCACAGGTGACAGCATGGTTGGTGGAACTGTGTATGGGTTGCTGGAAGGATACGATGTACTCCAGAGCTGCCACATGGGCATGATCGCGGCCCGTAAGAGTCTGGTATCTGAGCATGCCATCAGTCCGGAATTGGCGCCTCAAATTTTGTACTCAGACTCTTGATCAAGACTCCACTGGCTGCTGAACTTGAAGAAGACGAACGGCATGCAGTATTTTCATTCTATGCATGGTAAATCGTTCTGGGCCTACGTTGTGAGTTGGTGTCTTTCTTTGCACCTGTCTATTGCTGCTGGAACTCGTTGGCGAACACGCTGATGAGTCGCACGAGCTCCTTCTGCAGGCCGCTGCTCTTCTTAGCGACGAACGTCTGCACGGCGCTTTGCTCGCTGGTACTGGTGGATTTCTTGGTCAGTCTGCACGAAATCTACGCAGCAAAACACACACACACACAGCTCAGTTAGGCAGCAATACAATACGGAGCCACAGCACTTGATCGTACCTCGTAGTCCTCGTCGTTCGAGATGTCGTTCATCTCGTACGTGCCCTTGCAGGTGCTACCTCCACTGACAGCCACTTCGAAGGGCAACTTGAAGTTGAAGTCGAACAGATATCGCTTCTTGCCTCGCACCACACAAATACTAGCGTCACCCGTGATCTTATCGGGCGCCTTAAAAGTCGCCAGCAGGTTGCCCTCCGAGTAAGTTGCATCCGTGAAGATCTCCTTCCACTTGTCCTCTGCCCACTTAGTCACTACACGCTCTTCAAACGTGCCGGCCTTATTCCACGCCGATCCGTCATGCTGCACAGGACTCGCCTACAAGATCACGATCACTCCAATCAGTACATCTTGATCTTATCCTGTATCTCCTTATCCAGTCACTCACCTCCGCAGGCTTAATCTCGATCTTCTGAGGTGCGATATCTCCAATCAGATTCTTCTCCTCCTTGGACAATTCGCGGTGGAAATACGGTAGACCGTTCTTGTAGCCACGCATGTCCTCGGGCAGATCTGGTTCATCCGTCACGACAACTGACGAGTCACTAGAAGTCTTCGACTTGCTGCTGCTAGACGTCGAGCTCGTCGTTTTCGTCGAGGAGGTAGAAGCAGAGCTCGTGGAGTTCTTGGTGGGCGATCGACGTGGTGGCTCTGGCTTCTTAGGAGGCTCTGGCTTCTTGCAGATACGCTTGTGGAACTGCCAGTCGCTCGCCTGGCACTTGCGCGCACAATAAACAGCCTTCTTACACACGCTGCACTTGAGCTTAGCACCAGGTTTGCTGCAATTGCGGCACTTGGACTCGGACGCCACTGCAGTGGGTTCTGTATCTTGTTTCTTGTCCTCGTCCACCAGATCCTTGCCGATGTCCTTGAACCGCGAGTAGTCGTTCACGTCCACCTTCACCTCCTGCGTGCGCTCAATCATCGAGTTGGCGTCAAATTCGCCACCAGTGGAGGAAGATAGAGGAGACGGGTCCCAGCCCACGTTCATATTCGCGGCGCTCGTTGGGGGCACAGACATGTCGATGGAGCAACTGCTTGGATAAGTAAGTGACGTACTGAGCTAATCGAATTTTCTCGATACCTTTCCACTAAACTGACGTTTCAGGATAGTATTACAGGTTTATTAGGCCGTGTTCGGCAAATCCAGCTTGTTCGAAAATAAGCTAGAGCTGTAGAATAGTCGTTTTGTTAAGTAAAATAAAGATAAAATAAGTGATCGTGTTCCATCAGAAAAAGACTGGATTTGAAGGCGCAAAGCAGGACGATTCAAAATTTAGCTCTGGGTTGAATTTCGAACACGGCCTTAGAGTTAAGCTAACGTAACTAAATTTACACTTTAGCACCGTTTCTAGACTCTAATAAACTTTAGTCATCTGTCATCATGGCGTCCTCCCAGCAGGACGAAGACACGAGCGTTTTCGAAGCCGCGCTGTCGTTCGTGGACGAGTTCGAGTTTGACACTATTAAAAATGACGCCACTGCCTCGGTGAACGTCTCTTGCCCTCAACTACACCAGGAAGTAACATCAACGCCCAGTCATACACTAACCATTGCTGTTGGAGCGAAACCTCCTCCCTCGCTGTCCAGAGAAGAGACACGCCGCCTGCGTGCCGAGAAAAAGCGAATGCTGCGCAAAGCTGGTATATACAGCGACCCGAATCGCGCACGTAACGAGCACACTAGAGAAATCGCGTTCCTGCGCGAGCAGCTGGAGAAGCTGCAGCTCGACCTGCATGTTTTACAGAAGACCAAGAAGAACGGGCTGATTGCACAGTACCCTGTTACACAGAGACCGAGTTTATGGCAGGAGCAGGCCAGGAGACAGCGATGCAGAAGAGAGCAAGCAGAGTGCGATAATGTGAGGCTTAAGCTGGCTGTGGAGCGACAAAAGAAAGTGGCAGACAGTCTCGGGCTGCTGGTGCGCAAGAGGACACGGCAATTGGTATGGCTCCAAGTGTGCTGAAACTTATTTCATTGCTAATGTTGTTGTTGCTGTTGTGCAGAATAATGAGTGCGCAGCGCTGATTAACCAGTGTTGCAATGAGCGGCCGATCATCGGTGTGTCGTATTTTTGTGGAGACGTGGAAGACTTTCGGGAACTGTTTTGCCGTTTGGATGGGGCATATCACGACCTGGACGCCATCTTTATGGCGAATGGTCTAACAAATAGAAGTGTTTCGATTCCGGATGTTCAGCTGCGTGAAGGTGTTGACGGGAAGTACCTCGAGTTCTTCACGTATAAAGATCTGCCGTTTGGATTGCAAGACACAGCACAAGCTTCGTGGGATTATTTCAAGGGGGCAGAGAAACACATGGCGTACGGTAACTTGTACGAGAAATCGGCGAAGGTAGGCGTGCTATAAGCAGGCGGAGGGTGTCCGTGATGAGGTCTACTATCTGAAAACGTTGCCTTGAATGACAGAACCTTGACGACCCGTACACAATTATCGAGGAGTTTACCAAGGAAGTGTATTCTAACAGCTCTAAAGCAGACGTGAAGATGCACCAGGTAGTGCGGCGCTACGCTGAAGAAGAACGCGACATTGTGATCCGCGTATCGCACGCTGCACCAATTGAGGTCAGGAACAAAATGCTCCGAGGACTGACGCATAATGTTCGGGGTTTTGCTGTAACAAAGCGCTCTCCTGCTTCCACATCGAGTCGTGTGTTGACTCAACTACAACTGTGTACGCAAATTGCATTGGAGCTGAAGGAAGGCGCAACATGCAACCAAAAGAACGTGCGTGCTCTAACAAATTTCCTTATCGTTCACGGACTGAAGAACACGATTGTCAATCGAGAATATATTGAAAATACGTTGGCAGACCGCGCTTTGAGACATAGACTAAAATAAAGAGCTGTGAAATATGTGATTTATTGGTGCTACAGGTAAGGAGTGGAGTTGCATTTACGTTCTGGTTGTCCTAAATGGCAGTGGGCTCCGCAGAAAACTCGTCATTGGGGTGTTGCTCGTGTTTGATGTTCGTACAGACCTGGCTCCTGGAATCACGTTGCGCGTGATTAGTCGAGAATAAGTTTTCCTCTTTCTTCTGACTCTTCTCTAATTGTTTTATAAAGAGGACTTTGAACTATTAAGACGACATTCACATGTGCATGAGTTGCTGGACGGCCGTTACCTGTGAAAAAGAAAGATGACGTTGCTTTTAAAGTCTGGTGTGGCAAGTTCCTCGGAATTAACAGTAAGTTTTTTTAACCGGATTATTAAAAAAGCCACACTCCTGATCATCTTTTTCTTTTCTAATTAATCAAATCTTGCAGCAAGATTTATTAGTTAGAGCGAGCAACATTGTCAGCTTACTACCTACCGGTATATGTTTAGATAGTAACTTACTACAGTACGGTAATGTAAGATCGCTGCGAGCGATTCGCTCGAACGAAGTTTACTTTGAACTGCAACCAGCTGTACTATCGATCGTGGCAAGCCGACTCCGGCGGAGTCTGGCCCGGAGTTGTCGAATTAAATGAGCTTATTCGTTCTATTACAACTGTAGCTGATCATTAGTAAGCTTTTTTACGTAGCTGAAATGGAAAGGCGTCGAGCTCAACGCTGTCGAGTCAACAAACCAAGCAGCATTCGAGCTTTGGGCAGCTACTGGCTGCAACTTGCAGCGGTAAATGAGCAGGTAGCTTCGAAAATATGCAATGGTGGGTTTTCACCACTTAATGTATCCGATACCTCGAAGTATGCTGCCATCATTAGCGAGCAGAGTGAATGCATCTAAATGGCGATGCTCAAAATGCGTAATTGAAGCTACTAGCTTTCCTTTTATTTTTATATCGTACTTACTGAAAATACCTTCCCTCTCTAGAAGATAAAGCCTGTAATATCTTATCTAGCTCATTGTGCCTGACATTATCCATATGTAAATGGAAATGTATTCAATAGCAGTCCAGGTACCGCACCACTACAGTACGTTGACCGAGGGGGGTTACCATGAAACCATTGCATCACGCGTTGCGTGGTACATGCCGATCGGTGAAGCAGCTTCAACCACCAGCAATGACCACGCGCGTCCCACGTCTCTCCCTACGCCATGACGCAGTCCGTAGAGCCTCCACCGCATTGGTCCTCTGAAGCGCTCTCACTTTTTGATCTCCCCGGGGTAGCGCAATCTACAACTGGCGATTTCCAAGACGATACTCGCTATGCTGACATCGTGGACTGCCGCTTTTGGCTGTATTGCAGCATTCACCGCTTTTCAGATTTCCGCGCGCAACCTTGGAGACGATGTGTACGACTCGCAACTTGCGAGTCGCAAGCTCAAGCCATCGTGCATGGCTTCAGCACTGCTGAAGTGCTTGGCCAGATGACCCAGATCACCATCACCCAAGTGCTTAATAGCGATTACTCGCTGAACGAGGACTCGGTGCGCACGTTACGCCAAGCTGAAAGTTGGGTCGTACCTTAACACGCCATGGGGCAGTGAGATCAACGGCAAGTGGGGCTGGAATGCAACGGAGTGGCGTGCCATCGTCACCCGCATCCAAGAGATAACGATGGAGGAGAATGGCGGCCACCCCATGGTCTACGGCCTTGACTCGGTGCACGGTGCCAATTACGTCGCAGGTTCTGTTCTGTTCGGCCAGGAGATCAACAGTGAAGCAAGTTTCAACCCCGACTTAGTCTACCAAGCGGGCAGGATCACTGGTCGCGACACGGAGGCGGCTGGGATTCCGTGGGTGTTTGGTCCTATCCTCGATCTCTCGCAGAACCCACTGTGGGCTCGCACCTACGAGACGTTCGGTGAAGACCCGTACTTGAGCTCAGTCATGGGTGACGCTATCATCCGAGGGCTACAGAGTAACAACCAGACAGCGGCCTGCATAAAACATTTCGTGGGTTACTCCAAGACCCCAACCGGACATGACCGCGATGGTGTAACCATGGCGGATTTCGACTTGCTCAACTACTTCACTCAGCCCTTTCAAGCTGGGATTTCAGCTGGTGCGCTGTCAATTATGGAGAATTACATCTCCATCAACGGTATCCCAGTAGTCGCGAACACCAAGATCCTCGAGGATCTCGTTCGTAATGACCTCAACTATGATGGTGTGGTAGTCACGGACTGGGCCGAGATCAACAACCTGAAAGATTGGCATCGTGTAGTGGACACTTACGAAGAAGCCGTGCGTCTGTCGCTCACTCGTACCGCTCTCGATATGAGTATGGTGCCCTACGACACTGAGTTCATCACCCACGCAACCGAAATGTTAAACAGTTTTCCCGAATACGAAGGTCGGTTGCGTGAATCGGCCAAACGAGTGATTAAGATGAAACTCAAGCTCGGCTTGTACGAGACTCCAGTGCCTGGTGCCAACAATGAATTCCTGGTTGGTAACGACAATGACAAGGCAGTGGCGCTGGAGTTGGCACGGGAATCGATCGTGTTGCTCAAGAATGACAACAACGTCCTACCTTTGGCTAACGGATCATCGGTGTTCCTTACGGGCCACTCCGCTGACAACGTCGGATACCAGTGTGGTGGATGGAGCATTGCATGGCAGGGATACTCCGGTAACGACATGTACCCGAACGGTATCTCGGTGCGTCAGGGGTTTGAGAACCTGGTAGGCAATAATTCGTTTACCTACTTTAACGGACTGAACGCTGACGGCTCCTACTCGGACGCTGACTTCGCCACCGCTGTGAACCTCGCAAGCCAACACGAGTACACTATTGCAGTTATTGGCGAGGCTACGTGTGCTGAGAAGTCCGGAGACATTGACGATCTTGATCTCCCTGCCGGTCAAATCGCGTACGTGCAGGCTCTTGCTGCTACGGGCACCAAAGTCATTCTTGTTCTGTTCGAGGGACGGCCACGTCTACTTGGCTCGCTACCGGACACAGCGAATGCTGTTATTCACGATTTGCTTGCTTGCGAGCTCGGGGGACAAGCTTTGGCGGAGATTGTGTACGGGAAAGTGAACCCTAGTGGACGTCTGCCACTTACATACCCTAAGGACTCGGCCAACGTGATGATCCCGTACAACCACAGAGTCACCACGAAGTGCGTTGACCATGTCGGTTCGTATGTTGACTGTGAGATGCAATGGAATTTGGTACGGGGTTAAGTTACACCACGTTTACTTACTCAGCGCTAACGTTGAGTAAGACTACGGTGTCAGGACCTGATGATTCTCTGACAGCGTCCGTATTCGTAACCAACTCGGGCCCAGTCGCTGGTAAGGAGACGGTGATGCTGTTCGTGATCCAGCCGTACCGCTTGATCTCCGTGCCGGAAGTCAAGATGCTACGAAAGTTTAAGAAGATCAGCCTTGAGCCTGGCATTACTGAAGAGGTCACCTTCACCCTCACGGCCGATGACTGGAGCGTCTACGATCCTCCGATCGGCAGCGGCTTCAACCAGGTTGCCGAAGACGGCACATTCGTTGTGGCGATCAAGCCTGAGACCGATTGCGACGTGTACAACACGATCACAAACGAACTCTGCGCGCACTTCACGCTGGACACGGGGAGTCTCAACTTTGGCATCAACGGCACAACCTCACGTCGCCGTTAATGATCATTTTCGTGGTGCCTTGTGCAATGAATGTCTGCAGAATCTGTACCTGTACAACTTCGAGGTAAACCGATGGATCCATGGAGATTTTGCTGCCGATGTGCGGCTTCGTGTGTGCTATCGTTGAATCTATTTGCAAATCTTCTTGTAGGATACAAGCGCGTTGTTGTGATTTCATGACGAAACATTGTTCGAACACCTTCTGTCTGCTACCGGTATTTACATGTTAATGCTAGCACTGTAGCGTCTTCACGCGTTAGATGTCCGCTGAAATACTACACTGGTAGTTAGCTTAAACTATACCATAGCACGCAGTGTTGACTTCACCTGCATTAGATCACGGAAACTCCAGGTGGCTATCACTTTCTGGTAGTCGCGACGAATTCGCACTACGAAATGTCTGCATAATTGATTGGATTCCAGTGCAGCCGCACGCTGTGGTGGAAAGACAATCGCTCGTTCCACCTTGATCAGAGCCTTCCAACTTGGAGTTCCAAGTAGAGGAATTAACTTTAGCAAGTAGGTTGGATCCAAAATGGAATCAGTAAGTAGATTGACTAACCTACGTATAATCAGGAATAAGAAGTTAAGGGTTAGATCAGATATTAAGACGTTTTACAAGACAATGCAGCAACACAACAAAAAGTTATCGATGTAAGTAGGTTTATTAATCTATCTACGATGTCCGAGCGAGTCGCTTGCCCTGTTTGCGGTCGAGTTTTGTCAGCACATAGCCTCAGAAAGCATGTCGGTCGCCAAGTCTGCCTGGAGCAGCATGACCCGACTCTCAAGGCACGCCGACTTCAGGAAGCTCGAGTAGCCAAGCTTGCTTACGACCGTCGATTTTCAAGAGCTCGGCGTGGGGCTCTCGAGCAGCTTGCGCTGCGGTTGGTCCAGCGTCAAGATCCTAGTCCTTTTCCACCCATCCAGGGCTCTACGAGCTCAGTTCCAGCAGCAGCAGCAGCAGCAGTACCAATTACTGTCGTAGAATTAAGAGGGTCGACACCAACAGAGCCCCCCCCCTCCACCATTTGAAGAACCCCCAGCAACAAGAAGATCGCGGCGTGTGCAGCCTGCGGCTCCTGTCATCATCGAAATATCTGATGACGATGATGACATGCCCCGCAGAGACGAGGATACTGCCACCTCCAACAACTGCCCCATTTGCTTGGGTGTCCTTGAGAATCCGGTAGCCCCGCCAAATTGCCTACACGCTGCATGCAGAGAATGGATGTCAGCACTTGTCGCCCATGCACTCAGCGAGCAGAACACACCTCTGTGCCCGCAATGCCGTGGGGTTATTCAGATGTGAATTTCCTAACCTTTTTTTTATAGAATAGCAGATTTCAATTTTTCATTTTATAAGAAATTATACATGTACCAATACAAATTAATTTGAAATTTAATCTGAAAGCACCACATATATTAACTGAATAGACATACATAGATTCTGAAAATTAATCGAACAGGTTTATATTTTTTGGGTTTCTAAAAAAATCTAGGTCGTACGATCTTGCTCGGTTATTGATCGTACGATTTCGACCAAAAGTCTCAGTCGTACGAGTCGCACACTTTAACTTTAGTCTCTCTTTGGGTACGGCGCTCGAGACCTACTGTGTCATTGCAACTGTAGGTGTTACTGCGGATCCCGGTCTGTGTGATTTGCGTTTGTGCTTCGACCAAGGCCCCGGTTTTCATCCTCGCTTGCCCAGTTCCTCTGGTGTATCGTCTCAACTCCTAGAGTTAGATGGCATTAGCTGGTCTCTTTCAGAAAATGGTGACACGTTTGCAGTTTCCGACATTTTTGCTCGGCTAACAGTGCACGTAAGGAGTGCGCAAAATATGACGAATGAAGGGACGTGAGCACCTCGTCCTCGCAAGGCGATGGGGTTTCAAAACTGATTAGCCAGGAGAAGCTGCGAAACGGACTGGCTGTAGAGCGGTCATGTCTTCTCTTAGCTCGATCAAGTGGAGAATGTTTCCTGGGTGTGAGTTCCACTGGAAATACTAGGTAGTACTAGCAGTAGCAATAATAAGTATGATCGTACGATTGGGCCTGTGTGGCCTTGTGCGGGTCGTACGATATTACACTGTACTTGTAAGACTTTGATATATGCTCTCAAATTTTAAACGGTCATTCTAAATTTGGTTATTTGTTATGCATTACATGTAGGTATATTTTTGGTGTCAGTCTACTTATTTTTGAAAAACGCACCTACTTATTTTTTCCATTTTGGATCCAACCTACTTGCTAAAGTTAATTCCTCGTTCCAAGTAGGAAGACGGGTCGTCTATCCAGCGCCCACAGCGTTGTCCTCAGCCTCATCCACAATGGCTTTCGCCTTTGAATGCTGGATGTCGTCCTTCCATCGCTTAGGGGCCGCAGCGACTGCATTTGTAGTAATTTTCGGCCAAAGAGTCTTTGGACGGCTTGGTGTCAGGGTTCTACTGTACCGGTAAGATGCTGAGCCACTTTACAGTATAGCTACACAAGTAATTTACATTTGTACTGTATTCTGTAGCTATCTAGATATCCTGTCAACAGCTGAGCCAAGAGATTGTTGAGGTTGTCACAACAGGCAGCCGCTGTGCTTGTTGTGTGACTTGGGACAACCACAACAATCTTTTCGCCAGCTTTCGTACGAAGGAGTCGGAGAACAAAGATGAAAATCGCAGATGTAAAATGGATTGGGATTCGGGCAGGGGTTCGCTTGTGGTCGTTGGTGGTGGAATTGCGATCTTAGCCCCAAACAGAGCCGCATGGATACCGGTACTGCCTATCGTGTCTGGAATGGCAGTCCAGCGAGAAAGGCAAAGTCTCAACTCAGTTTTCAATTTTCTTCCTGCCTAACACAGGACCAACACCCACAAGCCCCAACCTGCCTACTATTCGACGCACGTGGATCTAATGTGGACAAGCTGGGTCACTGCGGCCAGCTTAGCTGCGACGGCGACTCTCGTGGTGGCCAACGACGACGCATACAGTGCCAAAGCTCAAGCTATCGTTGATAGTTTCTCGACGGCTCAAGTGATCGGTCAGATGACGCAGGTCGACATCAGCACTATCATGAACAAAGATAACACTTTGAACGAGGACTACGTTCGCGCTTACGCCCAGCAGTACGTCGGTTCGTACCTCAACACCATTTGGGACGAACCTCTCGGAGAGAAATACGGATGGAACGCAACGGAATGGCGCGCTGTCGTGAGCCGTATCCAGGAGATCACTATGGAGGAGAACGGGGGCCACCCCATGATCTACGGACTTGACTCGGTACACGGAGCGAACTACGTCACCGGAGCTGTGATCTTCGGCCAGCAGATCAACAGTGGTGCTAGTTTCAACCCGGATCTAGTTCACAAGGCAGGCCAGATCACTGCCCGCGACACCCAAGCTGCTGGAATCCCTTGGATCTTCGGACCCATTCTCGAGATCTCGCAGAACCCCCTCTGGTCTCGCACTTACGAGACGTTCAGCGAGGACCCACATCTCGTTACCGTCTTGGGTGAAGCGCTTGTCCGCGGTCTCCAAAGCTACAATCAAACCGGGGCTTGCATGAAACACTTCATTGGTTATTCCAAGACCCCTACCGGACACGACCGCGACAACGTCATTATGGATGATTTCGATCTGCTTAACTACTTCCTCCCTCCGTTCAAAGCTGCAATGGACGCCGGCGCCATGTCGGTGATGGAGAACTACATCTCAATCAACGGTGAGCCTGTGATTGCCAGCCCTCGCATCTTGAACGACCTGCTCCGTTCGGATCTTGGATTTGATGGTCTTCTAGTGTCCGACTGGGCTGAGATCAACAACCTTAAGGACTGGCACCGTGTCGCCGAGACTTACGAAGACGCCGTTCGTTTGTCACTGACTCACACGTAGCTTGACATGAGTATGGTCCCGAACGATACATCTTTCATCAACTACACCGAGAACATGCTGGTGGGCTACCCTCAATACGAGACCCGTCTCCGTGAGTCTGCTAAGCGTATCATCAAGATGAAGCTCAAGCTTGGACTGTACGAAAACCCGGTCCCTGGCGAGGAGTTTGAGTTCTTGGTTGGTAACGACGAAGACAAGGCGGTAGCACTGGACTTGGCACGCGAGTCGATCGTCCTTTTGAAGAACAATGAGAGCGTGTTGCCGTTAGCCAAGGACGCCTCCGTCTTCCTGACCGGTCACTCGGCTGACAACGTTGGTCACCAGTGTGGAGGATGGAGCGTTGCATGGCAGGGGTACTCTGGCAATGAAATGTTCCTGAACGGTATCTCGGTACGTCAGGGCTTTGAAGACTTGGTAGGCAACAACTCGTTCACCTTCTTCAATGGTCTGTACGAGAACGGCACATACTCAGAGGCCGATCTCGCCAAGGCCGTGGAACTTGCCAGTCAGCACGAGTACACGATCGCTGTAATTGGTGAGAAGCAGTACACTGAAAAGCCTGGCGACATTGACGATCTGGCCTTGCCTGCTGGTCAGATTGAGTATGTCGAGGCGCTTGCTGCCACCGGAACCAAGGTCATCATCGTTTTGTTCGAGGGTCGTCCTCGTCTTCTCGGCTCCCTGCCAGACACCGCCAGCGCAATCATTGATGGTTTGATACCCTGCGAACTCGGAGGTCAGGCAATGGCTGAGATCATCTACGGTGATGTGAACCCGAGCGGAAGGCTCCCGATCACCTACCCGAAGGACCCGGCGAACGTCGCGATTCCGTACTACCACCGTGTTAACACTCAGTGCGCTTACGACCACTGCTGGATGCAATGGGACTTTGGTGCCGGTCTCAGTTACACCGAGTTCAACTACTCAGCGGTGTCTCTTGACACGACAACGATCACGAGCGCTGATGCTACCGTCACAGCTACCGTGACGGTCACGAACGTAGGCATCCGTGCCGGTAAGGAGACCGTCATGTTGTTCCTAACCCAGCCGTACCGCACGATTTCCGTTCCTGAAGTGAAGATGCTAAAGAAGTTCAAGAAGATTGAACTGCAGCCCGGGGAGTCCCAGGACGTGTCGTTTGCCCTCTCGGTGGATGACTGGAGCGTTTACGACCCGCAGATCGGCAAAGGCTTCAAGAAGGTTACAGAGGACAGCAACTACGTGGTGGCCATCAAACCTGACACGTGGTGCAACGTCTACAAGAACATAACGCACCCGCTCTGCGCCGTGTTCACGATTGACACTGGCCGTGACAGCTTCGGCCTTCCCCCTCCGGTCGTGAACGTCACCGGCACAAATGCTCCTGTTCTTCAAGACCCCGTCACGCTTCCCAGCACGACTGACCCAGTCACTGAGCCATCCGCTGATGAAGCTGGAGCCGGAACTGTTGAGGCAGGTAACTACTAAAAAACTGTCCAGTCTTACTTGCGATTCAGCCTAATAGCATGCAGTTGTCTATTAAATAGCTCGAAATAGAAGCTAAAACGAGACAATTCTCATTTGTCATGCTATACAACCAGGCTTGCATTCTGCATTCATAAAATAGAGAGCTTTCGGAGCCTCATTCGTCAAACGACAGACTTTAAAACTGCCTACTACGTAGTTCTTATCCGGGCAATACCGGCGTTATAAGCTTACCTAATACTGTACCCGCTAACGTCGTCTTAACTTCGGCCGTTGCAGTCTATTGGAACTCGGCCGAAGATAACAGATATTGGTAGCGCTCAGTATACACTTGAACTAACTATGGAAGAGTAAACGTACCCCCGCTAACTTCGTCTGCAAAATTCATTGGTTAAAATAGAACAGACCACTGGCGAATTCTCGGAGGGGCAAGTAAGCGTCGGAGTCCGCGAGGACGGCTTAAACGAGTGCGTGGTGAGTTCGTTTGGACGACGTACAACTAGATGCGCTGCGGGGGGTATGTGCTACTCCATCTACTCTTTCTCTGCGATCCCTCTGTTGGCTAATTAATTGCTTGTGGTGTGTTGATGTATTAGAGCTCCTCCAAGCGCAAGACCACGTCTGCTTAAGCACCAAGGTGCCTACATCGTCCACTGCCGAACCTGGTTTATCCCCGGGAAGCCTTGTGTATTTTGTAGTCGGAAGAGCTGCCCAGTCGGAAGAGCTGCCACAGAGCCGCCACAAAGACACCATCGGTCCATGAGACCCTACCACTTTTCTCAACGGATGCACGCCAAGCTGCATTACGCTTGCAGGCCATTGGAGCGCAGGTACATACGCTAATACTGTCGGTTTGCTGAGTGTGATGCTAACTTCTGTCTGTCGTCTTTACTTTTGCGCTAGAATGAAGGGCGCAGTTATGTTGTGGATGGCAGAGCCTCGCGATCAAAGCGAATGCATGCCGCAATTAGTCTTTGAGGCGCATTATGACAGTATGAACTTGGCGAGGGCAACCGCTGAGGTATGGCTGTCTCGGCAGAAATCTAAATTGGCCTTTATTCTAATCTTTCTGTTTAATCAATTTTTTTCTGTGGTCTTCAGCTTTTTAGTCATATCTACTCTGTAGTCACGACGCTGAAAAGCGGATGCGCGACAAGGAGCGGAAGGCAGCCCGTTGACCATCACCTAGTTCGCTCCAGGCTTTGACAATTCCTGTAAGCTTACCAGACCTACGTCGTTTGCGTTTCCCTCGTTCTACTTTGTCAGTTTTGCTCAAGCCTGTCACTAACAATGTCTCGCATTGACTAGCCATGGTTACCATAGCAGACATCCACTGCATCCTTTCCAACTCGTGAACTGGCGCTGGGATAGGTGGTATACTAGACAAATCAGCAACGTACGCCACAATTTCGACAGCACGCAAGCAGTCCTTTTGACTTCTGTTGCCACGGGATTTGGAAAGAGAACCGAGACCCTCCACGAAATACTGCACCAAGAAGTCGGATAGACGCTTGCCCCTCAAGCTGGATAAACTGTGTGGCCACGTTTGTTCTACCATTGGAGGACGTAGTTCCAGTGTTGAGGCTGCATTTGGTGGCTGGGTTTGCTCCGCCACGTTGCCGGTACTGCACACAGCGCACACGGTGTGCTCCATGCGAGGCATGTGATCTAATCTATCTAATATTTGATGCATCATGTTTTTCAGACTTTCATTTGCAGCAACAAGTTCTTGATGCCCAAGTAATAACCTCTCAAGCGTATCCCCAAAGGTATGAACTCCAACAAATTGTTCCGCTTGTTCTTCCATCGTGAGACTGCTTTTAATACTTTCTACTGGAAGCGAGAGGATGTTATCAGTAACAAACCGCTTCCGGATCTTGCTACCCCAGTCCAGCAGCTCCTCCTGACACGAATGCAGCTGTGGTAACGCGGCGTGTACACTCTGCATTTTCTGGTGAACAATGTGCTGTGGGGAAATTGCTAGCGTGTCTCGGTAATACATTAAAAGCGTCGCGGTAAGACAGTCAGCAAAACCCTTCGGGGAAATCTTTGCAAAATGGAGAAGCCGTAAAGATTCAGCAAATTGGCTAACTCTGGTGTATGTTTGATGTGATTCCATCTCGAAACAGGCTAGCGAGGGTGGATGACCAGCTTGCTTGGTATCTATCCAGCCGCCCAGCACTTTAGCAACATTTTGGTCTGCAGCAGTGGTAGGTGATATGTATTCGAGAAGAGTTGCAAATCCATCCATTGACCACAATCCTCTGTGTGCTAGATCCGACAAGTTCACGCTGGCGTTTGAGCTGGCGTACGCCGCACCACCTCGTCGTGTTGAATGCGACTGGAGATTTCTCGTAAGTGTCAACGTGTGATCATACTTGTACATGGATTTCAATAACCTGTTGATGTACGCAGCCACATGCGCTTCCGTCGTAGTCTCCAATACTTGTGAGAACACCCTCGGCGAGGCGTTATACGGATTGGCAATTAGCTGAGATGCCAAAGCATGGAAAGGGTCAATACTCCAGCATATAGGAGAACAGAAAATCGAAATACTTTGTTGTTGTCGAACTTTTATGCTGCAGAACGAAAACTCAATTAATAGGAACAGAAGAAATAGTACTAGCTAACTCTTACCGTGTGACGTCGATGAGAACAAAGTTCCCATTCCAGTGTAAGTCCGAGAAGTGAATGGTGCCAATATCCGAGCTGCGTCCAATTGCTAGCCATTGATTGTTAAGCAGAGTTCTGTCTAGTAGCGCTTCGACATCATTGCGAAGAAAGAGAATTGTAGAGATGGAACGTAAGTCGTCTAGTGTCATAGGAGGAGCCTGTTGCTTCAGCTTTTTTCCAGTCGAAATGGAAAGCATGAGATATTGTTTTTGAAGATGACGACGACATCGTCGGTACCACTCCGGATCGTTGCGGAAAAGCTCTGTGCCAGTCGTCTCGTCCAGCTGACGCTTGATAGAGCTGAGATAGCTCATCGACGTCTGCCAATGGATGTCAGGATCATTAAACAAAAAAGATAAAAACTTACCAAACATTTCTTTTGTCACATGAGCTGCTGTTAGCGTAGCTAGCTTCAGAGTCTTGTCTACATGTCTGGTCAAGAAGGCATTGAACTTCGCCCTTGCGGACGCATCTTGCTTCTTGGAAGAGGGGCCAAGCTCACTCTCCATCAAGTCCACAATCGATTCCACGTTGGTATCGCCTGCCATCTCCAAAAGCTTTTCCCCGACTGGTCACAGTAAGGTGACGTTACTTGAATGTTGCGCTAAGGCAACTTTGATTATCTTCGTCAGACGAAGTTAAGTAAATACCCTACTGTACCCGCTAACGTCGTCTTAACTTCGGCCGTTGCAGTCTATTGGAACTCGGCCGAAGATAACAGATATTGGTAGCGCTCAGTATACACTTGAACTAACTATGGGAGAGTAAACGTACCCCCGCTAACTTCGTCTGCAAAATTCATTGGTTAAAATAGAACAGACCACTGGCGAATTCTCGGAGGGGCAAGTAAGCGTCGGAGTCCGCGAGGACGGCTTAAACGAGTGCGTGGTGAGTTCGTTTGGACGACGTACAACTAGATGCGCTGCGGGGGGTATGTGCTACTCCATCTACTCTTTCTCTGCGATCCCTCTGTTGGCTAATTAATTGCTTGTGGTGTGTTGATGTATTAGAGCTCCTCCAAGCGCAAGACCACGTCTGCTTAAGCACCAAGGTGCCTACATCGTCCACTGCCGAACCTGGTTTATCCCCGGGAAGCCTTGTGTATTTTGTAGTCGGAAGAGCTGCCCAGTCGGAAGAGCTGCCACAGAGCCGCCACAAAGACACCATCGGTCCATGAGACCCTACCACTTTTCTCAACGGATGCACGCCAAGCTGCATTACGCTTGCAGGCCATTGGAGCGCAGGTACATACGCTAATACTGTCGGTTTGCTGAGTGTGATGCTAACTTCTGTCTGTCGTCTTTACTTTTGCGCTAGAATGAAGGGCGCAGTTATGTTGTGGATGGCAGAGCCTCGCGATCAAAGCGAATGCATGCCGCAATTAGTCTTTGAGGCGCATTATGACAGTATGAACTTGGCGAGGGCAACCGCTGAGGTATGGCTGTCTCGGCAGAAATCTAAATTGGCCTTTATTCTAATCTTTCTGTTTAATCAATTTTTTTCTGTGGTCTTCAGCTTTTTAGTCATATCTACTCTGTAGTCACGACGCTGAAAAGCGGATGCGCGACAAGGAGCGGAAGGCAGCCCGTTGACCATCACCTAGTTCGCTCCAGGCTTTGACAATTCCTGTAAGCTTACCAGACCTACGTCGTTTGCGTTTCCCTCGTTCTACTTTGTCAGTTTTGCTCAAGCCTGTCACTAACAATGTCTCGCATTGACTAGCCATGGTTACCATAGCAGACATCCACTGCATCCTTTCCAACTCGTGAACTGGCGCTGGGATAGGTGGTATACTAGACAAATCAGCAACGTACGCCACAATTTCGACAGCACGCAAGCAGTCCTTTTGACTTCTGTTGCCACGGGATTTGGAAAGAGAACCGAGACCCTCCACGAAATACTGCACCAAGAAGTCGGATAGACGCTTGCCCCTCAAGCTGGATAAACTGTGTGGCCACGTTTGTTCTACCATTGGAGGACGTAGTTCCAGTGTTGAGGCTGCATTTGGTGGCTGGGTTTGCTCCGCCACGTTGCCGGTACTGCACACAGCGCACACGGTGTGCTCCATGCGAGGCATGTGATCTAATCTATCTAATATTTGATGCATCATGTTTTTCAGACTTTCATTTGCAGCAACAAGTTCTTGATGCCCAAGTAATAACCTCTCAAGCGTATCCCCAAAGGTATGAACTCCAACAAATTGTTCCGCTTGTTCTTCCATCGTGAGACTGCTTTTAATACTTTCTACTGGAAGCGAGAGGATGTTATCAGTAACAAACCGCTTCCGGATCTTGCTACCCCAGTCCAGCAGCTCCTCCTGACACGAATGC